CGACCAAACTGGAACAAAGACGAGCCAAGCCAGGGGAACACAAGACGGCGACGACCTCTCTCGCGTATCTCGCGAAATGAAAGAAGTGGAAGCAGATGGATGATGGAGGCGCGCGCTGTTTTATCGAAAAGCCGCCACGTGGAGACCGATGAGGCCTCCCGTCTGCGGCCAGTCTTTTGGAAGAATGAAGAAGACGAAGCGAAACCGATAAGGAGATCCGGGAAACCCTTGCGGGGATTTTTGTCGGAGACGTTGCGACGTTCTTTTCCTTTTTCGTCTTCTTTTTGTGAATATTTAAGAGTATTCGAATACTTTGCGAATATTTGAGAATATTTGGAGAATATTTGGGAATATTTTCCAAATATTTACGAACTTTCTTGAATGCGGGAATAGTTTTCTTGTGAATATTTTGAAATAAGACAAAAAACTGCGCACGCAGTTCATACCACGCGGGAATCGAACTGCATAAGGGGCCCCGGACATGCTCACGCAGTTCCGCGATGAGTTCTTCTCATGGGGCTATCTGGGCGAGCTGATGCGAGTACGCTCCTCATTAAAAAAAAGGAATACTTTAAATAATATTTCTTTTTTCAATGAGAAGCGTCCTCCCATCAGCTCGCCCAGATAGCCCTACGAAGAGCGTCGCAACGTCTCCGACAAAAATCCCCGCAAGGGTTTCCCGGATCTCCTTATCGGTTTCGCTTCGTCATCTTCATTCTTCCAAAAGACTCGCCACAGACGGGAGGGCTCATCGGTCTCCACGTGGCGGCTTTTCGATAAAACAGCGCGCGCCCCCGTCATCCATCTGCTTCCACTTCTTTCATTTCGCGAGATACGCGAGAGAGGTCGCCGCCGTCTTGTGTTCCCCTGGCTTGGCTCGTCTTTGTTCCAGTTTGGTCGGTCTGGCTGTGTTCTGCTGGCCTGGCTGCTCTTGTGTTCTGCGTCTTCTCGTGCGCTCCTCTCGTGTGCTCTTGTCGTATGTCTAATCTCTGTGCTGTGGCGCGTCGTCTCTCTGGCGGCCATAGGCCGCCAGGGACGAGGGGGCAGAGGGTTTCCTTACTGGGCTGCTCGCGCTGGATTATGCGGCGCAGACCACGCGCCCACCAGCGCCCACCAGCGCAGCGTGGCGCGTCGTCCCTCTGGCGGCCGTAGGCCGCCAGGGACGAGGGGGCAGAGGGCTGCCGTGCTGGGCTGTTCACGCTGGATTATGCGGCGCACACCCCGCGCCCATCAGCGCCCACCAGCGCAGCGTGGCGCGTCGTCTCTCTGGCGGCGGCCGTAGGCCGCCAGGGACGAGGGGGCAGATTGTTGCCTTGCTGGGCTGTTCGCGCTGGATTATGCGGCGCAGACCACGCGCCCACCAGCGCCCACCAGCGCAGCGTGGCGCGTCGTCCCTCTGGCGGCCTAGGCCGCCAGGGACGAGGGGGCAGCGCGTGACCATCTCGCCCCCCGCCCCCCTTGTACAAGGTTAAATGTTTGCGCGACTGTGAACCCACATAACCAGCCTGCGCCGAAGAGTGCGCCCCCGGACTGTGCCCAACCATGTAACCTTGTACAAGGGGGGCGGGGGCGCGGGGCACAAGGGGGGCGGGGGAATGCTCCTGACAGGCGGCCGCGTAACTGAAGGACTAGCCCGCGCCCCATCGTCCCTGGCGGCCTCCGGCCGCCAGCGGGACGAAGCGCCAGACAGGGCGTCTTGCCAAGCTTCTGCGGCCTTCCCTTAAGATGTTCGCGATTAAAGTTACCTCCTTGGCCTTCTTCGTGTTCGTGTGCTACCTATGCCGGGCGCACTTCTGAGAGCTACAGGCGCACAGGCTTAGCCTTTCCCGTTAATGGTGTTCCAGACTCTTAAAAAGGAGGGCGGGCCCGTGTCTGATGGTGTCGCCTGTCGTCTCATTCGGTTTGTATCGGTAGCCGGAGGGATTGCAGAGGAGACGGGCACGCCGAGCGAGCGGCGAAACCGATAAGGGAATGGCGGAAGCATCTGAACAGAGCCCGTAAAGACGGAGGCGAAACCGATAAGAAAATGGGAAAAGGAGAGAGACGAACTGGCCTCGCGATCTAGGGACTGGCGTGCCAAACTGTGAAGAAAAGTGGCAAAATATCGAAAACGGCCCAGAAGTGCCACTGTCCCTCAGCGGTTTCGCTTAAGAGTTTCGCGAGGATCCACTCGAAACCGATACCCGCACGAAGTTCGAAACTGTTAAGGGGCAGAACTTAGGCAAGCCGAAACCGCTAAGGGACTTGCAAAACGGCCGGCAGCTTTTTGCGTTTTGTCTTCGCTTTTTGCTGCCGCGCTGGTGGTGCCTCTATCTTAGCGCATTAAAGTAAGAGAGAGCGACTCTATGCTTTTGCTGAATAGCGTACGCCCCTTTTCGATGATCCAACCGCGCATGCCTGTCTTCGGTAGTCCCGTACTGTTTTCGCTAGAGGCTTAAGGCTGGCCTCGCGGGGTAGGATAAATAGGCGAGAACTGTAGACCCAGGTAGCACAAATGTAGACCCAGAGCCGAGTAGAAGATAAAATCTGTCGAGAGGGATGGGCCTAGTGCTTGACTCGCTTGCGATAAAATGCGGCGGGCTATGTGCGAAGTTCTTCTGCCTTGCGCGATGTGGGTGGCGTTACAGTTAAAAAGTTTAGATTTTTGCCTCAGTGGATTAGTAGACTTATGGATGCCGCGGAATTAGAGGGAGAGAGCGTCCCATCGCTCCCCCTTACCGCTCCTTTTTTCTCCCGCCCGCTCTTGGCAGAGTACTGTAGTGGCTATCGGGCATAAGGTAGCCCCTTTGGCAGGAGTAGGCCCGCCAGTTTTTGTTTTTCTTTTTGTTAAATTTTGGCGATTGCGGAACGCGGTCGAGGATGGTGCACGGAGCGCAGCTTGAATGCCCTAGTTCAGTGTAGCGCCACCAGTGCAACGATATAGCTGGGGACGGTTTAGCGACTCTTCGTGGGACGATTTACACTAGCGCGCATGGGTCTATTTAGATTAGTGGCTCCGCCTTTCGCTCCGGGGGTTCACCCGTGCATCACGCACATGACCGCTAACCTTAGCCAAGGCCTGGCCACCGATCTCGCGTTTAGTGTGTTCGCTTCCTAGGGTTTAGTTTTGCTCCCTCGTGGTGCATCCGATAGTGTCCATCATGGTTTTTCTTAATGCAGTAGGTTGCTCATAGCGGTTGCCGTCGTGCTTAGCCGTTTGCGTAGTTTTACTGCCTGGCCGTCATGCTTCAGGCTTCCCGCTGGGTAGTTGCATTTTCGTAGCGCGGGAATTTGTGGACACAGGTAACACCTAAAAAAAAGAGGCGTGAAGAAATGAGTAATCTGTTGGCACTGGGGGTTCCAAAATTAACAAGAAAAAGAATGTTTGTGATTCTGATAAATAATATTTTTGTCACACTAAGCCACTCCGCAACAGGTCACCTTAATTTGTTCTCAACAACTCTTTCGAAATAACCTATCGGTGCGCGCTTTTGTTCATTTCGATAGAGATCTGTAGTTGATATCGTTCGGTTGAGTCCCCCCTGTATACGAGTAGTTTAACCTACATACTGTATCGAGCTCGAACGAGTGATATTGACCGTTGTGGAATTGTGCTGGTGTTCCGTTGTAACGGCTTTTGTTTCGGATAGTCGACTGAATAAGTATAACCGTTTCTGTCGATCGATAACTTCTGTTATGATACCTTCGTGTCGGAGGGTCGAGTGAATAGTTGCCTCTGTCGTTCGATAACTGCTGTTTCCGTCGTGCGAGCAGTTGTCCTTTTATTGAGGGATGAGTTACGAGTGGGACGAGTACGAGCGAAGGGTCTAGTTCCGCGCTTTCCTCCTCTTCTGTCTTGCTCTTTACTTGCACTTAACCTATTTTAACTGCTTTGCCGCCATAGGGTTCTGCGCGAGTAGCCTTTTTAGGCTACAGTGGGGGCTTGGGCTGGATGCGATCTCCTTTCGGGCTAGTCTTGGTGAACCGGTATCCTTGGTCTGGACTAGCATGGTGACCGATTGGAGGTGCGAGCACCCCCCCGTGCTTCTCCATCTTTGAAGCCTGGGGAGTGGGACGCCCATGACGGTAGGATCCGTCGTGGGGCCTTAGCTATTTGATACTGATATATCCTTGCTTTCTAATTAAATGCTCGAGCTCGTCCTAACCGTCTTTACGAATAGTACCCAACGAGAGTGGGTGTGAGCGTAGCGCCTGTGGTTCTCCTCCCCTGCAACCTCAAGCTTCCCTTCAAGGTCAAAAATCAGATAGAGTAAGGACTACTTTGGAGCACTTTATCAACATACACTATTTGTGATTGCTGTGGCTCGTCAAGTACTTCTCCTTGAATCAAAAACCTGCTGAGCTTAGTAAGTGGAGACTTTCGAAGTTGGCAGTCATCAATATACTTCTCGGAAGATTTTGAGAAAAATTTTTCTTCTGAGATCACCACTTCTTATCTAGAGTTAATTCCTTCATCGAATATCTAGAGAGCCTGAGATGTCCTGACTTCCGGTGTACCTACCTGTCCAAGAGAGGAGGCGTATTTTTGTAAGACACACTAGAATCACCATGACGCGGAGGATGTGGAAGTTTGCTGGTGCGACGGCACTTACAGTAGTCAGTGTGTCTGCGAGCTCACAAACAGCCTTCTTGGAAGTGCAAGAAACCACAACGGGATCCAAAACTGAAGATTGTCAACGCCTTTTTTTTCCAGGAACAATCCTCACCAAGCTCCAAGAGATCTGCGGAGTTTTATGGCCATATTTTCCTTGTTATAGCGAATATATGTGATGAGAGACAACTTATAACAACCACAACATGTTGATGAGAACCAAATAGAACTACCTGTAGATAAGTAGAACAGTCACTCGAGGAGGATCTTTGTCGTGTCAGGATGAATAAGATCTCGAAATTAGCAAGATTCAATTAGTCTATGACGAGAAGTTCATGAAATACTTGAATACTTTGATAAATGCTTGCACTTGGCTGCTGTCCCTGTGATAGCTCGTTCAACACTTTGAACCCTTCATACTTGAGTGACGCTGATCTCGAGGAGAAAGCTCCGGAGTATATTGCGGCGAAGAAAGACTGGGAAAGGGCGAAGAGAGAAGGGATAGAGGCGGAGGATGATAATGCTGATGATAAGAAGGATGACGCATGGCAGGACGCATGGGCTAATCTAGGTGTCGTTTCAAACGAATTCCTGCGAAAATATGGGCACCGCAAATCCGTAAAGTTGTACACACGCGCCGATGGTAAAAATACCTAACTTCAATTATTCGCTAGAATCATTGTTGTCATGAAGAAGACTTTGGTCTACTACTAGTTCTTGTGTGTCCGACTGCCACGACTAGTCCTTGTATACTACAGGACAAACACCGACTCCTCGTGAAACCGACTGCCAATACTAGTTCTTGTATACTATAGTACGAACAAAGTATATTACTAGTTCTTGTATACTACTACTACTTCTTGTATACTATAGTGCGAGCCAAGAAATAGAATCTTCTCTGGTCTAAGTGTTTACGAGATAAGCAATATGGGACTCGGTTGAAAGTGACGAGTGATGTTGTGAAAAAATTCTTTACGTAACATTCATGGTAGTTTTTCCTAGGTAGGTCCAACGGTGTATTTATTGCTACTCTCTTTTCATCCCATCTGTGAAGTATTTTTTTCGACTATTTAAGGTTGACAAGGTTATTGCTACTCTCTTGTTTTTCTCTTGTTTTTCTATCTTCATGAACACTACAAATACCTCTCATACTAATCATGCTGTTCCTTATCATCTATCACTTTCACAGGTGAGGTCGATTTTACGAACGCTGAGAACAAGGAAACGATCAAGCAGAGTTGCTGCTTCATAGTGGACCCATCAGTCTCTGCACCTCGTCCTTATGCTGCTCCTACCGCGGGTGCAACTGCGGCCGATGACTCCAACAAGGACCCCAGCTCCTCGTGTTGTTAAGCCAAGGAGCTTCTCGTAGCTCCAGTCTCGCACTAATAACTATTGCACTTACGACCGGCGACTTAACCCTTAATAACATATAACTCTCAACGAAATGAACGGAGGGACCTAGCTCTCTCTTAGATTCAGGCACAATTACAACAGCGAGGCATTAGGACATTTCTACAGGAGGACTAATGATTCTGCTATAGTTCCAATAGCTCATGTGCTTGCAATAACTACTGATTCGGGAACAATAACTGAGTTAGTTGTACGTCACTGCTGCTGTAATGATTCTGATTGGTTTATCCCTACATTGCGCAATCCTTTACTCCAGGATAGGAACCCAAATGAACAAGACTGGTTTCGATTTCAATACCCTGCGAAGATCAAGCATCAGGCACCGTACACAGGTTGAACTGCACCATTGCGATATAAACTGACCTGATTGAATGGCTGCACTGATGCTATCTGTTCGTAGTTGAGGTAAAAAGTGATCACAAAAATTTGCTTGATGTGTTAGTTAAAACTATTTTGCTCTATTTTGCCACGAGACGATGCTTCCACAAATGTACTTGATAGTTCGGATGTAGTTCTTGTTCCCTCTTCGGAATACTTGTCTGTCATCCGAAGGCTTGTCTGATTCGTTCCCCAGTACTTTCCCGAGCTCGCATGTGTGTTCCAGGATCGGTAAGAGCGCTACTATCTCTGCCACGATGACAGAGCGAAGAAGAAGTACAGGGACTACGAAGAAGTATCTTGTCCAATGTCCACTCCAAAAGTGGTTCAGCTTGTCCAGAGTGTCACGTAGAAGAAGTATCTTGTCCAGAGTGTTTTCAGAGGATGTTCCGATTCACACCGAGAGAGACTGGCAGAGGCTACTGATCACGAGAGTGCTGCTACTGCTACAAGTTGTAGTACGTTGTGCATAATATATTTCTCCTGCAGTAGCTCCAGTTGGCACGGTTTTTTTCTCTCCAAATAATCTATGACTGGACTCAATCACATCATCTGCGAAGTATCTCCGATATAGCCAGATAGCCGTAGTTGTATCCGGATTCCTTCGTGACAAAAATTGTTGACTCCGTCTTGCCAATCTCTGGTCTTCCCGTTTCCCTGACGTAGTGGATTTTCGAATCTTTCTACTGCCAAAATGAGGCTTCCAGCATGCTTGCTATCTCTTGCTATTGGTGGAGCGCTCGGCGGCAACCCACTATTGGAACGCATGGAGACGTTGCGCGATGCATCTTCAGATGGCATTATTCGGTACAATAGATTGTTGAGGAGTATATTGATTACTTGCCTTATTGAAGTGAAAACCTTTCTCATTCTCAAATACCCCTTTTTTAATGAGAATGGTTTTCACTTCAATATGCCTATTCTTCATTGTAATTAGATGATGATACTTTTACCTCAAGAATTCATCATCCTGCTGCTACAGCGCAATGAAAGAATCATGTAATACCTCTTCAGTTGTTCACTGGCACAAGTGCTGAAGATTACAGAATGTTACGCTTACTTCACCAGAAGAAGTTGGTTCAAACATCACAACCCAACCCTTCATTACAACCCTGCTCAAAACAGTTTTTCTAGCCGCAGTGAGTATCAGGAGCTCGTGGTGGGCAGCCCAGACGCCGAAGGGTCCAAAGGATATCACGTCATCATGCTGTACACAATATTAAGGTCAGTTTTTATCCATCCCTCCCAGCATCTCGATACCCCTCTCCGTTGTATTTCATGGGAATGGGGTCGAGATGAGGGGACCGAGATGGGTAAAAGCTGACGCTAACAATAGCACAAACATCCAGCTGTCCTGGATGTGGGCCTATGCTTGACGTCTTCCAACGCATTGCGGCATCTTTTGACAAGCAACGTGTTTTCTTTGGACTTGCGGAAGCAGGACCGATTACCGCGATGCATCAGATCGTCAGGGTACTACTAGGTCTCGTACTGTACTAGTTGGATTAATATTATTACCGCGATGTATGTGTATCTAATTGTAATCGCCAGGTTACAAAAGCCTCTTGTTGAAATGCTCGTGTACTCATAGATGAATGCGCAGCGGGTTACTCCCGTAAATGAAAAAATCGTTTTGCCTGCTCAGTTCTTGCTGCAGTTGTAGAGAAGGGGTGCAAATTCATATAACAGGTTCCTCATGTTACGCACGTCGGTGACGACTTCGCGAGCACGTTTGAAGTAACATCCGCTGGCGGAAAAAAACGAAAAGGCAAGAACGGTGGCGCAGAGGATTTATGATCTCATTTATCTGACATCGTGATCATGATCTCGATTATTTGACACTAGTTGTATGTCAACATGCTGTAGCAGGGTTAGTGAGAGTAGAAGAACAAAATTGTTGACGACAGGTATACAAATGTGTGTCTAGTATTACTAGTCCGAGTACTGATACTAGCATTTGAATAGCTGCTGCATCCAAGAAATATCTGGCAAGATGAGCACCCTTTTTTTCGGTGAGTCTCGCAAAGGCGAGGCACCGAGCAAACGAAACCATGAGAATTCTGCCTGAACACATTGCAAATTTCATAAGTCTCGCTAAACACTTGGTGATCAGCCAGTTACGCTGTCTTTTGAAAAGTGATCAGCTAAAAAAAGAAGCGTAATTACAGGTTCTTTGATCAGACTAGTGCTTTGTTGATTTGATCACCTTCCAGAAGATTACAGTTCGAAAGAATATTCCCAAGGATCCCTTTTTCATACCATTCGTACCAATTCCAACATCGTCGGCAGTATCATGGTGCCGTTCCCGAAGCAGACCGATTGCTTGCCTGGACAAACGCGGCGACGCGACACAATATGAAGTTGCAGCAATCTTTCATAGAGCAACTCAATGCCCTCTTCGCATTGCTCTTTTTGCTGACGCTGGGTGCCTGTGTTTATGACTGGATACAATCATGAGTCAATGTTGCATGATCTTTAAGGACATGAATTTCTTTTGATGATGAACAAGAAATTTGAAGTTCCATCTATGAGGACAGACAACAAGTTGTTGTTTTCATTTTTGGATCAAGATCTGCTTAGAAATAACTAGGCAGTAAGTAAGAAAACCGTGATCATCACAGATGTTGATCACTTGGGATGGGTCTCGCCTTTTTATACATGACATGACCTGCTCCTGTGGTTCCCTTTCATCTCCTGCTCCGAGCCGCTCTGTGGCTGCTGCAAAATGTACCGGAAGTGATGTTAAGGCTACCGCTGACGCATCCTCAACGCCATCCTTGGCTTCTTTTCCAAGGGGAAAAAGAAGTGTCCAAGGATATGGCTCCCAAGTTGATGTAAGTACTTAGTAACTAAGCAGTTTTAGTTTATTTAGCAAGTAAATGAATGAATGAAGGATGACGCGACGTGGTAGCTCTAATGATGGCGGCCGGCGCCATGCTGATTTCATTGCTGGGGATGTCCGGTTTAATGTGGAATATCATCAATGCGCAGATGAAACTATTCGGACAGGATCCCCGTACCGGTGTCACTGAGTGGGTACTATTAATCATACGCAAATGCTATTAATATAATCATGACGTATTTTTATCATAGCAGTCGTACTAAGTATATTGAGTGTTACTTTTAAGGGTATGATTGGACATGTCGCATATACATCGCAGATATTAGAACGGACGCAAATTATATGCTATTATACTTACGCAGTTTTATGTTCTGGTCCCTCGATCATCGAGTTCAATTAGGGTGGAAATTTAGAATTTACAAAAATTTCTTCTCCAGTTTGTTCCCTCTTCTCGGGGACAGCATCTCGGCGAGGGGCTTTTATTCGGATCCGCTTTTGTGGCTGTGGGCTCTGGACTTGTCTTTATCGCAAGATGGCGACCACAGATCGGGCCAAAGACCCAGCGCCGCGCTCGCAATGACGAACTTCTCTACCGCGCTCAGCAGACGTTTGGCGTTTTGCTGGCTGCGGTCGTCGTCATGAACTTTGTTTAAGGTCTCAAAGAAATGGAAAAGGTGATAGCATGATAGGTGACAGATTGTATAGCTCCTTTTATTTTTCTTGGTGATGAAAAGAAACTTATACTCAACAGTACCGAGTAGATGTAGTATACTCGGAAGTACTCAGAAGTAGTATAGTACTCGGAAGTACTCAGTACTGTACTCAGTACTGATGTGATACTAGGAAAACGGTTTTATATTTCATAACCGGGCTTCCATTCTTGCAATTATAGTCCTTCATTTTTGCAACAGCACGTATCGAATCAAAAGCGGGTGGGCGATGGAGACCCCATTTTTTCCGCCAAGTCATTTCAAGACTGGGCGCATCCAGAACGATCAGGGCATCTCCTTTTAGAGGATTTCTTCGCTCCTGTTAGAGGGTCTTCTTGTCATGTGATATGTGAAGGGACCAGGACTAGGAGGACGAGGGGGATGGTCAGGAAGTGGCGATGTATATCGCTCCTGTTAATAAAGGGTCTTCGACGAAGAACAAGACAGTGATGGAGCGACTTGTGGACAAAGCACGCATAGTTCTAAATATGAGGCTGAATTGAAGCGGGAAGCACGCATAAAAAGTGGGTTCTATGGTAACGAGAGTGAGAAAGCAATATCGGGAAGAGACTGTTGAGGGCAGATCAACAGCAGGTAGGCTTATAATTTGAAGATGAAGCTCATGGAACTCCTGCGCTATCGAATGAATGCTTTCCTCTTCACTTACATGTCTCACGATTTGTTCTACTACACGAATTTATCATTTTTTTCAACTATTCCACATGACTAAAATTTGTAACATGTTGCGGAAAATATTTGATAATTCTTCACCTGTCAGTCTAACTTGGAATTGAATTAATTGGTAATCCATATTTGAGCACATAGATGTCGCCCATGGTATATCTTGTTGTATATTACCTCTCATCGTGTCTTATGATTGATGAATTGCACGATGTCTTGGTGTTTATCGTTGACGTGCACTCAGTCATTTAATTTTTTGTTTGTAAACTCGCACTACGCTGCTCAGTGTGTCAAAGCTACCGATATAGGAGTGTGGAAGTTGTAAAGACTTTGATTCTGCTGAATGAGATACGTCTATCTATCTTTATACTGAAATAAATCTAACGATTCGAATCCGGGGCAGTTATGATTTCTCGTGTATACTGTGTCTCGCCTCGGCAATTGACGATCTAAGACGCAAAATGATGACGACTTGCTGTGGTGGTCCTTGTCATGCTTGTAATTATGATACAGAACAGAAGCAGCTGATGTAGCAAGCCCAAAGACGAAATCTAGCGAAATCTTGAACTAGTAAATCCGACAAGCAGACGACTGTGAGCCTCTTGATCGCAAGCACAGCGTCAATGTATCATCAGCCCTGCACCAAGGAAGATTAATGCAGAAGGAGTACTAAAATGATCCTGTCCTCGTGGACCACACATTTTGAAAAACGGGTAGCGAGATTTCGAGATTTGCAGTGTGTGACCGAAATGATAGCGAGCGAGAAGAGAGTCCACAAAAGGCCTTTTTTCGAGTCAGCGGCAAGCTTGGAGATGAGTGCAAAATCGCTTATATCAGGTCAATGGTTTTATGACGCTAGCACCAGCGATGAAAGAGATTTACATCCAGTAATCAAGAAATGAAGTTGATGTAGTCATGATCCAGTTAGATCTGGTGGATACTAGGGTTGGACATATTTAGAAACGTACTACCTAGGAAGTCAGGATACATATGACCGAAAGCAGTATGCTGGGTCCGGGCTTCCGCACTCCGTCGGCGCAAGCGGGGTCGTGCATCGACGCTTAGAAATGCCAGCATGTTGAACTACTACGACAGCCTTGATGCGTAGCAAGCATGATGCTGGAGTTTACCGAACTTGGGACGCGGTGGCAAGAGCCCTCGCTGATGAATGGGCGGCCATCACGACATTCTCGGCAGCGCAACATGCAGGTGAGCAAGCTGTCTGTGGTGCTGATGGGAGCAGCGGTGCAGCAGAGGATAGCATGCGTCACAGCCCTGGAGGTAGATAGACACCAAATGGAACAGCAACATTTTAGCAGTAAAAATTTAGACAAACACCAACGAGAACAACAACATGAACGTGCTACAACTCAAAAAGGCGGCGACTTCGTATACACCTACAAGGGAACCGCCAAGAAGGACAGCACGAAAAAGAGCAATGCAGGCCTCGACGAGACTGGTGAGGAGGAAGGGCGAACTACCAAGAATGGAGGAAAGGGACACGTGGAGAAAATAGCTGTGGCAGCTGAGCGAGGACGTAGATCTGCGCTCAACAAGGCGCAGTCAACAACGCATGCGCACGGTGTTGCTAGATCGAAGAAGAGAAAATCTGACCCCGTTGAAGCTTCCACACTCACGCAGGACGAACAAGTGACCACAGATGTACTGTTCTAGTACCTTTTTGATGTTGTCGCTCTTGACGTCATTCTTGACTATAGTTGGTATCTGCAAGCTGCTACGCAGACAGGCTGTTTTGAAACGTTTGCTTACAAAAACAGTCGTTTTGACGCAGGCAGAGGCGGACTGCGTAGAGTTTTGAGGCGAGAGTTGTGGGGTCGCTTAGATGGCGAGTCACTGACTCGCTGAAGCGGTGACTCACTGACTCGCTTAAGCGGTGACTTACTGACTCGCCTAAGCGGTGACTCACTGAGTCGCCTAAGCGGTGATTCACTGAGTCGCTTAAGCGGTGACTTGAGTCGCTTAAGTGGTGACTTCCCGAAGCGCTTCTATTTCGCGTGGGTCTACTTTCAATTCTAAACCGATCTTTTAGAATTTTGGCCGAGGTTGTATTACAAACTAGCAAAGTACACAGCAGTGTTTATAACCGTTTTATTCACACCTCTTTCAGACCGACGCTACACCAGTATTGGAATATCCTCATGCTGAGGGGTTTTGCGGTGGTCTGGCTCTTGGGGAGCACATTTATGTTCGCCCCTCAGGGGACGGCTCGGTTGGTTCCATCACCACTGCTCATGGTGCAACGCTCGCGAGTTATAGTAGTTCTCATGGCGGGGATGAGGTCTACATGACTTTAGGAGTCCGAGATCAAGGTGGAATTATCAACGTGGACGCAGCTCTCGCCAATAACTTACCGAACCTGGTACTCTTATTTTTATTTCACCCTATCCCTATCCGTTATTGAAGGAGCTGGCTTTGATATAGGTTGACGAGAGCCAACGTAACAAAGTATCTACCAGTTTGCTCGTGCTGTCACTGGGAACATCATGCTATCTTCCTCCGAATTTTCAGTCGCGCGTTTGTAGCAGGCATGCAATGTGAAGTAGTTTTCTTTACTTCTTCATATAGAGTGATTTATCCTCGAACTCTGTTGACGCCAGGTTACTAATCTGGATGCGGTCCCGAAGTTTTTGCATGAGACGGAATATCCAGTGGGGCATCGGTACGTAGTGGTAAACTGTGATTTTAGCAGAGTGCTCTACAACGTTCTTGTTTCCACTGATTCGCCGGCCGCTGGAACGAAGGCGAGCTTCGTCTACGACATTTGGACACCGAGCTTCCAAACTCTGGTAGCGACATCGCGCGAAAGCGACAGTGTAAAAGGGCAACTGGTCTTCCGACTACCCGCATCAGCGCATGCGGCCGCCGGGAGCGTCCTTGCTGGATCTGTTGCGTCGCGAAGACTAGCAGAAAGTGTCCACATTTTCAAGGGTATGAAGAGGTGATGGTTCAATCCTCTGCACATTTTTAACTCTATATAGAACTAGTGACTTTGAAGCGTCCTCGGTAAACCTCATTACTCATGATCTTTATCCTCCGCGTCGATGCCTCCAGTCTCACTCTGCAACAAAGCCATTCGAAATAGTTGTCGTTGGTTTTTCTCGTGACTATCGATGTCTCTGTGCATCATACATCAATTACATTTTTTGAAATAACCAAAACCAATAGAGAGCGAGTACTTTAGTACTCTTCTCCCTTCCATACTACTCTTCTCCCTCTCATTTGTGCGCAATCTCCGATGCTACGAGAAGCAAGCGATCCGGAACCACCTGCGGCGAACAGTGAGCTGGCTTTTTTTGAGATGCGTTTTGATCCTACAAGCACATCCGAGCTTGGGATTACGGCGAACCGTTGGGTCCTAGCATTGCTGGTGGCACATTTAAGGGCAAATCAGGTACATTGATCGATGTCCATCGGCTGGATGGACATCTTTTTAACATATTACCAAATAAAAGGATGGGTCATTTGGAAGGACATTTCATGAAGTGCTCTGTCGTAATATCATAATATTCTTAAATTCGATCAAAAGAGCAAATTTTTCATTGGGATACTCGATTAGCGACCGCAACATGCTCATGAGTAAAGGTAGAGCCAAAGGGTAAGCCGGAATGCTTGATGATAAACATCTTTGCCAGCCCGAGCTCTAACTCAGCGGGCAATCTTCGCGACGCCTGCCTCGGCCGGCAGTATCAGGGCGGGGTCTCTGGGCTCTTCGGGACAGCACGCTCTGGAGATGGCGGTAGTTAAGGCCACAACCATGCCTTTGTGAATGAGCAAACAAAAACTCGCTGTACAAGAAGAATTTGCTCGGATATACAATGAGTATCAAGAACATTGACAAGTAAGCCATACTGTCTCTACGATTGTCACGAATTACCACATCAGAGGCACAGAGATTGACATGTACAACTAGGCCCTTTCTGGGTATATCATCATCATCAACTACGCCCTTCTTCTTCGTTCTAATACACCGGCGGGAATGGCGCTGTTGGGGATTTGTTGTTTTTGCCACCTAATCGTTTCGATTTTTCACCTGGTTTATCCTCCGAGTATTGAGGGCGAAATTTGGCAGCACGATCCGCCGAAGTACAAGAACAAATACAATCCCAATCTGAGCAACCAAAACAGCAACAATTAAGACAAGGACTACTTGAATCAGCATTGCTTCATATTTGTAATCGGATTTGATACTTGAAGGACTTGCTCATATTTGTAGTAATCGAGTTGATTTTGACACGTTTGAGGAAGAAAAGTGGCGAATATGAAAGGCAAATATGAGGAGTTGTTTCAACCTCTAAAACAACAACAATAACAACGCCGTATTCTATGTACCGCCACCAACATAAGAAGTGGTAGTGATCGAGTTTTCGTTCGTAGGTGGGTGGTGGCGAATAGGAGTACGATTTGAGCAGTCAACCAAGAGCACGCCTCGGAACAGAAGAAGCAACGACGGACGTGGTGCGTGGACAATGCTTCTTTTTCGAATTTTTTTTTGCGTATCTTCGTTCTGGACCATCATGGGGGAAGTTGGTTCGCACCGGTTTCACACCAGGGGCATTGTTCGGGGGCTCACGACAACTACCACGATCTTCCTCGAGTCACCTTTGCACGCTTCGATGTGCCCACTTTTCGTTGGCAGCTATTGACTCATTTGCACCATTTTTGTCCTCTTTACATGTTCTGAGGTCAGAGTTTACTGTGGGCAGTGGACAGAAGAACTTGCAACTGGCTAGTGCTTGTCACAGAGCACCAGGTGTACTAACCAAGCACAGTAGAGTTGCTAATGCCGCAGAGAGAGGGAAAATGTAGCTGCATAGAGGCCGGTGTATAGATTTCAAGTAGATGTTGATTTCCTCTGTGTGATGCATAGTTGAAGAGTTGGTTTCAAATGTTCTATTCTTACACGGAGAGTGCTGCTGCTCAGTGCTGTTTTGTGGTTTTTCTGATGTCAACATATTGATAGTTTGCGTCGTACTTGAGCAGGACTCCACTGTGTTCGTCTGCCCCACCGGAAGACGCTGGCTGTTCGTCTGCCCCTGAAGAAGCTGCGGTCCTGTGGAAATGTCGACCACTTGGAAGGTGAGAAGACTGCAGAGACGGAGATGGTAGAACAAAATTTCAGTAGAGCGGGTAGAACAAGGTGAAAAAGCATCTTACCGAGGACAGCGCGATCTTTATGATCGCAAGAAAAAGTGCAACAACAAGATGATGAATCATTTTTGGGATGGCTCGACTTCTAGGAGGAGAGCAACAAGATGATTTAACTCAGCATGCAACAAGAGAGGAATGAAAACAGAGCTTCTCCTTCTAGGCATCGCGTTGTTTCATGTCCAATGACTGAAGGATGATGCTTCTCTTGCCAGTGAAGATTGATGATGGAACACGCTACCGCACGGCAAGGTCCTAAACTGCAGGATCTTTTTGCTCCCCATCAGTCGTTCTAGTTGTGCCGTCGTCGAGCGTCGTTTCTGTAGCCATTGGTCTAGTACCCCTCTCCCGGTCTTCCTAACACGACTGAAAAATTGCTGAGTTTTCATCGAGTTCCCCTGCTCTGCATCCCTAAGCAAAGTCTTAGCGGACAAGAAATCTGGGACTTCTTATTGCCGGAGCGGCGTGTAATCAAATTCATCTCCTGTGGTAGTTCTCTGTGCTGTCAGCGTATTCGTTCGAGAGCATCTGCGGATTTCGACGGGTCGTTTCTTTTCGTCGAGCGTTGGTGTGGCAGTTGTAGAACTGCGGTCTCTTCTGCTGGCAGTGGTGGCACGAAACATTCCGAAACGTATCTCGCGGCTTCCAGCGCGAAACATCGTACTGGCAGTGGTGGCACGGCCAAGACCACCATTTCTCTTGGAGCACACACTCCTCTCCCCAAGCACACTCGCTTCTCCGCTTGTCGGATACGACGACTTTCAATTGCAGACTTCCTCCACTGTGGCCAGTGCTAGAGGATCGACCGTCAAGAGCACGAGGCGTCTTTTCACGAGGAGCGATTGCCAGCAGTTCTGTGCAGTTCAGACGTCATTTTACGAGGAACGAGGTTTTAAGTAGTCGTTATTGCTCCACGATAAAACTACACCAGGAAGTGCTGGAACTTGAAGATTACAAAGAGCTTCCTGCGAAGGGCGGTTACGTGGAGCAGGAGGACCTGTGTGCGAAGAGCAGGACTTGTGTGCGAAAGGCAGGACTTGGTTTCCTGGCTCTTCGTTTTCTGGCTCTCTGGCGGAGCATCCAATGGTGCGTGGCCAAGAGACGCGCGCTTCGAAAGATGGACATCTCGTAAAAGGTGCCTCACAAAATTCGTTTTCCTCCTCGTCGCTGTTTTAAGAATAATATTCTTTGAAGTTGTTTTTAGTATCCCGTAAATACTGGGTATATCTTGTTCATTAACCATGTTTAAAAGGAATGAAGTTTTTTTTGTCTAAGGTCTGCCAGCTTATTCATATCCTCAGAAGTGTGTTTCTGTGTGTGATGTGTGGTGCTGCTGAGTCTCCTCGGAAGGCCCCGCTTCTAGTTCGTATGTACTAGGTTCTGAGTGGAAAACGTTGGAAATCACTATGATAAGATGGAGCATCGCTTCCGCTAATTTGCAGCCGGGAAGGGTCGCAGTTCAGATATGGATCCGAGTGCAGCCGTAGCGCTTAATCTAGAGCGGAAATTTGGCAATAGCATTAAGGCTTCAAACTAAAACTAGGAGCACAACTTCTGACTACAAATAGAACGAGATATTTCTAATTTTCAAAGCCTTTGTAAGGTAACTTTGAGTCCTGATCGAAACCACGCGCTCGAAGGCAAACGATCTCCCTTAATATGTATCAATCTAACATTTATTGCACTTGCTCAACGATCTTCGTTATAATTTACGTATAAATCCTCGACTAAGAGGACTTGCTAGTACTTGTACTCTGTAGTTCAAAAGTACAGAATAGGCTCTACGGTGGTCACGAATGGCCATGTCAGAGGTACATACATGACGTAAACTCATCTTCCAAAAAGTCGAATGAGCGCAACATCTTCTAAGTCGAATAGCATGAATATGGCGGATTCGCATTTTTCAGGTGGTCTCAGTGGCGGTAGCGTTTCTTCGTTCGGAGGGGTGGTACCTACTCCAGGAAGAGATGCGCACAATGGCTTTGCGGGAATCGGAGCAAAAGGCGCCTCCTCTTCCACGTCTTCTACGAGTGTCGTTAAGCCTTGATGCCCTAATTCATCTGGAGAAGCATCATCTTGAGAAGCACCATGACCTTGGAAGGGTTTTATAACAAGGGAGAATGACTGCTGCAATTATACCATAAGAACTTGGGGTGAGTTCTGTCGTATCCTTGTTTTACATACAAGGGAAAACCTGATCTGTACCAAGATGCTCTTCAGGATGTGAATATGGTTAAGGTCTAACGTTCGTTCCTCGTCTTTTATGGGAGCGGGAGGACACCACACCACTGCATCAGCAACAGGAGGTACGGCGACAGAGGAAGACATCTACTAAAATGTGAAGATCACTCATAGATACTGCTCAAGTAGACTGCAGTCAACTTCCAACCGAGGAAGATATCTAAAATGTGATAAATTGCGGCAGAGGAAGATATCCATTGCTCAAGACTCTTTCTAGTCAACTCGAGTATTCAAAGTACCTAATCAGACAACAAGCAAATATGATGGTTTACTGCTCCTGTTCGTAGATACATAATCTAGTCTGTGTACTTATCATACATAGATTCACATGTAAATGCTTGTCAGACCATCCGGCATTTAATCAGTGTTTGCTACTGCGATACCACTACCCAGAAGATCTTTCTTTCCTGCTTCTATACTGCCTAGAAGCTCTCCTTTCCAGGTTTTGAGTAAAAGGATCTTTGTTCTTTCATGAAAGGGAATATATCTCAGCACTATGGTTTTGCACATCAGCAGCACCACGATAGTGGGCAGGCGGTCTCCGGATCACAGCATCGGATGCTTGACAGAGGTGGTGGTGGATCGTTGTATATGAACCACATGAGTAGTAGTGCATCTTCCTCCTATCAATATGGAACAGGGGGCGCGCCGGGAAGTTATAGCACGCACTATGGAAAATATGGCAGGCAAATGGACGTGTCTCCAAATGTTGTGGGACTGCAACCTCGAAGAGGGGCACGTACACTCTCTTCTACATAAAGATGTTAGTCCCACTACATCGAGGATGATGATGATATTACTTGATGATATTAATCATTAGTGTTGTTGGCGCACTAGTGCTAGCCTAAAACATCCACAAGAGGAGCGTAGATACAGTAAAATTGTAAAAAGCTGACAATTTTTCCCAAAACTTAAACTCGGGCTCAAAACACTTACATTTACTGCTATATCACAAGTAGTACCTACGTACGTACAACATTCCCTCACAGTGAAATAGTCTTTACTGTACTGACCTCAGCGCGGCATAGCGAGAGTGGGCCACCACCGGAACCGAAGAAATTTGCCTATCTAAAAGAAGGGCTTTTGCTGCATGGGCGAATACGGAGAATATCGAAAAAACACAATTGGGGTTGGCTCTCTAGTGAGAGTTGCTACTGCGATATCCTGTTTACACTCAGCGAGTACTTTTTTTTCTTTGATATTTCTTTGTCAGTAGTAGTCGTCCGAAGTAATGTCTTTGTATCCTATGAAAACTATGGGTTAGCCTACTAACGATCCAAGATGAATTTCTGCATCAACACACACCAGCGTGCAGCACGCACCTCCGAGTCACCGCGTACCAGAGGGGTGCTCATCCTTGCCACCTGACGCAGACCCTGCATCTGGATTTTTAGATCTTACCAGCGGTAGCAAGTCAGCAGGAACAAGTCAGCAGTCAACAGGAGCTGAGCAGGGCAGTGCCACCACTGTGGGAACCACAACTGCGGGGGCCACTTCTGTTGAGAAACCAACTACCGAGACGAAAGGGGCTACTAGTACAACTAATGTTGGAGCTAGTAATGATGTTGTGGATCCTGGTGCTGTCACCAATACTACAACCAGCTCTACTAGTAGCGAGCCGGTGCCGTTGAAGCGGGACGATGTCGTGAGCTTTCACATCCAGCTAAATGACAGGCGTGTGATATATTTGCTAGAGCAATATAACGCGGACATGGGGAGCACGAGTTTAGCAACATTGCCATCTTCAGCAACGCCGAAGCACGTCGACGGCGCAGCTCTCGTGAAGACAGCGAGCACTGCGAGTTCCTCGGCATCTGCTACAGTTACGACGAAGAGTGCGTCTACAGTTTTTGACAAAAAAGATTTAAGTAACATTACATATAGTTTCAACATCTTTTTTTATAGCCTATTTCACGCCAAGCACTAGTCCACAAACGATGCCGCGTCTACAGTAGTACTAAGATTATAGTCGCAACATCTTTTTTGCTTGCCATTCACTATCCAGTTTATTCTCTGCCAGTCGCGATCCACTTGATTTTTGCTTATACCACAATAAAAATATCGATATCAGATCCTTTGATCTGCCGTAGTTGAGAAAGCTCCAATACACGGGGACCTAGTACTTCCGGCGTCAGAGGTAGTAAAACAGCAGATACACCATCCACTGCGGCGTATGCGGTCTCTAGCGGCGACGCCGAGGAGCCTGAAAGTAGAGATAAAAACTGGTGCGCGTCGACACCTGATCTGGCCGGCGAAAGCATAATCCAAGTCGGAACTAAAAAGAGGAGGACAGAGGATTTAAGGAGTCTGATGATCGAGTTCGAATAACCTTTAGACTGTTCGAATCGTGTTACACTCTTAGTTGGACGATAATTTTTTGTCTTAGGTTCGTTGTATTTTCAGTTTGTAGAACTTTTTGGAAGAGATAAGCGATCGTGCCACTCTTATACTTGGAGGATATAATTCTGGACCTAAGGTTCTTTGTTTCAGCGCGTAGAACTCTTAGAAAAGATGGGGGATGTTGAATATATTTTCTTGTATCCGAAGATTGATACTTGATAGTTCTTTCTGGTTGTAGAAGACGATTGAAAACAAGGTAGTAACGAATATCCTAGATCCAGTACAGAGCTACGGTGGCATCGTTGGAAAATTACTCCAACAAGAATCTTCTCGTCTAATCCAAGGAGCGTCTACTAGTAAGGAGAGCAGTTGCGGAGGTTCCGTGACCGAGGGAGGTGGAGACTCCGGTGTATCAACCGACCTCCAAGAAGCGCGACCAACTGCGGGTTTCGAGGAGGACAGAAGTGCCTCTGAAGCGACCGATAGCACGGACGTCAAGACCAACGCTGCAAAGCACGGCGAAGGGTCATTGGAAGAATCTGGTACGGCAGGTGCAGTCGCAGCTTCTACCGCACCTTCTACATCTTCAGGAGGAGGCGTTCAAGTTCCAAGTGCGGAGAGTAGCACTTCCAAAACTGGAGACGTCAAGCTGGCAGCTGGCAGTGCAGTGTCAGCAGCAGCAACACTACCTGTTTCTGATAGTGGATCTCAGAATAAGGGGAGAACCGAGTCGGGCAGTACGACCACGGGCAGCAGCAGTCTGCAGACAGGCAGCAGCAGTACGACAGCGCCATCGCTCGTCTCCTGCTTGTCCACGACGTCGCTAAACCCGCAGCTTTCCAATAGTTCGAACACGAGGCAGGTCCTTTTCACCGCAGCAAACATACGGAAAATGGAGTGCCTCGAGGATTTGCCGGCTCAAATCGCCAATTGCATCCCAGGGAACGGGCTCCAGACGAGGGCGCCACCTGCCAGCTATGTTGTCCACCATCTGTTTGATCATATGTAAACTTCTCTTCAAGCATGAGGCAACGGCGTTCTTTTGCTATCCTCAGTATAGATATCTATATCACGACCATCCGGTTAGTAAAGTAGGAGATTTGAGGCAAGTGACTGATCATAGATCTATTATGCAATCGATTATTTGCAGTTGGAATTATAGATTAAAAGATCATTATTCTTGCTGGAGTTTGTAAGTTCCCTTCATACCAGTCGCAACTTTACCAACTACGGACCTGGGTATCAGGCTGAAAAGGGCAGGCAGTATCCGATTCCTCACACGGACGAGCTTTTCTTTTGTTCGAACCCGTTGGTGCGGAGCACCGAGTTGGCCAGCAGTTCTTCGTCGGCCACACAGCCTGCTACGGAGCTCTATGAGAGGGAAAAGTGCACTCACACTCAAGAAAGTTGCTACTTTCGTACTTGAATCCTATGCAAGTTCTTGAGTGTGAGTGCACTTTTTCTTTTCAGAATCTCAGTGGTGGCTTTACTGCGGCAAGTGCTGGAGTGCCTGGACAAGGGAATGCTGGAATGCCTCCTGGGACAGGCGCGAGTAGTGCGGGGTCCGCTTCTGCGAATGTTGCTGCAGGATCTTCAGGGGCGACCGCGTACGGAGAGCACTTGCAATCCGGCAAAAAGAGTCTTTCATCGTTGCTCAGTGAAACAGGGAGTCTGCGACCCTCGAGCGCCAAGTCAGACGCCAAAGGCAGTGAGGCAGGGATGGGTAATCTTTCATTTGTGGTTTCAGCATGATGAATAGGTTCACTTGATTTCAACATGATGGATACGGACTGGAAATTCACATTCAGCTTTCTTTGGCTAAAGTTGTCTTATGACTTACTATTTATCTTCTGCTTCTGCAGCTTCGCGTCCCGGGTCTCGAGCAGGTACTCAAGATGAGCTTGTCCTGATGGACTACAATCGGGTCCAGACTCTGGCTCACCAGCGTTACCAGGCTTTCAATCGTGGCAAAGGAGGACGCTTGCAGAGGACCATGAGCGATCAAGACGGCGGGCCTCCCGGGGGGCAGGCGCCCGGAGGACAGTCGCATCCCGCAGCTGGTGGCCAGCCGCAACAGCACCTCGGCGGCGCTGCAATGGTGCCACAACAACACCTCGCGGGTGTGCAGCAGTCTGGCGGTCTCGTTGGACCCGCAGCCAATGGCGCAACTGTCAGCCACCTCGTAAATAGTGGTATGCAGCAAGGGGACCAGCGTGTGGACCCAGCCAGAGCGCCGACAACGATTCTATTACAAGGCTTACACGCATTCACGAAGTACAGCGTTGAAGAGGTCGCGCAAATGATCATGAAAGTTATGGCTAAAGTGGATATGCAGCTGTACTCATGTACTAGTACCATGAACTTATCTCCATGATCAAACTATCATCTACATTCATAAGATAGAAATAGGAATACACTTCATGGAAAGCTACTCTAAAATTGGGGATGTGGTGGCGAAAGAGCCACTGCGGAAGGTACTTCACGAGACCAACTCCGATCCTTGCCGATGCGCCAAGGAGTACGCAAATTTGATCCTGAATTGCCATGCAATCGTCGACGCCTACAACGTGCAGCAGTTCTATCACCGACTGCCGGTGCCCATGGGTCCTGGAGTACTTCTGTGTTTTTCTCTGTGATTCACTTACAGCTTCTCTTTTGGACTACCCTTTGTTGGCGGCCGATTACTGATGATTTGGTATTATTTCAACTAAATTGTCATTCTCTGTCAGAGTGCGACCGGGGTTCAAGGCGTCACTGGAATGGGTCAGACAAGTATCGGCCAAAATATGAACGCTTTTAACACCAGTATGAATAGTGGCAATAGCATGGTGCCGGTCAGCAACGTTCAAAATTTGATGGGTGGCGGTCAGAATTTGATGGGAGGCGGTCAAAATTTGATGCAGCAGACACCTAATATGTCGCAGCCTGGCGCACAGCAACTATCGGGTATGCAGCAACCAGTGGGGATGCAACAGGCGGCGCTACAGCAAGCGGGGACACAGCAAGCAACCATGCAGCAGACAAACCTACAGCAGTCAGGGATGCAGCAGCAGCAGCAGCCTGGAATGCAGCAGCCTGGAATGCAGCAGGTGGCTATGCAACAAGCGACTATGCAGCAAGCGACGGGCAACATCCAGCAAGCGGCGATGCAGCAGGCAGCCGCGCAGCAAGCGAGTATGCAACAGAACGGCATGCAGCAGGTGGGCATGCAACAGGCAGCCATGCAACAAGCAGGCATGCAGCAAGCGGGAATGCAGCAAACGGGAATGCAACAAGCAGGCATGCAGCAAGCGGGAATGCAGCAAACGGGAATGCAACAAGCTGGCATGCAGCAGGCAGGCATGCAGCAGCCGGGAATGCAGCAAGCGGGCATGCAGCAAGCGGGAATGCAACAAGCAGGCATGCAGCAAGCAGGCATGCAGCAAGCGGGAATGCAGCAAGCGGGAGCAGCACAGCAGGCAACTATTCAACAGGCGAATATGCAGCAGACAGGGCTGCAGCAAGCAGGTGTGACGCAGGCGATGGCGCCCGGCGCGCAAGGGATGCCGCTTGGAACAAACGGTAGCAACCAGCTGGGCGGCTGTTCCTCTCAGCTAAGCAACCAAGCTTCCACCCAGCTGAGCGTCGCACTAGCCAATGGGGGCGCGCAGCAGCAGAACGGCCAGATGGCGCCTGCGCCTCAGCAGTTGTCGCAACAACTAAACATGCAACAACAAATGGGCAACATGAACCAAGGCATACCCTCCAACCAACACCCTTCAATTAAGGCTCGAAATGTTTCATCCCTTCCACATTTTACAGAAGAGTGTGATGATGAACTAGTAGAATCTACATGTTGCAGAATGTGATGATGATCTAGAACCAGGCTACAGGTCCTGTAGCTGGCTAAGTGGTGCCAAACAATGGACCAATAGTACTTAATGAAGTGAGTGAGATGTTCTTCTTTCAACCTTTAATCCGAGCATTACCAGCAACAGTAGCAACAGCCTTGGGCCACTCTTGAACGGGAGCCAGAATCTGGGTCTCTTGAACGGGACCGGGAATACTGGGCCGCTCGTACCAGGGAACCCAGGCAACGCAATTTAAGGCCCGTCCTTCAAAAATCCATCCTACGAAAACCTTGAGAGGCATTCTTTATCCACGCAATATGTATTGCCAGGGAAATCTTAGGCATGTTGCCGAATAGATTCGACTCGTCACGTATCCTTGAAAAAAATAGTATCTACCTCTTTAAACTACTTTAAAAAGAAGACGAATCTCACTAGGTATGAAGGAAGCTTTCTTGTTCACCTTCTTCAGGATCACGCTTAATAATACAATAGATATTCCGAGAATAGATGGAGTACGATTTTTTGGAAAAATTACTGTTTAATTCCTCTAGCTCTCTCTAATGAAGGCAGCACGTCGGTGGAATGCCGCAACAAAATGCCAACACCTTGACAACGTCTGCCAGCAAGCAGGAAGTTGCTAGGGAAGACTCGGGGTCTTCGGGGTTGAATAGCCAGGCTCCGATGTTCACTCCCAGCGGACAACAAAGGCTTCGACCGGTACTCTACAATTTTGTTAGAATTGTCGCCTCTTCACCTTCAATCATCTAAGGCACCCTTCAACTGCGTTCGTCTTTGGTCATCGATATTAAGTACCATTCTCGAGTAAGATCAAGTTCGCATTCAATAAAATAGTTTTCGCATGATTTACCATTTTATGTCTCCTCTTGTCCTACAGGATGCTTCGACGTGGTTTCCGAACCTTGACGCGCAAAGTTGGTACTTGCCCAACCCTTATTAAAAAATTAGGCAATGTTGGAGGTGGTCTATGCGGCTATGCTGTTGTACCTCTTTGTATCCCTCACGCAGGGATAATGTTGGTTCCCCCAGAATCGTGTCGCTGAATTTTTGGTCCCACTCACAATAACCTCCACAAGTTTGTTTTCCAATTATGGTGTCTTCATCTAACAAAGACGTATCATTTTCTTTGCGTTGTGAAAGACTGCCTTCGTTCTACTTTTCTAGCTTCCAGCAATAAATAAGTAGCATCTACTTTTGCGTCTCAAACCAGCACCGTCAAGTTGATTGCTTGCATTCCGGTGTTGATTTTGAGAGCGCCGGTGCCTCAACATTTTCTTCACTCTGCGTTGACATAGTTCTCGTGTCTTGTCTGATAAGTACTATGTACTCGTCAACGTTTATCATTTGGCTCCACACCCTCCTTTGTTCTACCTACATCGATTATACATTTCTGTAATGCATTTCGACTTACTAGGTCCTCTCTGCTATGAGGATACAAAAAGACCTAAAGCTTCACAATAGACGGTGTTATTCTGGCCTTCGTGTGGTCTTACATCAGCCTTTGAATAACATTATGCTGGTCATCTAGCTACACCTAAACATATATTAAAGCAAAGCCTTTTTGCGAAATTTTCTATTCCATTACATACTGTTGCTGCTTTCTACTAAGTAGCATGATTGGATATTTCTACTCTTGAATTATGGTGGTCTATGAAAGAAGTAGACATTTACCATAAGATGTGATGTGTCCTAAAAAAGCCTTAAAATTGGAATGATTTCCAAGCGTTTTTCTTTGTGACAAGCCCATTCCTCTTTTTTTTAAACTCCCCAAAGCCAAACACGTAGATGGAGGAGCCCTCCCAGAACGACGGACACAACATACTAGATATGGTGACATACGAATCTTGCCAGTTTGATGTAGGTAAGCATTTGCCACTTTGGTTTTTGATCGGAATAGTTATCTTCCGGGAAAGGCCTTTACGGAGGAGAGAGATATGCTCGCTTTGATAGTTGTAAAGTCTACGAAGGCGGATGTTGCATGTACCGCAAATCGAAACAGACTTCTAAGTCGTGGGCAAAAAAATGTAGAGTTGTTGTATCTGAATCTGAGAGTGCATCAGCCAGGGCGCTGAACAGATCTGAGCTCGGAGGGAAAAAGGGATAGAAAAAGACGTGTGTCAGATTGCAGGTATTCCACAAAAACAGAGCTCGTCCAAATGGACCATGAACACGTCGCCCAATCTCTGTCTTGAAAAACAGGACTGACATTGGTTAGCAAGTTCCAGGGCATCTTCCTTGTCGGCTCGCAAAATGGCGCCCCCATCAAGAGTCTTGGGGGCGACCTGCGGGCCGCTTGATCACTTTCGTACAAGGAGAAGAGCAACAAGAAAAATCCTGGTCTCTCGGAAACGACGATTGAGCAATCGTTCGTCTTCTTCGCTTGTTCTTCTAAGTGGATTGCTGAATTGCATCAGGTGGATTGCATTAGACGTTTCTCTAGTCCAAGTGCAAGCAACCGAGAGTGCAGCTTCTGTCTTCGACGGGACTGAGTTGCTTCGTAATGCGGTGTCGCAGCGACAAAATCAACGCCCCACAGGGGAGCGATTGAAGGAATCACAAAGACCACACGTGGGGAGGAATCCAGGAGAGGAGTCCGAATCTACGCCAGCTACTCCTATTCTTGCAGAATTGCGAACAACAACCGGCAGAAGCGAACTCGCGGACACACAGCAAAGCCTTGAGATGGATGCGCGGTGTCCAGTAGCATCTAACGACGTATGCGCGCGTGCAGGTGGTGCGCCGAGCTTCATGCAGATGCCGTCAAAGCCCCTGGAGTATCCTAATCCCAAGGGCGGTCGGGTGCTAAGCTTTGAACCGAAAACGACGTCTGACGGCTTCGGGATGTAAATATTTTGAATAAATCTTCTATTTTCAGTAAGCGGCGAAAAATGGTATTTACTAAAAGATACCTCCACCCATATGCGTCCTCGCCCTTATATATAAATGACACCAAAGTAGTGCGTGCGTATTTCAACACTGGATTCGAAATTTGAGTTTGTTTACCATCTACTTCTACTTCCTCTCCAAAAATTCAACATTCCCTTTCACATTCATCAACATCAAATCGCCTTCAGATACAATGTGGATTTCAAGCCTGGAAAGTTTATGTGCAGTAAATGCGACGTAGCGACTTGTCCCACCTGCAACGTGGTATGCGACCTCTCCTCGTGCAGTAATATCCACTTCTACGAAACGGAGTGCTGGTGTCGGAGAAAAAGTGACGTGAAACTCAAATCTCCCCTTTGGCGTTTGAGGAGGTAAATGAACTCTTATCAATTTTCCGAATGATGTCTTTGGTGATTGTCTACCTACGCCTTGATCGATGCATGTTCTGATATTTGAGATGTGAACTAATTGTAGTTCTGATCGTTATCATGAAACAATTTTAGCTCTTATGCTCCTGAATACGTAATATTTACTAAGTCCTTAATAGAATGAATAATAGATAGTAGAAGATACTGTCTGCAGACACTGGGTAATGCCCGTTTCATCGCGCCAGTAGGTTAGTAGTATTTTGACTAGAGACAGGATGAACATCTTTATTCGTGCTTATTTTTTTCCCTACGTTGATGTACAGTGATACGGACGGACAGTTTGTGCTGAGTGGGTCAGTTCACAAGGTTTTCTGCAATGAGCAATGCGGAGGCGGCGTTTGCGACATGGATGGCTTGTTATGACGGAAGGACCTGTTCATATGGACTTCTTGATGATAGGGACTTCCTGATATGATGAGTATTTGTTTCATCACGATGACCTTGTAGTTACATCATTTTCACAGTTATTTTCGTGCACAATAGATACAGCTTCTAACCATTCAAGTTTAGGAATTCTCCTTTCATTTTGGTACAATCCCCTTCTGTCCTCTCCTACACACAAATACAAATCAAACAAGCCCTCCTTGCTTCTTTTTCATAAGTATCTATGTACACAACTTTTACCGGTTGATATCCGCTTTCCGCTTTTCATACCTACAATGCCAACCTTACAAAACGGCACAATCTCCGTTACCGTTTGATATCCACTTTCCCCTTTCATACCTACAATGCCAACCTTACAAAACGGCACAATCCCCGTTACCGTTTGATATCCACTTTCCCCTTTCATAGCTACAATGCCAACCTTACAAAACGGCACAATCCCCGTTACCGTTTGATATCCACTTTCCCCTTTCATACCTACAATGCCAACCTTACAAAACGGCTTGTCGTCCTTGGTGGTGGTGTGGCTTAGATCCACCGGCAGAAACGCTGAAAGACGACACCTGGCAAGGCATCTCAGGCGAAGAGTATCTTCGACTAGCTACTCAAGTTTTTTTTTCAGGCGAAGAGCATCTTCTATTGCTCAAGACATCAATTTGATGTTTAGAGGAAAGGTAAAATGTTAGAGCTATCGACTTAATCTAGGTGAAGCGTATCTTCCACTATTACATATCAATTACTGATCAGTCCTTGATGATGATGATGTTAGTCGATTCGGATTGGACCGACGACTTCCCTGAATCTTAACCGAGAAAAAGAAAATGTGAAGAGGAATTACGATGAGCCTTAACACAGGAACCAGCAAGGAATAATTGTTCTCCTCGGATCGTCGCTGTACTCCTACCTATTTGTGGGATTTTTCTCAACACAAGGAAATAGATGGTCACGCTCACATTGCACAACATATATTCTACAAACGAGGTATACGACGTCTTTTCTGCAGAGGTCACAGGAGCAAGAGTCCGCGGAAGCTGTAAGTAGGCCGTCTGCCGAGAGGTCTTCAATATCAGAGAGGAGGATTCCACCAGCACTGCAATTTTTGCAGATGCGCAGAAAAGTCGAGACCAACGACAAGGGGCTCTTCCAATTCGAGGCAGGCGGCTGGACTTGCGGTGATGCCGCTTATCCACCGAAAATCCAGAACAAGAACACCTACTTGTATTTACGGTCTGGGATACTAGCAAAAGATAAAGAACACCATTTGATGTCAGTTTATGCCTGACTACAGGGGCAAGGCGGGGCAACTAGCTCACTAGAAACGACTAAAACGCTTGAAACGAGTGACATACTTGAAACAAGAAATAAGAAAACATTTATCGAGACTCTAATTTTCGAGGACCGCGGTTACATAATATTTCCGAAGCAGAGCTGCAGTGGGGCGTCTTACAATAGCAAGTGCTACTGCTGGGACGAGCAGGCGCGCGTGAGTGGTGGCGACCCCCTCACTAGCGAAACCATGTGCGATTCCGGCTGTTCTCTTGGGGAGTGCGCGCTCAAGTCCCAGTGTGGCAGCGCACCGCCGCCGCCGTTTGTGGCGCCGTCGCCTGTTTTTCCGGATCCCGTAGCGGCAGAATCGCAGTTCGCCAGGGAAGTGCGCACGACGCAAGTTACCGCGGAACAACACGGGAATCGCTGATCAGGAGGCGAGAATCGCTGATCAGGAGTCACTAAAAAGTACATGATCATGAGTCCTTACCCAAAGGAATCGCTGATCATAAGTAGTACATAATCACCACTCTTTAGGAGTAGTAGCCGAAACCACCACTATCAGGAGTAGTAACCAACCCTAACAAGAAGTGTCAGTAACAGGAAGCAAGTAAGTAAGCACCTAACTACCGCTGGAACTTGATATACTTATGATTCTTGCGGACACTGCTGCCATGGGTAGTTTCCAATTTCTGTTATGGAGTGGTTCAAAGAAGTCACGAAGGAAAACATTACTTCTTTTTTATAGAAACCAATTTTTATCGTTATCGTTATTGTCCATTAGACAAAACGCGTAGCTTAGTCTCTCATTCGCTTGCTCTTTGCTCTCTCGTTTGGCATTCGTTATTCCGATTCCAAAGCTCTTTCTTCCACCAATACTGTTTCTTGCAAATCATAAACTCTCTGCAAGCGTCGTACAAGACGTCAAGAAACCTTTGTTATAGCCTAGTAGCTTTGCGGCTTGATCATAATTGTGCATAGCAGAAGTAAGCCGTTGATGATAGGCAGGACAAGGACAAGAGCTCCTGTGCCAAACCGCGTGTCAAGTCTTTTGTTCACGTGGCCCTATGATTACGAGGCCCGCGTAAGAAATTCGATCACACGCGCTGAGCGATGCACCAATGCGGACCATTTTGAGCGAACTCCTCACGAGCGATACTAGACTAGATACGCCTCTAACTATTGAGATAAGTTGTAAGAAAATGTAACCAGCAGGCAGTTCTTGTTCTAGAACTCGCTGGATCATCACTCGATATTTGAATCAGAAGATGTGACGACTTCTACGTGAAACGTCGTGCGCGATTTCGCGCTATGACATCTTCAAAAATGAGCACCTGTCCTCCAAGGTTTTTAGCGGCCATCGTCGTGCTTGCGAAGCAGGTGTCTTGTCGGGATGCGACGCAGAATCGCAGAGACTTGGCGGACTACCTCCTAGAACCTACTAACAAGGAGCTCTTCGCGAAAGAAGATGAATCGCTCTTCACGACTGGCATTAGGGAGAAGCTCGAGGATGGGGAAGATGAGGATCTAGAAGGTCAGTTCCTGGAATCGCAATCCTCTGAAGATTCTCCTAAAAGTTATGGGAATTATGGAAATTTATGTTTTTCTTTGTTCTTCGCGTTCCCTTTTCAGTCGCAGAGCAGCTTAATTACCCTCTGCTCTTGTCTATCCTCCTCTGATCTTTCTTTTTAGGTCGGCTCCACCACAACGTATTAGAATGGCATCATATTAGCACAGTATCTATCAGTGTGTTCTTTTTTCTGAGTTGCCTCTTTCTAACGTGAGAGACCGAGGGATCCAGCAGCAGAGGATACATCGTCGTTTCTGGAGTTCAATGAAGAAGCGCATAGCGAACAGAACATCAACATTGGTACGACAGGAGCACCAGTGATGGTCTCCAAGAGCGATCGTCCGATGATGACGACTCGTAGCTTAGTGCCACCACATGACACCAGAGGGACGGAAACGAGTAGATGCAACGCGCGGCATCCGGTAAGACAGCGCGTGGTGGCAAATTCGGACGAATTGGAGTACTTCTTTTCGAACGATGTCGACATCACGGTTCCTCAAACATGTGCTTCCGCGGCTTCGTGCCCGTGTCGGAGCTTTCTGGAGTCGCAGGGTGGCATAGATTTGAAGCGAGAGTTAGGGCTTCTGCACTGGCTTATTTGTCGATAGTTTTTTTATGCATGTTCAGCTTCATCAGACAGCCATTGTTTCATGTGTCTAGAAACAGATCTCTCGCTTTATATGAAGTATGTAAACGTAATCGTGTTTGTTGAGAAGTGAGACGGTAAGAAATGAACGACGTGCCATCTGCGTGGTTGGCTGGACCTGTTGATTATGCATCCTTTCTAATCTGATCCGAGGGGCAAAACGGAGGACAAATAACGAGAGGATTGACGCCAGAGGTTATAGAGTCACTGTCATGCTGCAAGGGGCCTTTTTTCGCGCATCTGGGTGCCATAAGAGACCGGTATAAGCACAGAGAAAACCGTCTTTCTGGGACGGAGATCGCGCAGGCGATTGCAAGCAGTACCGCTTTGAAGATAGTTAGGTTTCGTGGGGTTTTTTTTGTAGAAATGCTTTTTCAGGAGGACAATGATATCGACTAACAGCAGTTTTTATATGGATTCGAGTTTTTGAGTTCGGGATTCAAAAAGCAAGATTTTAATTGAAATAAGTTTCTAATTCTATTTCTTCCTCCTCGAGCTTGCTATTTTCTTCTCGCGTAGAGGAGAGGACAACCAGCAAACCGAACATCAGTTCTGAGTGACAAAGAGGTTATCAGAGGACCAATTAGAAATTTTAGGCAAGAGCTTGCACTTCTAACTTAGAACAGGAAGCGAAGCGGTATTTCATCAATTATTTTGCAAAGTCGCCGTTCGGCCAGACCTTACTTCATCATCGACACGAGACCTCGCAGCAGCATGAGCCTTTAAGGGCTGTCAAGTGCCCGTGCTCTCCATTCATTTCATTGATCCTTGAAGATTGGTATACTGCTAGAGGAGCATCGTTGTCGATATTCAGAGGTGAGATTACAGCGTCTAGTTTATCTTTTTCTTCAGACAACGTCGACACGTCGACCACTAGGGCAAAGAACTGCTAAGATCAGGTGAATTTGCTCATTATTGACTAAGAACGATAAGCATGGCAATTCTGAAGTTTATCGAAATTTATCCAGTCACTCACACTTCGTTTAGCACATTAAGTATTTTCTCTAAGTTAAGACGCGAAACAAAGCAGCCTCGCAGAAAGCGGGTCGTCCTCTGTGGCTAGCTTGTTCGACCCCTCTTGGGGCAAGGCTTCGGCCTCGATTTGGGCCGATATCGTGCGTGATGTCGGCTTCGCCAAGTTCTTTGACGCAGCCGCAAAGTACCAGGACACGTGTCACGACGCCGTAGCAGAAATTTTTTTATTAAGGGTTCCACCCACATTACACTTACATTCTCCACTAACATCTTCAACCAAGCTAAAGAAGTCAAGGTTGTTGCTCGGAGGAATGTAATCCACCCGTAACCTCTAATTATAGCACGGACATGTGAGCTGTGTCGACCAAATTTACATGCGGACTATCTCGAATTGGACACGTCGACATCGCCGGAAGCGAAACTTACCGAGCGTGCTCTAGCTTATGTTGCAGTGATCTATCTTATTTGTCTGATGATACGCTCAACTACGAAAAGTACGTTTTAGTGGTTCACAACTCCACCAGTGGTTTTAATCGCCCCTTTCATCTGCCCACGTTAATGAAGCGAGTGCAGTCGCGGAGCGCAAGAGCTAATCAAGCTGTGGACGAAAATCAAGAGGCCTTTTACGAAATCGTCGGACGGGGTATTTCTTTTGCGGATCTTGGACTCCCGCTTGGGACCGCTCAAAGAAGAGATTGCCCATACGCTCATGCATAGCCAAGCAGCTGGAGGAAAGAAAAATCGAGGACACAGTCCTTAAGAGCAACCACAACATCAGGAACATTGAATCTGTCTTAGAGTGAATGTATGAAGTCCATACAACACAGACGTCACGTCATCTAGTTGTACTGATTTTTCAACTTGAAAACTGTTTTCCGATTGAAAACTCGAGATTTAGAAAGCAGTGGTAGCGTTAAAAATAGGTGGCTTTAGACAACTCTGTTCAATCTTCGTCTACTCGTATAGTTCACTGTTATTTTCTAATATTTGAAAAGAGGAACTACAACAAAAAATGCTAACGATAACAACGACGGGAAGTATTACACGCTAGCTCTAAGGTCATTATCCTGCTGTCGCACACCACCCCGCTCGGCATTCGACATGCGTTTTGCCCGCAAAGAATTCGTATGATGGGCTGCAGGACAGCGAAGGACCAGTGTTCACGTATCCACCCGACTGTTTGCATCGCGTGGAGGCATCCTCTTGGCTAGCCGATTTCCTTAAGGCTGTCTCCCTAATGCATTTTCAGGTAGAGCATGTGCGATGTCAGTGTTGTGCTCTGCTACACGTAGAGGAAAAAGTAGCACTGCTACGAAGAGACCGCTCAAGAGGTTTAATGTAGTTTTTGTTAGTAGGTGAGGTCTAATGTAGTCATGAAGGTGGATGCCGAAGTGCTTCGTGTTCAGGATCTTTTCGTGAATGGGGGAGCGCGGTTTCGACATCTCGTGCGGAGTGAGGGCTTTGTTTTTCGAACTGGCCTGTATGGAGTATGGAATTTCGAACTACTCAGGGAAAATATTGCAGGGGTTTCGTTTGCGGAGAGTGAGAAAACACCAGGAACTTCCGAAAGGGACGGTGTCAGTGAGACTGGCGAGCAAGGCACAACATCTTCTTCGACTGACGATCGCAATACTGCGACGTCGCCTGGTGCTGCAGGTGAAGCTGCTGGGAAGAGATCGAACGGCGAAAATAGTGGTCTAGCTGAATGGGCTGGTACTGTAGCTCAAAAGGAACCACCGGAAAAAGAGGAAGAAGTCACAGGAAAAGAGCAACATCCAAGAGTGGAAAAGCTGAGTCCAGTACCAGAAGCTCCGTCTCCGATCGCCTTTCACGACCGTGGACAGAAGTGCTCGAATCCAAATGAGGTGTTCGATGTTCGTGCAGGACGTTGTGTATGTCATCCGTGTCACTTGTGGACCGCGCACCGCGGACCGACAGAACAGCACGAATCCGCGAGAAGTACGCATACGAAGAACGAGGCTTCGTCGGTACCCGCGGCGGCGATTCAGATGTCCAGGGAAAATAAGGATGGCGAGGATGAGGATGATGATGACGAGGAGGATGAGGATGATGATGACGAGGATGACGATGGAGACGACGCGGATGGGGATCATGGAGAGGAAGATAAAGAAAAAGACGGGGACGAAGAAGAAGAATCGGAGGGAGATGGAAATAATGGCCAGGAAGCGAGTGAAGATGGTGATAGCGCAAAGAATGAGCGAAATGGCCGCGAAAGTCCCAAAAAGAAGGGTGGAGAGAGTCCTACGCCAGGAAATGTGCTGGTGGAAGGTGACAAGAAGGAAGAACGACCTCCCAGTGAAGCTGGGAATCCTTCTGGCGGTGGAGAAGCAGAGGTACAGAAGACAGAAGAAAGTGGAACACATAGTAGTCCGAAGCCTGGTCCTGGGGCTGCGGATCCCCAACCGAAGAACCCGAGGGTGGGAAGCTCAGATGATACTGATAAGGCGGATCAATCCGACCAAATCGCAAAAAAGCCAGATGCCGCAGCCGAAAAAGTACAGCCAGTAGTTGAGAAGAAGGCTGATAATGGTGGACGTGGAGATACTAGTAATTCTCCTAGTTCTCCTGCCAAGACACCAGCTAGTTCTCCTAGTTCTCCTAGTAGTAGTGCCTCGGACTCTGCCAAAACACCAACAGCAGCATCAGGTGAACCAGACTCCGGGGACGTGAAGAAGAGCAAAAGTTCACAAGTCAAGCCGACTTCGCCTGCAGACGCTGAGGCAGCTGCTGATCAGTCCCCGGCTTCAGCAAAGCAGGAGGGAGGTCATGATACTTCTGGAGACGAGCAAAGCGTAAGCAAACCAGAAGCTGCATCCGGTTCTTTGGCGGATCAGGCTTCGTCTTCTTCGTATGAGCAGGTTTGTCGTGCACAGCCGATCCCCTATTTGCCGACGCAGCAGAGCTTTCCGCCATTGCTCTTCAGTGCCGCAGCAGCGGGAACAGCGGAGGGGTTTGGACAGCACTTGAGCGTCCTTGCGTTCCAGAGTTGTCACCGAATTCCAAGTCTCATAGTCCAGGACGGGTTCATAGAACCCCCCGTAGATGTAACTCGGAACACAGCACTGCGGCTGGTCGGGGTGTCTGCGTTGAGCGCGGATCTACGACGGCATCTGAAAGTTCCAGCGTCTCCAGTTCCTGCTGGTGCAGGCGAGACAGGATCTGCATCAGGGCACCTTTTGGTGAATGCGGAGCCGTTCAGGCACGATATCACATGGCCGCGTTCGAGCGTCGCTGCCGATGCCGAAGAGAACTATCTAGAGTACGTAGTCGGAACTACATCACGGAAGATGCGTTTCGATATGTGCGGAGGTAAGGTAGAAACTGATGATGGCGCAAGCACGATCATCGACGTCGAGCCCGCTCCGCTAGGGTCGATGGACCCGTCTGAAAATCCCTTGTTTCGATTTGCGGTCGGCCAGGAGACGCTGTTGCGGCTCCGTGCCGCCGCACAACACCTTCCCGATGCTGATTCGCTTCTGAGCTCTGCTGGGAGCCAAGATCGTGACGGAGAGGCTGCTGCTGATCCTGAGGAGACTGCCACACCTGGAGATTCGACTGCCGACAAGGATAAGTCGAATGTTGACAAGAACGCGGCCCTCGCTGCAGATGTCGGTGTTGGGGGGACGGCTGTCAATCCGGGGCCAGGAAATGTTGGTTCCGGTGAAGACACCGAAGCCGCGGCCAATCCTGCAGGGAGCTTTTTGCAGAAAAGCAGTAGCCATACAGGAAACGCGCTGTTTCTGGTGTGCGTCAAAATGCCCTACGGAGCTATGCGCCGGCAGTGGGAGCCTATTGGCACAGTGCATTTTCGCGAACTCGTGGGATCGGTCGAACCTATTGGCACACTGCATTTTCGCAGATCGGTCGAAGATGCTAAGGACGAAAAGCCTGAAGGCTCTAGGGACAACCCAAATGAAACGGCAAGAAAAGATAGCGTCGCTCCAACTGCTTCTTCGGCGCCAGGTGTTACTCCTTCTCAACATTTGTTCACTTAGAAAATTTTCTTGTGTTCTTGTCTTTTAGTTTCTTCGCAGTGAAAGGCGACTCACGGAGCTAACTAGGTTTTTCGCAGTAAGCTACGAACAGTCTTCACTGTTAAAACATGTGTTGAAGTAGAGTTCCTTTCTAGCTCTCCTTTTCGCGCATCTACAGAGCCTTCCAAGACCGAGACCGATGCAGCACGCAGCACTGACGCTTCAGCTCTGAAGGATGTGCCGGTCAGCGAATCGCACGATGGAGGAGAGCAGAACGCTGTAGAGATTCCTCGCGAGAAATTCAAGGTACCATTGGGGAAGGTTGTATGGAAAGCGAAACAGGATGGCCGCGACGTTCGTGTGGAGACGAGCAAGCATCTTGTCGTGGATGCTGCTGCTGCTTCAGAGGATGGGGCGGCAAACGCTGCTAGTACTAATGGCCCAGCTGTTTCTTCTGAATCTGGTCGCGAATCTACAACTTCTACGGACACTGGTACTGGTCTTCCGATTCTTGCTAGATGCCCTACCGATGGCGCACCATGTTTGACACTGCGCTCAAATGCCGCAGGGGTGCTTCGTTTTGTCAATCGCAGAGAGGGAAAGAGCCGTGGTGCTGCGGAAGAGGCCTCGCGCGGCGCACTGGACCGAATCTACGCGACTATTGCAGCCAAGCAGGAGAGCACTGGCGCATCAACAACTTCTTCGGCGGATGAAAAGCCCGCTTTAATCACAGGGGCTTCGTCGTCCTCGAGTCAGCCCATGTCCACCTTACAAGAAGAAGTAGCCACGTTGAGAGGCGCGGTTGATAGTGTGAGGGAGATGGTTGACGGTCTCGTTTTTGCAGAATTGTCCTCAGAGAACCAAGTGGGGACGCAAGCGACCGTGTCCTCGTCCTCTGAAACTCCAGCTTCATCAGGTGAGACAGGTGGAGATGCAATTGCACCTAGCACGCAAGATATTGCTTCGCAACAAGGCATCTCGAGTTCAGGTGATTCCCAAGTGGAGCCAATCGAGGCTGCGCCAGAAGCGGCTGCGGCTTTGCGTACTCCTTCAGATGACAAGGAAGGCAATACTGCCTCTGAGGAACTAGAAGGTTCTGCCCTCAACATAGCAACATCATCGACCACGTCGTCGTTTCAGAGAACCGTGCCACTGCGGATGCGCATTGGCGGAGAGGACCCCGCACAGAAGGACGAGAAGATTGTTCTGGGCGAAGGCAGCGACAATCGACTGGCTATCATCGCCCCAGGAGGCCTCGAACAAGAGCTGGCCGACGCTCATACAGAATTCTTTCGGCCACCGGAAGGTGTGAAACCTGAAAAAGCGGCTGAGACAACTGAGGACGAGAATAGCGGGATCGCGTTGCTAGTGCTGTCAATTCTGGTATCGATGTTATAGGCTTTTCTACCTACAAGAAGGATTTACTTCTACTTACGGGTCTATAAATAATAATTCCTTTGTTTCTATTTGACACTCATTGCTGTGTAACAAATTTAGTTAGGCGGAGGTGAAATAACGCATTCAAATCAAACAAAGCAAAGCATCTCAGATTTCGTGAGGGGATTTCCAGATTCTTTAAGTTCTGTTCTCTTTATTTTGAGGCTACCAAAAACAAAATGAATAAGGTCATCCTGGTTTTGCTTGGCCTGTCATCAAGCTATTTCCGACCTACCTCTGACGACGACGGTGTCGCGGTGGCTGCCGCGACTGAGCAAGAGAGTGCGCAAGACGGACAACAAGCTGCAGTGACGCAGGCAGAGGATGGCGTGAGCCAAGAAATGGTGTCACAAGAAGGTGCGAGTGCATCGGATGAGATCACGGTCGCAGATGTATCAGGTGAGGAGCAAGAAAACTCCTCAGCAACGAAACTAGAGCAGCAACGAGCGACTGAGGCGAAAGCGCCGGCAAATAAGTTGAGGAGCGGAGGGGAGTCGACAGAAGTGCGCAAGACTAGTGCGTCGGAGATGAAGAGGGAACGTTCAAGTTCTCCTGTGGGATCCGTGAAAACTTTTTCTGTCGGTAGCCACGTCCGCTTGATGAACTTGCCAGAGACGAGTGGGGCGCGGGCATTCAACAATGCTGTAGGAACCGTGATCGGCGCTAAGAACGACCTCGGTGAGTTCAAAGTGCGGCTCGAGAATAGCACTCATAATGAGATGCGGATAGGTCCAGAGTTTCTCTCGACCATCGACAATGACGCTTTTGTCCGCGCAGCTTCCAAGAAGGCAGCGGCACCCGCGCAGTCTGGAAAAGCACCACTCGATAGCGTAGCACCGTCTTCTGCAAAACGAGCAGCGCCATCGGGAAAACAAGCAGCGTCGGCGGGAGCGACCCATCCCAGCAAGGCAGCAGCGACTGGGACGACACAGCCTAGCAAGGCAGCACCAGCTGGGACGACACGGCCTAGCAATGCGCCACCGGTTGGGACGACACAGCCGAGCAAGGCAGCACCGGCTGGGACGACACAGCCTAGCAAAGCAGCGCCGAGTGGGACGACACAGCCTAGCAAGGCAGCACCGACTGGTACGACACAGCCTAGCAAGGCGCCACCGGTTGGGACGACACAGCCTAGCAAGGCAGCACCGACTGATGCAGCACCGTCTGCAAAAACAGCAGCGCTGGGTGCCGCTCCGTGGTCTGCAAAAACAGCACCGCCTGATGCGTCACAGTCTGGAAAAGCTGCGGGAACAAAACAAGCTAGCAAAGCAGTGCCTGGAGTTGGGGCTCCCCCGGGGAATGCCTTCGGAAAGGAAGGTCCTCAAAATCGACATTGAATTACGTGATAAAGTTTTCGTCATCACTAAAAACAGGAACACATTCGATTTGCTATAGATTATACCGAAACCAGAGATCACCAATGACTCACTTCTGTGGCAGAACAAGATTTTACAACTTAGATTCGAAGCCACTTGAGGACCACGAAGTGAACTTGCTAAGTCTATCCCACTGTGTAGCACAAGCAACGTCAGCGACGTCGCCAACAACAGCTACAATGGCGCGAGGAAAGGAATCTAAGAGAGCTACGTACTTTTGACAATGTACCTGTGTCTTTAAGTGACTGCGAGTGCGAGTCCTTGAGGGATTAAAAGAACAAGATCCAGCTTGGTCTGGTCTGGTAAGTTCGGGTAAGTACTCACATCGTGGACCTTCCTGTGGTTTTAGCGCAAGACCCTGTCGCCATGAAATACGAAGTCAGCGACGTCACCAACAACAGCTGCAAGGGAGAACACTTCTCACAGCTTTTTCATGTACTGCACCAGAACCAGATACAACAAGTACGATCACAACCGCAACGACACATTGCTAGTGTCTTTGCAATTCCAAGCTAGAGGAAAAGCTACTCTGTAAAAATGAATTAGAATCAAACGAGGGATCGCTGCGTAACGAGAAATATCTTCTCGCGTGATGTGATACGGAAGATCTATCCGATCATGCTCGCTCGTTTTCGTTCGCGAAATCCATTGGAAAGAGACTCTCACTCTGCCTCCACGTCATTTTGAACCCTTTGCATTTATTCATTTTTCGCCAACAATTTCACAGAAATGTTAAACGCTTCTCCGTTAATAATGGAATTAGCGAAGAATGTATATAGAACCTTTTTCTGACCCACCCAGGCTGTTAAAAAAGGGTAAATGTTTCTTATGGAAGCTTATTTTCGTTGTTTGACGATTTTTATAGTTCCCCAGCTCACGACGATCTCACTGCTCATTCCTTCTTAGTTGAGTTTACTTTGCTGCCCGTTTCGTTTACCATTGCCTTCAGTTTTTCGTGAGTGTCGAATCATTCCACAGTCATTTCTTCTTCAAAGTTAGGCACGACTTACTTGTTCAGTCGAAGATTCATAATGATGTGAGAAATTTCCTTTTTTATTAGTTAGTTGAAATATAGATAAAGAGAACGAAGTTTTTCCGTTGTAGTTGTGTATTCGCAGTAGTGTATGAAACAACGAAAATGTTCGTCCACCCGGGCCGTGAAGGCAAAAATGGTTGGTCTGCCGATGGGGACCGGGGTGGCAACAAGGGCTACCAGGAGTACGGCGGGCGAAGCTATAATCACGGCCAAGAACACAGGGCTGGAGAAAAGGGTAACTCAAAAAGCAAGTCCAGCGATAGAAATAGAGACAACGCGAAAGGAAAGGGCAAAGAAGACACCGGCAACAATATATCTCGCTACAGCAAGGGCGGATCCTCATCCTCGTCGTTTCATCCTAGTCAGCGCGGTCAGTATGGTAACACCAGTCACCACACGGGAGTTGGCGAGAAGGCAGCTGGTGGCAACGACAAGGGCACACGAGCTGCATCTTCAAGCAAGGGCAGCAAAAATGGATCCACCTGCTCAAGGAGCAACGGCAGAGGAGCGTACTATAACAACAACTCTGCTCGAGGAGACCACTATGCAGACCATGGACCGTCACCAAATATAAAAGGCAGTGGTCCTCGGGAGGGGCCGGATCCACCTCCATTGCAGACAGAGCATCCTCCGTTTACCTTTTTGGAGCTCGCGAATTCAGAGGAGCATCGGAAAAACTGGCGTGTCGCTTTGTGGGATGAGGAAAAGCGAAGTTACGCGTTCTACTACCCGAACTATCTCGCAGAGGACAAGTTGCTCTACTACTACAATGAAATAAAGAAGCACGCTCGATGGGAGCCAGTATGGGGTACTAGCACAATAGAAATTTAGGATATTAACTACTATCTAATTTGCGTCTTAAATTGATCTGCTCTGTCGATATCTTCTAACGATCTGTGCCTTCTCGATAAGTCTAAGTTAGTACTATCGATCAATTTACTTATTGTATCCACTTGATTCTACTAGCCCTACTACATTTCTTAATCATCGTTTGTGCCTTTATATCCGCTTTCTGTTGTTGTGTCTCTGCTTTTCAATAATCTCAATGTTTTCTATACCTCTTTCGCGACATGCATATACTTAATAGGTGGTAGCAAGATTTCCCGGCAGACGGCCTGGTACGTCCATGATACCGATTGCACGTGCATTTACACGTATGGACACGACAGTCGGATCCCGAATAAGTCCTCGGATGCATTTAAGAAGTTGATGCACGAGCTGTGGGCAGATCTGGGGTTCGACAAGATGACCGTTGTGCCTAATTCGGTTAATTTGAACCTCTACGAAAACGAAACGCAAGGATGCGGATGGCATGCGGACAACGAGAATCTCTTTGACGGCGTGCGCCGCGATTGCCGCATCCTGTCGATGTCCCTAGGCGGTCCCCGAGAGTTTTGGATTGGAGAGAAGCACGACAGGAAGGTACTACAGATCTTTTATGGAATGAAAAAGTGCTTACGGAATGAAAATGGAGGTTGCTTTTACTTAAAAATCGTCTCCGACGTTTTCGTACCTATTTGTCGACGGCACGCCGCAGCGAGCGCCCGCACCACCGTGCCGCATGTGATTTTTTTTTTACATTGAGAGTTAAAGTTTCTGCATATGGCTTGCTATTTAGGGCCTTTCAAACAAGGATGTTCTTTTAATTTTCATTCAGAAAGTCTTACTCCTTTTTTTTTGGATAAAAGGAGTGAGACTTTCTGAATGCAAATTAGTTATGTAGCAAGTGGCGACTGCCACGTTGGCGGACGCGTCTTTTGGTGGAAGGTGCTCGCGACGCTTCTCTGTGCTGTGTCGCTTGCGCTGACACCATTCCACCCCTCCAGCACACTCTTGTAAGGGCGCGCCTCTGATCTTCGTTATGCCGAAGATCATTAGGGATCGACAAGCTCAATCAAACTATTAATTTTCATTCAGAAAGTCTTACTCCTTTTTTTTTGGATAAAAGGAGTGAGACTTTCTGAATGAAAATTAGTTATTTGGTAAGTGGCGACTGCCACGTTGGCGGACGCGTCTTTTGGTGGGAGGTGCTCGCGACGCTTCCCTGTGCTGTGTCGCTTGCGCTGACACCATTCCACCCCTCCAGCACACTCTTGTAAGGGCGCGCCTCTGATCTTCGTTATGCCGAAGATCATTAGGGATCGACGAGCTCAATCAAACTATTAATTTTTCATTCAGAAAGTCTTACTCCTGGCGATCTTCATTATGGATAAAAGGAGTAAGATTTTCTGAATGAAAATTGATGGAATATGATTCTCTTCATAGATCAACAACTCACATACATAGGTTCTCTTCGTACATGATCATAGATCAACATCTCTTCATAAGACTTCCTGAGTGAAAAGCAAGTTGACTAGATTCTCTTCATATTACATCTTAACAATATCAATATCAATACCATCATACTACCTCAAGTTAGGTAAATGAATGAATGAATGAAAACAGGCCAAGCGAGACACGATTGTAGAGACAACATTACACGCGGGAGACCTGATTACGATGGAAGGCATGATGCAGAAGCACCATTTACACTACGTCCCCTATTTGCGTTCTCGCGAGAACATTCGACCACGGATCAATCTGACTTTCCGAGACCTCGTCGTCCATAAGCCTAACTGCAAGAAGAGACGAATGCAGGTAGGGGGTTCGACGTCGTCCACTGCTCCACATGCACTTCCTGCAGCTTTTTCTGATAGAGGGATGGAAATGGATGCGGAGGAGAAACAACGACAAGAAAAGGAGGAGTCTGAAGTTGGCAAGAAACAACAAGAAGAGGAGTCTGCTTCTGCAGTAGAGGGCAATACATCAAGCAAGAACACGAGGTTTCGAGGACATGAAAAGTACATTCACACATGGACGCGGGCCCATGTGCCTTGGGGAATTGAGCGTGTAGAACCTGTAGAGAAGTGGACGAACTGCAATAGCTGCGGAGACGGACCTGATAGGGGTCGACGGTGCATCGAGGTTCCACGCTTGCCCAAAGTGGAGGTAGAGGGCCGGTTTTCATCCAGTTCCCCTGATAAGGCCAGCACTGCCGCGACCAAGAAGGGTGCAACATCGCGGACCACGGCAAGACGGAAAGGCAGGGCGGGAAGCACGACAGTAACCGAGGATACCGATGAGGGAAGCAGATCCCCTACAGCGATGAGGGGAACATCTGTCAAGGTGCAACTTCAATCTTCTGCGCAGAAAATAGAAGCTGCAACCGTGGTTTCTAAATCAGAATACCGATGTAGAATCTGTCTTGCGAACGAGGATCCGCGGTGGCTTAGCATGCTATCTCTTGACGATTTTCTCGCGGGCCGAAAGCCTGGCGTTGCTTCTTCCGCGAGTGTGGTACTTAATACAGCGTCACCACCTCCTCCAACTACTTCTTCCACAGCAAATGCACAGCGTGCGACAAAAGCAAAAGAAGAGACGAAGAAAGCCAAAGAAGATAGTACAAGTAAGAAATCGCGTAAATCAAAACAGTACGCTGAGGATTCGTTGCGTGGCATCGAGTTGCCTTCTGTCTACGCGAACATGGATTTTATAGAAGACGCAGCAACCCTAAATCCACAAGAAGGGAAGACTGGACACCTTCCAGCAGGAAACAAGGATGCAGCAGGAAAAAAGGATGCTTCTTTATCACGCGGCGAGACGGCAGGAACAGATGCTTCATCTTCGCGCGAAGCAGCTAGAGGAAAAAGTGATGCACGCAGCGAAGCCGTGGCAGGAAAAGGAGATGCAAGTGGCGGGACGGGAAAAAAAGGAACAGCACGCAGCGAGACGGGTAAAAAAGGAGCGCGAGCACAGCCGGAAGAGACGACAAAGGGCGGTAGAGTGGGAGATCGAAAGCAAGCAGATGACAGGTATTTCGATGACTAAGAGTAGTAGAGGTTCACTTCAGGATCCGGTGAATCCTTACAGTACTAGTTAGTAAGCAACCGCTACTGTTTCGTGATGAAAATCTCTCTCTCCACCACTGCAGGTCTAAAATAGAAGATACAGGCGTCAACGCGTCTTCTGCTGCACCCGCGTCATCTAGTCCGCAAGCCTCGGAGCCGGAGAAGGCGACCAGAGGAAAGGTAGAACAGTTGCATAATAGCAAAGCATCTCCTTTTCCAGAGGTCGACGGATCATCAAAGGGAATGTCAAAAGAAAAGACTACTACAACGTCCACGCAACAACAAGAAATAAAGAAGCACGCAACAGCATCATCTTCATCCAATATTAATAAACAAAAGACCACTAGTACGTCGGCTGAGCACACAGAGGAGGTCGTGGAAGATGAGAAAGCTTATTGGAAACCAAAGGGCTCGAATCGAGAGCCCCGACGGAGACGGCCACGCTATGGAAGGGGCAGTTGGGAATCATGGAAGGAAAAAAACGCAACTCCTGCACAAGACAAACCTAGGTCTAGTAAAGAGCACAACGCACCGACAACAGGAGCTTCGCAGCAGCCTGATGCCTCTGAGAAGGGCCAAACACGTGAACAGAAGAATGGCAGCGAAAAAGGAAGGGATCCAGTTGCTGACCAACAACACGCCAGCACTGAACAGCAACACGCCAGTAAAGATGAAGAAATGCGAGCCGTAGATGAAAAACGACTGCCATCGACTACTTCCGCTTACACTGCTAGATCGGAAAATCATGACCGGTATCGCGCAGAATATGGGCGACACAGAACGCCAGGGGCGCAGAGGGGGCGTTACAATAATTACGGGTATAACCGTCCTCGAAAAGCAGGTGACAAGTGGTGGGACTGGGAGGACGCTGGTACGCACAAACAGCAGGAGACGGTTTGGCGCCCCAAGAATGCGAGTAGGTAGTAGCAATCCCAATATCCAACGAGAGCTCTAGCTCCCCTCATATGATGGATTTTCCGGTCAACCACATTCCGTGATTTTTTTCTCGGAGTCTTGTAGATTATGTTTTGGAAATTCCTCTGTAGGGTCTCATTTAATTTGTAAGCCTTCGGATGACTTCTGTCACTACACACTACATTCCAAAAAACTATATTTTCGCGCTGTTAACAACATATCTTACGCAACGCCGTAAATTCCCTGATTGGCACTCAGCTTTTATCGGATCCCCATGACGTCGCCACTCACTGCATCGGATGGCGGGTGCGAGTAACAAGCCTTACGCAGTTGTCAAAGCATTGTCTTGTTTAAGCGAAAATTTTGCGCGGGAAAGTAGGCATAAATACAAGTTTTCTTGAAAATGGAGGCTGGTTATTTTACGTGTACTCTTTTGTTATCAGTGTCAGAGACGCCTCTAGAAGTACAACTAATATCTGTCTGCTATTATTGAGGTTTCTTGTACCTTCTTTGAGGAGCGACTCTCTCGGTAGGCGCAAAAAGATGAGAGAGAGTAATCTCTGGAAAACTTCAAATTCTTTTATGAGAAAACAACCCCAAGAAGTCTGGCGCGTCTGTTTTCCACGCGACTCAAACACCTCTTGGCATCATAAACAGCAGTGAAAACTGTCCATGAAAAAAATGAAGAGTCAAACTTCACTCTTTGAAGATAATGACAAAGTGTCCTCTGCTGAAAAAAAGGGGCGGTCGAACCAAATAAAAGTTTTAGGTGAATGTAGAAATGTCGGATGAAGAGGGCAAGGACGAAGGTAGGACTCGACCTATCTACATGATAAGTCGTAAGAACAGGACAACTACTTCTATTAGTACATGAAGCGCTTTTCTTGTTCGACACAACTATCCTATTGGAATTGGGTTGAATAGAAACTGTAGTCTTTGAGTATTCTTAGAAGGACACCAGGAGGAAAATGGACGAATTTCAGCAATATGTGCAGCCGCAACAGGTGGTGGATCATCGACACACCGCTGTCGATATGCGCCACCCACGCACTGACGCGGGGCCTCTCCCATCGTCGGTCCCGGGTCCGAATGGGTGAGCAGTTTTTTTTTATTCAATTATCGGTTGATCCAATCTACGGAGAATCCAGTACCCTTGTAAGTGTATAATTTTTTTCCGCTGAAGTTGAAGAGTGAAAGTTAACAAGTAGCATTTTGTCTGTCTTCATGTGCAGAATGCAAAAACTTTCTTCCTCGTACAATTACTCCAATCTGCAGTTCTCAGAATGACTACCGGCGTCATGGGTTAGTACCTATCTATAACGATTTCTTTAATCATCTTAGGCAGATTGCCGTTTAGATGGTTCACATCGTCACCACTTTCATGATGGCGATATTTGATACAGCAGCAACACGGAGCATTTCCAGTTTGAGCCAGAGGTAGAGGAGAGGATTATCGAAATTCCGAAGCTAGTGGAACAGGTTGTCGTGAAGGAAGTGGTCATTCCAGAAACGCACATCGTAGAAGTGGTAAAGGAAATACCACAAGTGCAAGAAGTCATCCGGTTATGAAGATCAATGGGACGATGTTTGATAAAGATATAGATTAATTATCTATGGGGATGTTTCTCTTTCTCTTTAGTTAGATCATGTAAGATCAATGACCCTACTGCGGGATGCTTGATCCTGTTCATATAGTTTCTTAGATCAATCATGTTGAGGAATGTCTAGTTGTTGATATTTGTTTTTTGCGCATGAGAGATCTTCTCCGTGTCTTTCTTGTCCTTTATCTCGGTGCTACTTCTAGGGGTACTACTCCTAGAGTATCCACCATCATTTTTGTGGACACCTACCTTAACTACAAAGCCTAGCGGACAAGGGCGCAGGTGCAAGACGTCTGTAAATCTTGCATCTGCAAAGCAGTGAATTGATATAATCGTTACTACGCGGCCTTATTCTAATGGGTGAGGTGCCTCGATACGAATTCAAGGAGGTGATCAAGGAAATACCAAAAGTGGAGGTGAAATATGTGGAGAAGAAGGTTGAGGTCCCGCAGGTTATGGTACTATCGAACTCCATGATGGAAATTTATGTCCTACAGCAGCTTTCGTGGAAGATGTGGAAGATAATAGACTAGGTAGTCAATCTCCACTCACACGTTTACGTATGGGTCAGTAGAGGATTTGGTTTCCGATAAATAGATCAACTGGCTTAGGCAGCTTTGGATGAGTTTTATATCCTTTGGAATGCGTGGTTCGCTTTGGAATGCGTGGTTCGTCCTACATGTACATCCTGACAGGTGCGCGACATCCCAGTAGAAGTGCCGCAAATACAGGAGGTCTCAAGAACAGTGCCACGAATCATCGTCAAAGAAGTACCAATAGAAAGGGTGCGGAAAGTGCAGAAAGTCATCTATCAGGATGTCGAGGAGATAGAGTATCTTTCAGTTCGAAATACTAGGGGGATCGTTATGATGATTCCAAGATACAGCTTCCTCATCCGCTGAGCATGTAGTAGATGTTGATCTCGAGAGAATTACTCGACTCTCTTTTGTCTACCTTCTCGATGTCGGGTTCCAGGTATGTTCCAGTTCCGTACATCGTACAAGTCGAAGCGATAGGTGGTTATGGCCAAGGCGGTGAGGGGGCAGGCGGCAAAGGTGGGGGTGCAGGTGGTGCAAACGGTGAAGGCGGGAGTGGGGGCAACAACCTCGCTGGAGGCGGTGCGAATGGAATTATGACTCGGGCACATTTGAAGATGAAGAGACTAATAGAGTTGTAACCCCGATAACTGCCAAAGAATGATAATCTGTTTTGATTTGGATTCAGTAGCTGCTACCTAGGATGAAAAAACCGACTGGGCCTCCTAATTATAAAAGATACATTTTTTAAGAATGTGAAGAACTTCATCTAGAATTCCTTTATTCTAATCTCCAGTCAAAGCGTGTGAAGCAGGAGGTTCACTTATTCGAGAACGTGAATCAAATAACGAAGCCAAAGCTCGTGCCCGTTGAGAAGGAGATACCCGAATATGTACCACAGTACATAGATGTGGACGTGGATCAGTACGGCATGCCAATTCGACCCGCGCCGACGCTCGACGTGCTTCTGGCGCAGGGTGTGCCGATGGAAGTGGCGTGAGGAGTAAAGGCCACGACTGGAAAGAATCATGAACGAGTCATGAGACGGGTGCTGGGCTGGTGTGAGACCACTCATGTGATATCAGTCATGAGTCTAGCAGTCTAGCACTAATAGATTGATGTGTCTCTCCTTGTCACTTCGTAGAAACATCTAGATTTTGGTCAAATTCTGCTGTCGCTTGATTGACAAGTCGTGCGGAAAGTGTTGGTTTTCGTTGTGAATTAAGCTCGCACTTTGTCCGAATGTATCCCGATTCCATTCCAAGACCAAGGATCAAAAATGTATAGATACTTATTCTGCTCGACAAATGATTAGGACGTACTAGTACCTCACATGATGCGAGAGTCCATCTTGTTTTTTCCAGCGTCCGAAGTGGCGACGTGAGGCTGTCCGCAAAAAGCCACTCTTAGGTGCAGATTTGTTGTCGCGAAATTTTCAGTGTTCACCATGAAGGCGCCTAACTCTTGAGACCACTCACTCACTCTGATGGTGCTCGTGCAGTTACATCCAATCACTCAGAAGCAATAGCATGATGATTAGTGGATGCCTAAAAACGTGTTGTTCTCGACGACGCGCACACCTACCATGTTCTAAGACCACGCATCAAGTGAATTTGGAAAAAGTCCACTTTGGAGCAAGCCTCTCCTCTGTCGGTCGATCACACCCGTGCGGGTAGGAAACATGTGGCCTACAACAGATCTTGGCGTTTCTGATGATGGATTATAAACATCAGACATTTTGATAGTAGAGCAATTCAGTTCGTCCCTGTTTTAGATTTTTCGTGAAGATTTGACGAAAATGACCATGTAACTATATTCAGAAGTGGTACTATAGACTACACAGAGTGAACTGAATTGTAGACGGATTATTTCTGAATGTGTAACAGGGGTGGAGCCAGTGGCTATCTGTTATTGCCGTCATAGAATTTGAATTAGATTAGATGACATGCAGATCTTCATACACTAAATCCATGACTCCTCTTTACTGTATTGCGAATCGAAGAATTTGTAGTTCACGCGAAGCAAGGTCGGTAATAAGTTATATTTGATGTGTTGATGTTACTTACTACAGATGTTACAGATACTCGCTACCTCATGCTAGGCAAATTCATTCACTCATAAAAAGACAATTATATTTTGCTGCACTTTGTTCCATCTTAGTAGTTGGAAGTTCTTGTTGACAACTCATACTGTTATTCTTAGAATTAGGAAAAATGTTGGGTGGTTTTGGCAGGCTTTTTCGGCGCGATGTGGTGCGAAACGAGGAGGCAGCGTCTGTGCCATTAACAGGAGACAGTAGCGAGGCGACGGGCGCAAATCCAATGCTCGTAGAGCCGAAACTATCTTGCGTTCAGTATGACAACTTTGCGAGGGAATGGATGACGGTGTCACAAATGGACACATTCGACGGGTATTATTATATTAACTGAAAGTTGTATGCCATAGAATAGGACTTGATCATTGATTTAACGTAGTTTCAGGTTAGAAATAGTTTGGTTGTAATGTGGCGTAGCATGAAGGTGTTTTCAGATAGTGGCTGGTTCACATAGCATAAGCTTCATGGTGTTTTCAAAATTATGCCAATACGAAATTCCAGGTTCCGAGTAGAGGTTGGAAAGCCACTTTCGAAGTCCTTTAACGCAGCACATACGCTTTTATTGGGCACACAGCAGAAGGGGCAGCCATATGCATATCAGTTCGGCCCAGTTTTTCAAAGTGAAGACGGGAGACTGTTTGTGATGGGTAAGTGATCCGTTTTTGTTTTTCATAATGCTAACGGGGTCACCGGGATGGAAGACCTTCCACATAACATGGCACAGCCCTGCGCCTGTTGGATTGGCGAGCAGCGTCCCCTTGCTGTTTGAGCATACGCGGAGGGCCGCCGCGCTTTAGCTGTAGCGAGATGCGGCTCCACTTTCCCCGGCTGGGCGACAGGGTTGGCTGTCGTCTCTTTCGGTCTAACTACCAACCACCCCAGCAAGCCGCACGCCGCAGGCCTCGGCCTATTCTGCCCGGGGACTCTCTTGGAGCCTATGGCCCAGCAAGCTAGCGCGGCCGCCTGTGGTTCGTGAGTCCGAGCGTGAGCCGAAGGGAGCTCTTTTGGCTGAGAGGATGGGCACGGGCTGGAGACTATTGCGGAGGGCACACGTGCAGGGCGCTGGGTAAGAAGCCAGAGGAAGACGGAGGAGAATGGGGCGCCGCGCTGTTGCTGAAAATGGGCGCGCGGACTCTGGCGGCGCCGCAGCGGGTTGCGCCGACAGAATTCCACGGCGCGTCGCGTGCAATTTTGGCGGGTGGGCCGCCAGGGGTATGCGCTGCCGGGCCCTGCTCTCGTATACCGCAGCGCAGTTTGTTTCTACCTGCTAGCGGCGAGTGGCCAGCTGCTCCACCAGAAGCCCCCGGCGGTGCCAAGCCTGCGACGACAGGCGAGCTGGCTGCCACACTTGGCCCAGACGCATCTGCCACGGCACGTCTGGGCAGGGTCTTACGCGTACGGTGCAGGTTTCTACTTCTCGTCCCGTATTAAGTGCGCAGAGGGGAAGGCCGCCCCGTCACCCGATCACCCCCATCCGCAAGCTTTCTTGGACTGGCTCCAGAAAACAACACGGACGGACCCGCTCGAGCCGCCCTACCTCGACGACAAGGAAGGCCCAAGAAGCCACCTTGTGCCTGATCCAGTTGGCCAGGATGGGCATGCGTTTCAACGCAGGCCAGCACGTGCCGCGCGTCGCGAACGGTGCAGATCCGCCACATTACCCGACAGTCATCAGAAAACGACGAGAGCAGACTTGAGGCCACTGCCGCACCATAAGGAAGTCTGAGCTTGACGCTGAGGGCATCGCGCACGGGACAAGCCTGGGACATCGTCAGCATCACCATACCCGTGCCCCTCTTGGCCCGACCTTAGCGCCAACAAGCCTATGGAAACAGCAACGGGGTTAACTCAATAAGTAGCGCAGGGATAACTGAGTCGGCACAAACCTCGGAACTGACTGCCATTCAGAAGAAGATGCTTAAAGGTCCTCGGTCTCAGTGGTTTCGAGACATACGCCACGTCGCTCCAAATCGGACAGGGCCGAGAGGTGAACCGGCGCGCCGCTTTCGTCCCGGTGCGAGCAGGCGGCCGCTATGCGAACCGTGGACGGCGCGGATTGCGTGGCCAGGACATCGCGCCGACCTTGTGGCAAGTCTTCTTGGCCAACACTCCGGAGGCAGAAGCGGCCATCGCGATCTCGAGCAGCTGGGATAGCGCGTCAAGCGACGCCATAAACTATCGACAAGTCCAGCAAGGTGCAGGCGCTGGCCCACGTCCGAGAGCCGCCGGCCCTCGCGGACGCGCAGGCCTCCCAGTAGGTGGCGCGCGTGCGTCTCGCAGTCGGTCGCGGGCTGCAGACCGTCAGGGCCAAGGACAAGGCCTTGGCCAGCAGCAAGGCCGTTCCGGCTTCAGCTTCCCTCCTACCAGCGGACGGCAGCACCTGCCAGGCTACTTCTTCTGAGACGCGGCAGAAGACCACGATAACGACACGGCAGGGGGCGGACTACCGTCGGCACAACCCGACTCGGACTACGCCGGCTACGGGTACAGGTATGGGAATGGTGGCGCTGTCGGCTGGTCGAGCGGCCAGGGTCAGGGAAGCGCTGGAAGCGGTCAGCAGCACAACTCGAGCTCACGACGGAGCGAGAGCTGGGGTGCCGTCCTCCTCCGTGACCTCGGTCACGACAGACGTGTTACCGACGCCGCGGCCGGTCTCTACGACTTCAGCCCTGAGGACGCCATGCGTCAAACGCGGGCAGCGTTCCCGGAAGCGTGGCGCCGTGATATCGTGGCTTATCGCCTTGACTGCGCCGGGAAATACTTGAACCCGGTAGCATACCGCGCCTTCGCTCAAGCGATCGATGAGGCAATGCTCACAAATCAGAGGGGCTAACTTCACGCCTGTCGTTTGTAAATTAGGACACCTGCAGGCTGAGCGTGACGGCGTTGCGGGGGGGAGCTGGGAAGGTGGAGGGGGCGCCAAAGTCATGGCGAAGCTGAAGGAGCAGCCAGCCCTGGGCCCCCGTTTCGCGCGCGCCGTGTCGTCGGGTGTTGGTTTTTCCAATTCATCAAGCTGGCGCTAGCGTCAAAAATGGCCACGACGGCGCCACAGTTGGGGGAGATCGCAACGCCAAGAAAGGCGACGACAACGCCAGAGGCTTGGGGGGTCGCAACGTCAAAAAAGGTGACGACGACGCCACGGGTTTGGCGTCGATTTCTTCGGAAGTGTCTGCGGACATCTTCGAAGGGGTGAGCGGTCTCCTTGCTCATGTCCACGGCGAAGCCTGGCGGTTGGTCAGCGTCTTGCTGCGCAGTCGCAAGAAGTGCCGCGATGTGCGCGCCTTCCTCTTTCGTCACCTTTTGGGCTGGTGGTGGGCGTGTCTTGCGACATGGAATTGCGTCAAAGTTTTGCAGATCTATCACGGGCGCAAAAGTAGCGCTTTGCGGTTTGCTTGATGGTGCTCTCCTTGCGAAGGCGTCGCCATTTCTGCAAAGTTGGACGGAAATCCTCGACGGCCGGGCGTGTAGTGGGGTCGCTGCGCTTCGCAAAAAGTTGCCGCATGTTCTGGGGTTCTTCAATTCATCCGCCAGCTCGCGCTCGCGGGTCTTCCTGACAAGGAGACTCGGGGACGGAGCTCAGCGGCTGCCCTCTTTTCGCCTTATATCTGTTGGCAGTCTGTCCATTCTTGAAGTGGTGGAGCCGGTCCCAATTATGTGGCGCGTTCGGTGATTCTTTTCGTTCCACTTCGCTAGACCGTATGGCTTCCGTCGTTGAGGCTGCCCCAAGTCATTGACTGGGGGATACGCTTCAGCGCTGCTGTGGGCCTCAGCCTCTCCAACGAGGCCCCAGGGGTTTTCTCTGCCTTTCTATGGGGTTAATCACTGCGGGCGCCCTCCCTTGGATGCACTTAGAGCACACCCAGCCTGCGGACTGGGCCGGGGGTGTAGCTCAGACTTGTTGCTTTGTGATATAGCTCGGATGCTTTTAGAATGATTCGCGAGGCCTCTAAACTCTTGTCGCTTATCTCAAGCGTAGCGGCAATGACTGTGCCGCCAGAGCGTACCGCGTTAGGCATTTCAAAGCACTTTCAATTTTGTTGCCTTCCTCGTCACCAAGGTAAAACGAGTTTGGACGGACTTCTGAACGCGCGAGTAGTAAAGAAGATATGGGGACCATATTGCGATATCCGAGCGAACCTCACCTCATGCATCATAGAGCCATCAAGGAATATGTATTTTTATCGAGTTTGAAGAAGCGTCTTTATCTTCCACATGTTTTCTCGCTTCTTACACAGATTCTTTCTGACTGTTTATCCCTGATACAGCGGCATTGATTGCCATTTCGCTCAGGATCTAGTCACCAATCTTTTGCTCACAGATCTATATTGTATGAATCGGACGATTTAGTTTTGATTTTTTTTACCGAACTGCGTGACGATACAGAGGAATTTGTCAAATAATCTTGTCAAATATTTGTCAATACTATTCTCTTCTGAAGAAGAAGAACTCATATCATTCAGGTATGAGTTCTCGAAGGACTTGAATTTCAAGCGATGGTCGACGTCAACGAAACTAGTGTGGCAAGGAATTTGGATTATGAATTTCGGCTTCTCATCTATGATATCAAAGTCATTGCATTTAGGCGGCGAGGTCACTTACCTCAATTTAGTCCATCGAGGAGCCTCAATGGGAACACTCGGCATCAGGTAAAATTTGAGGTTTTGCCTTAAAGGAAGTCAAATCGAGTGGATCGATGGATGAACGTGAGATGATAGGTCATGTTCAAAAAGTAGTTGTTTTACAGTGTAGCTAGTAGTAGTAGATGAAACAATTGATTCGATGTTTTCTCATAAGCAATGAATTTCAAAACGCAGGCACTACATTTATTTTACACCCCACTACGTTGTACTAGATACGACAGCGGTGGGAACGTATGTTCAGCAACCATTGGAAGAACGCCAGACTTTAAGAACCCAATGCGAGACGACATACTGCACGGCGTACGAATGCAATATGTCAGGAAGGTATGATAACTGCACGATAAGAATGCTAGATTTGTTGTGCGAGTCCTCGAAAAAGTACAACTTTTCACCGCATCAATCTACTTTATTTGATACCAGTTGAAGAACACTATGTATGAGTACCTTGCCGCATCAACCTACCATATTTAATACCAGTTGAAGAACACTATGTAGAATAGAAGCAGAGTATTTTGAACACTCACTTCATGGTTTGATTTTTGGTTTTTACCATAGAAAAGGTATGCATGTTGCAATCACATTCGTGCGCAAAAATTCTTTCTATCGGCCTTGAGCACTAGCCTGAACCTCCCTCAAAAAATGGGGGAAGCCTATCGATATGCGGCCGAAATAATACCTTCCTGCTGTACCTGTTGTACCAGACATTTTTACCCTTACCATAAATTCAACAGATATCAGACCGACTATCCATGGGCTGTGAGTTCGATTATAGTTACCCAGATTATGAGTCAGCGATGAAGGTCGGCTACGAGTACACTTTCCGGACATCTCGAGTGCAGGGCTTGCTGGATACTGCCGGTATTTGAATTTCTTTTTGCAGTCATTTTCAGTTTTAATTGCGAGGAGATCCTCTCTCGTTGAACTACTAAAAAGTTTGGTTACTGTTGTACTTCGTTCTACGCTCAGTCTACATCTACCTTCTTTTTTTATGTACTTGCGCACTGATATTTTCTTATGTGACTAACAAACCAGGTCGAGTCTCCTGCTTTATCAACGACTTTAAGGGTTTTGCCCTTTCCGGCATGATCGATTATTTCCATAACGATTATAAGTTTGGAATGCTGATGCATTACTTTCCGGCAGGGGAAAATGCTGAGGGTGGCGAAGGCGGCGTGGTCATGTAAAGCTGTATTCTAGTACTGAAATAGTGCTGTCTACCGGTAGATATGAAAGTTCCTTAAATATCCTCGAAGCCCTTTTTTTAAGATCAACTATAACTATGTGGCGTCCTCGCTCGTTGAGGCAATGAATATTGAGTATGATGATCTGTTTGCAGATGTTTCTGCTTTAACCCAAATTTTTAGAAGTCAGACTGATTCGATGAGAAAAGCAGGCTGCAGGCAGGGGGGCGAGAGTCGAGTCTGAAGCGGCGGGAGCGCCAGGTCTCAGCCTTTCGTGTTCCTATGTTAAAATCTAGATTTAAAGTTATTTTTGCATGTAGTCGTAGTCCCCGTCATTTTAGGAGGGGACACCGTCAGCCTTTGACGCAAAGGTGCAGTCGCGGGATAAATCAACAAAGAGTGGTAGTTGTTTTTGTTGAATGCTGTGGGAGTTGTGTTGGTGAGTACTAACCCGCACTTAGGAAGATCATCACGAGATTAAGCTGTTGCTTGACAGAGTGAAACAAGTAAATACTTTGACGGTTAGTCAGAAAATCTGCTAGTTTAAGCTTAAGTAGTATGTCTGCAGCACTGAGGCCAGTGCTACCGTTGAATGCGCAGTGCTACTTTGTGTGATGATTCCTCAATGGTCCCGTGTTTTCTGCAAGAACTGGTGATGTCATCTAAGAACTTGTTGAATAGTACTGTTGCGAATTGTCCTAGTTACTAGTCCTTGCCAGACAGGTGCAGCTGCGAGAAACTTGGAAGATCTTAGGAATGTCTGGCTCGTCCTCACCGGGAGGCGCATCTTTTTTATTTTCACTCCTGGGCTTGTTGCGACTGATTCTTAAGATGTCGTGACAGGTTGTAGGCATGTATTTGTAAGGGTCGCCAGGACGAGTGGTGTTTCAACTTTTGAAAACATCATCACCCATACTAGCAGGCACTAAAAAACGACACACAAAACGGATCGTAGATAGCAACACCATGCTCATGCGCATGTGGCATAGTGGGCATAATAATGACTACTAAAGCATATTGCACTACAGAGGTGGTCCATGGCAGTCACAATGACAAGACTCAACAATGAGGCTAGACTCTAGAAAACTTTAACATACGCAAAGATAAAAAGATCATGTCATTCAATAAAGAGCATGTCTGATCAAAGTTTCACGGGAGTAAACATGGTGATTTTGGGATATCAAGTCCAGATGTTGCTAATTATTTGAGACCGCTTTCAGGAGGAGTAGGAGCTGGCAATAACAACCATGCTACGCCGTTCTTCCAATGAGTTTTTCCTTGAAAGCAGTGGGTCAAGAGTGGCTGCGCACTTTGTTTTTAATATGATGTCATATTATAGCTTTTTTCCTCGACGCTACATAAGAATGATCGATCAATAAATGTCCCCAAGTCGAACACCGCTTCGATACGATGATACACGTTCTTCTTACCTCAGGTGTCCCATCCCGTTGTTCTTAATAAATCAATGATCGCCACTTCAATGCCAATTTAATATCGCCCAGAATAATTTGCTCCCAACACGAAAAGACATGCGCCTCGCCCAAGGCAGACACACCCCCCGACTATCGTCTAAAGCTGACCGTCTTTCTTATCTAGGTATTCGGAGAGAACATAAGGGGTTAAAGTTTCCGTGCGAAAGCAGCAGGAGATAGTTGGCTGGTTTTTCAGCGCCGACGAAAGCCTGATGAAGGCCTCAGCATTTAGTCGAATCGACTTTTTCGTCCAGAAGGTAGTGCTGCATTCTTATTTGCGATGCTGTTGTCACTCCAGTTGTACCTCGGACTCTCGTTCTACTTGACGCGGCTTGCCTTGGAGTCTGTTTCCTTGCTGTCGGTGAAGTTTAAGCGCCTTGGTGTTGGATCACACCCCGAGAGCATGGGTCTACCATCGTTTCCTGTCGTTCATTCGGTCAACCCAAAGAGAGGGAGCTACAAAAAGCCTTTGGAAATCACCCCCCTCAATTTGATGGAGTAGTGTAATGAAAAGGGAACTGTATTTGTCCCTCGTTTATTTCCCCCCATTGCATTGCGTTCCTGAATTAGAGGCGCCACTTCTTTCGTAGTAAGCATAAGGGTAAGACAATCACAAACAGTCGTTATTCATTTCACGAGAACATGCTAAAATGCAATTTATTTTTGTTTTCAAAAGACAATCCACCCTATAAAATCGCAAGGACCAGGAAGTTCATCAACAAGAATTATACGCACCAAAGACGCACCAGAACAAATAATAAAACAGACTAACTTCTATAGTTCGTGAAGATCATAGATGAAAATTTAGTTTTAGTTTTAGTTTGAAAAGGACTTTTCCCCGTTCGCTGGTTCAAAATACCTATCATCTTGTTGGTTCTTCCTCCGTAGCTAAAACTTATAGAGACAGACATCAATTCTTCCTCCCTGCAGGCGATTTTTATAGAGACCACAAACATCAAGATGACGAATTGCTTCGACAAGATACGTTTGCAGCAGCTAATAGCTGAAACGTCGCACGTCGAGAACCTTGCAGCCAATGTTTTCCACATTTTCTTTTTGAAAATGCAGGATGCGAAACAGGAGATGAAAACCGCTGCCCTTCTTCCTGTAGACGAAGCGAAAGAGGCGATTCAGGACTTGATTTGTATTTGGAGCTACTCAGCTAGTCCTTGCTGTCGTGAAGCTCTAGGTTGTAGTTGTCAGAAGAGATACTGTCTATCTTCATTTCTTTGTGGAAATCATATTTTTGTCTGTGCGGCATTTACGATTAAAAAGCGTACGTGGAGGGTAGATAACTAAAAACTAACCGCAAGTAGCGGCTAGATGTCTACCTTTGTCTGACAAGAGAGGTAGCCCTCTCAAAAACTCTTTGCTCAGATGAGTTCCGCGTGCAAGATCCGGATGCTGTGAAGAACTTGGGGGAACTTTTTGATTTGCACTGCCTTGACCCCAATGGGTTCACCTATCATGCGTTTATATCGCTCCTTCTGATTTTGATCCGGCGTATTGTCTCGATGGGCGAAAGTGGAGCTTTATTGAGTGGCAGCAGTGGCGCAGAACAGGCTCAACCCGGTACAGCTGTTTTTAAGGGGGCTGGAGACCATGATCATCCTTGAAACAACTCATAATCATTTTGAAGTTCTTATTTGCCTCTGATTGATTACAATGCAGACAGAGGACTAGAAAGATGTAGATCAGAGTGCTGAGAAAGACGAATTAGACCTGAATATGAAGTAGAGGTCCTCTAAGGCAACGGACGTCGAAGCGTTTGCACCAGGATCTTCCGGAGGGGTGCAGAGAGGACAGCCACAAGTTGCACAGACTACTGCTGTCGTGTCCTCTGGTGGCTATGCAGTGCCGAGTTCCGCGACTGTAACACCGCGAACCTCGACGACCACGCCTCAGCCGGCGTATCGACAGAGCTCTGCGCCATATGCGACGCCGCCTTACGCGATGGCTCAGCAATATGCGTCTAGACCCTCAAGCGTGCAGCCAGCTCAGCAGCAAGTTATCAACTACAGCAACTATCCAGGGTCGTCCGCGGGGCAGCAAGCTGCGGCCGCTCCTTCAGCTGCACCATCGTCGATCGGAGAGCCAGCTGCACCGGCATCAGCCGCAGCGCCGGTTCGGCAGACGGTGACCACGAGGATATCATGTCCGGCAGGTCAGGGTACTCCACAGCTGGGGATGGAAGCAAGTAGTGCGAGCAGAGCTATATCTTTTATAAATATATATGTGTTTTGCTTTTAGCAGACTCAGCAGTTGCATCCAATTGAATTGGATCCATGTTTTCAAAGTAAGAGGAAAAGAGTAAAGACAGAAAATACAACTTAGTGCTCGTACCAGAATGACATACACACTACCCAGGTAACACACCGCGAATGTCAGCGAGAAATTCTACTGTTGTTGGCAGGCAATCAGCAGTTGGAACCACACCACCAACGCGGATCAGCAACCGATTTGCACACATCAACTTGCTGCCAGTGTATCAATTCTTTGTGTGTATGTCTTAATTCAGGTACTGGTTATATTCTATCCCGACTAGCGCAACTAGCTGTGTTTGAAGGGACCTCTGTGAGTCCACGAACTATAGTTTGCTGTGCTTGTGATACCTACTGTGCTCTACTCAAAAGATGTCAAAGATATTGAAAGAAGCCTATTTTTCACCTTGTTCATCAGACAACTAACGCCGCGGGGAGGAGGAGCAACGAGAACATCGGTAGTGCCTCCGCTAGGGCCGCGCGCCTCGATCGTCCCGAAGGAGGATAGAACATATTATTGTACTTTGTGATTGTTTATTTCGTCGTGATTTTCTTTGCCTCGCTTTTTATGGATGTCTCGCCTAAACCCTTTTACAACTTCATCTTCACTCTTTGCATCAATATTGATCATTTATCACCTTCGTCTTAACACTAGTTTGCGCTTCACCTCAACAACACAGATAGAGTTTCCATGCCAGAGGGGCAGAAGATAGCGCCAGTGCCAGTGGCGCAAAAGAAGGAACAGATTCCTTCAACGCAATTGATGGATATGAGCAAAAACTGTGGCCCAGCAACCGGCGAAGTTGATGGCTTCAAAGACTTGTACTAAGATGATGGCTTCAAAGATTTGTACTCAGTATATGCTCATGATGGACGATAAGGAAAAGGATATAGATTTGATTGTCCCGCCTGATGAGAAGTACTGTAGTTAGATCGCCTTTCATTGTTTGTGATCATGATAACTCATGAATATACAAAGAATTCCATTTTTCTACATTTTGAAGTTGTACTTATTTTGTCCCTAACCTAACGAAACAACAGGTTGCAGCAATATGCTACACGGATGTCGTCAGCGCAGTCAAATAGGCCTGGAGCCGATCCGGGTGAATGGAATCGCGAATTATCCGACCTGCGCAATAACGCTGACCGCATAAGAAGTTCGGTTGCTCCTCGTTGAGGGGGATGTATTCATCTCTATACGTCGCTAGTGAAGTAAGAAGTCATCTTCTCCACGATGCGTTTGCCGGACGTGTTTTTGCATGGTTTGCATAGATACTGCGTTCATAGTTCACGGTGATCCTCTGTGTTTTTCAGGACCAGCGACTATGTTTTTTCTCTCCTTCCTCGTGTTTGATAATTTTTCCGAAATTCACAATCCACTATTCAGCTACTCTTCAATGATAAACAAGGCAAATGGTTTGATATACGTAATCTTCTTCATAATCTTCAAATAACGCAACTAGAAGGGGTGAGTGGCACACGCACATAACGAAGAATGCATAGGGCGACACCTCAAAGCTGGACTTACGGGCTTGCAATAGATTGGTGCCAACTCTATTCGCGGTCAGGAAGATCATGGTGGACGACTTTGCTTGTCATGCATATTGTAAAGGAACCACTCCTACTAGTACTAGTATACTAGTTCAATTCCTCAGTCACGGGATGTGCTACAACATCAGATTGGTGCTGCACCATGATTTAATACTTTCCCTAGAAGCAAATAGGTCTAGACGGAGTAAACCATTGACATCACGGCGCGTGGCATGGGATTCGTAACATCGTCACGAAATATGTACCTCGCTTGAGAATTTAGCAAAGGCTGTAGAGGTTTATAGGGGTACTATCCCATTTTACCCGGTGCATAGATTGCGTGCTAACGTTAATGTGTCGCATTTTTCATGTTGTTGTGCTGATCTTCTATGTTGTCATCTATCTCCTATTTTTCTACGTAGTCTAGAACTGGAAATGCTCTGACACGGAGACAGTTGGATAGATGCCCGTCGCCTCCACATGAGATGACTGATGCCTGCGTGACTGACGACTTTTGTGCTGTCTGTGTTGCTGACCTTTCGTAAATGGTGTGTGCTTCATTGATTTATCAACCGCTTAACAAAGACATGCCACCACTGGAAAAACCTTACACCAGAAGATAAGTGCGGCTTTCTATACCGCCTAGAAGGCGCTTGTGGCGACCGTCAGGGTCATGCCTATGCTTCGTCCACTTCCATCTATTTCTCATCTTCATGCGCAATATATCTGAGAGTACAACGAGGTGAGAGAGCGTTATGAATATTTTCAAGAAGAAAGAGGAGAAAAGTCCATGAGTGTCATCAAAAAATGGGTTGTTTAATAATTGAGAAGAGGCAGACTCCATATTACTCTTTATCTGTCATTAGCTCCAGACTACAAGAAAACCACAAAACTCTGAATTCAGAACTCTAACGTGGCTATTGTGTTTATACTAATTTTCTCCAAGTGACTGCATACTCATGACTGCGAAAATGCATGCGCGGCCGTGAAATAGGCGAAACAAAGGGAAGCTTCGAGAAGGCACCGCCCGAGATGGTGGGTCAGCGGTGTCTGTCTATCCTCCTCGCGGGTTGGAATGTGCGGCAAGCGATTTCAACATTCAGCGATTATGGGACCTCCTTCCTCGCCTCCTCGACATCATCACCAACACAAGACTCGAGAAACATAACATCAACATTGTCTTCCGGCAAGAAGAAGTTGTCACCATCCATTGTTGCAGACGCGCCGCGAAAAGATGCTGGATGGAGTGCCGCGTCCTCGTCTACGTCTCAACCAGTGGCCCAAGAAGATCCTGGAGATCCGAGCTTTGCAGAGAGTGTCAGACAGGACATGCTGCACTGTTGGCGCGGGTACAAGCAGCGAGGATGGGGACATGATGATGTCACCCCGCTTTCTGGACGAGGCACCGATTGGATCGGGTGGGCGGTGGATATTATTGACTATGTTTGGTTCCTTCCACGAAGAACAGTATTCTTAGACGGGTCAGGTTACATCCGTGTAGGTTGTTTCTGCGGTTATCACGAACGATGACAACATTGACCACAGCATGTCCTTTTGTGTTATTGATTGACGAAATCCAACGAGAGACGCCTGTCATCCTTAATAGTACTTTTGCTGTGGTCTATCCGTTACTATGTTGTGGTCACCGATAGCAACTACTATTCTCTAACCTAAGTCCCTCGACACGCTGCATTTGATGGGTTTGCATAAGGAGTGGCGTGAGGGCGTGAGCTTCCTAGAAAACGAGTTTTCGGAGGGTAAATTTGCGCGCGATCAGAGAAAGGGACCGCAGACAACGTTCGAGATTGTGATTCGTGCATTGGGCGGACTCATGAGCGCCGCGGATCTCGCAGAGGGCGACGTTCTCGCAAATGGTAAGGCTCATGAGATCGAGATGAAGGAAGATGCCTTGCCATACGTGAATTGGAGACCCGACGAATTTCACGCGGAAGATGAACAGGAAGAGAATCATGATGATGAATTACAAGAGCTATTGGAATCTGGATCAACGACTTTATCGGGAGGTGCAGGCTCCACTCTGAAGAAACACGCAAAAGCCAATTTAGGGCTTAGAATATTACATTCATCTTCACAGTAGAGTATAAATATTTATAGATATACTAAATTGTATTTCGCAGTAGATATAAAGTAGCTAGGGTCCTTCTCTCTGGTTGTGGGTTTATTTGGTGAACCGGTAACCCATAGCGAATAAACCTGTGCACAAAACCAGAGAGCTGAGCACTCGCCGGAGGCGTTGCGCAGGGCTCCGGCCTGCCTTCGAAGGTGAGACCTATGGGGCTGACAGGACGACGATAGCGCCGGCGCTTAATTAGTTTTAGCAGATAGGAGGACCCTTGGCGATAGTTGCCCTTTTCTCTTTTCTCTCTTCCTCTGGTCTTTCTTTTTTCTAGTTAGCTCGGCTCCACTACAGACATACTAAATTGTATTCGTGATCTCCACAGAACAAGGGTGAGTACTTGTCTCTGGCTCCTCTCCTTGGAGTGGTCTGGGAGTATGATCTTAGAAAAACTGGGTTCTAACCAAGCAAGCGAAGACATCCCGGGAATCAGTGGCCACGCAACAGTGCAAGCGAGAGGTGGTGAGCTCGATCGGGAATCTGCGGAGACTCGCGGTCGACCTAGGAGAGAGATTGCAAAGGGCTTGGAAACGAAGCGATCAACTTCTACCGGAAAAGGCAGTGACCCTTTTTAAGAAGGTAGCTGATTTCAGATCTCTATTTTTTGGCTTTATCTGAGGAACTCGACACTTGTAATTTTAGGTCAACTTTACCGCTATTAGTTTGATTCGGCCAAGGACTATCACGAGCTGGAATATCTTCTACTACATTAAAGGAGCGTTCTAGTGCATACTTAAATTAGGAGGTGCAGTGCTGATATTTTCGAACGTCGTCTAATTTTCACGATGGTAGGACTTTGGAGGAGGGTGCCTGTCTTGCAGAAGTGGCGAGTTTGCAGATTGAGTTTCGTTCGCTCAATTTTTCGGTGAATAGTTGGGAGCACGAGAGCTTTTTGCAGCAAAGAATGCCCTCAGCATCAGCAGCAACACGGCTGTCTTTGCTGCAGGGAACGACACGCGCGGGACATCGTCGAGTGTTTGCAGACGAGCCACTGCCAGTTGTCCATCACAAGAAAGTAGTAGCTTCAGCTGATGAAGACAACATCAGGGGGATCCCACATCAAGCAGGAGGATTGCAGAAAGAGCGGCGATCCATGGTCAGAAGTGAAAAGGACCAACAACATGCTAGTTCCATGATCATGGCCACTGAGTCCGAGAGTTATATGGGGAACCAAGAGGGACACGCTACAACTCGAAGCAGCAGATTTCGACGGCGATTTTCTGACGAAATTAAGGGTTGCAAGTTGGCCTCTGTATGCGCATATCTAAATATGACCTTTTGAATTAGGAAAGTCATACACATGCGAGAGAAATCGGCCAATGTTCAACCCCTAACGAAACAGGTGCACATCTACGGGTGCCCTCAGCTGCTCGCTTGGCTGAACAACGAGGCGACGACATAATACGGGTAATCCTAGCGAGTCCGGCAACCCCGAGGAGGAGAAATCGCTACCTCGAGAGTAGTAGAGATGTATGGCGTATGTTTAGAGTACTACTAGAGTGTAGTACCTACTAGAGATGTACTAGATAGTAGTACTATAGTGTTTGGAATGTCGCCTCATGTTGTAGATTTATATAAGACGGTTCGTTGTATCTGCTGTAGGGTGTCTAACTCGACAACTATCCAGTCAGAATTATACTGTTGGTTGTTTTCTGTCATGCTTTCTAAAAAAACGACGAAGCTATGCGTTCCGCAAGGCGGTTGGCGAGGCGGCTAAAAAGATGGTGAACGCGGTCGGGCTACGTGTGGATGGGGTTGCCAGCCTGGACGAGGAGAGCGACAAGGGAGATGGGCCTGGCTTAGTCGGTGCAGAGGTTTGGTATGTTAAGGCATTTTCATTGTTATTTTAGTTTGTGACTTTTTCTTGGCCTTACGCTTTTGTTCTTTGGCCTCCTAGAATTTAAGGCGTTTGTACTGACTATGTTCTAATTGCGACTGAGATTCTTCTCGCTTAATATTTTCCCTCATGCATTTCTTTGTCTGAAAAAAGTGATCTCATAACTACTGTCAAGATATGAACTTACCTTTTCTAGTCCTGGAGAATTCGATCCGAGCCCATTCTTTGCTATCCTATCATATCTATCCTATCGTATCTATCCTATCCTATCCTATCTTGTATCCTATCCTGTATCCTATCCTGTATCCTATCCTGTATCCTATCCTGTATCCTATCCTGTCCCATCCCATCCTATCGATTCTAGCTTATCCGATTCTATGCTATGCTATTCTATTTCCTATCCTTATCTGCTCTAGCTAAGAATGACGCGGAGGAGGATCAAATGCGCTTTTCGGGAAGTGCTAGCATGTCTGGTAGGACTGATTCTTACTACGAGTACCTCCTCAAATTGTGGATCCAATCCTTATGAAAATTTTTCTCTCAATTGTTTATTACTATAGAGCACTTGGTAAACGTAAATAACGATAACCGATCATCTTTGTACTTATCACAGCTCTTGGGCCAACGAAAATAGAAAATGGACTAGTCATTCACAGCTCGTACGTAAAAGCAAAACGTTTTTAGTTGGCTTGTTCTACGATGTATCATGGTGCGAAGATGGAGCTTTTCTCTCTAATGTTTGGGAAGAAGGACGCACAGTTGCTAGCTGCATTTCGTCACGCTATGCGGGATATGCGGGATCGACTAGTACGCTATGGTGTAACTCCTGTTAGACAGGAGACTGCAGCAGATGGTCAGGAAGTTGAGGAGGAAGAAAATGATGAGGTTGAGGCTCGCCAGGACACTTTTGCGGTACTGCAACACAAGCATGCGGCATCGCAAGACGAGCACGAGCCAGTACAGCACAAGGCACTGCAACACAAGCATGCGCCATCGCAAGACGAGCACGAGCCAGTACAGCACAAGGCACTGCAACACAAGCATGCGGCATCACAGGACGAGCCCGAGTCAGTACAGCACAAGGCAGGAGGAGAAAAAGCTAAGCCCAGTGAAGCTTCGGGGAGAGCAGCAGCGTCAAAAGCAAGTCGTGGCGCTGGTGCGAAAAAGAACAAGCAGAAAGTGGAAAAGGAGAGTGAGCCACTATCGTTCGCGCAGTTCCATGCACACGGCTATGGCGAAAGCGGGCCACGTGCTTCTAGCACGTCTGCAGCCACTCCGTCTTTACGAGGAGTAAGTAGTTTCAGCAAAAGTCGTTTTCAGCATCCTCATTCTCGTGTGACCACGACTGGGATTATATTTTCATAGAATCGATGTTGTCTGCTGTCCCTCTACAAAATTTAGATTTACTTCACATGAACCATGAGTTTAGTAGTTGTACTGCTTGTTCTTATTTTGATTTTTCATCGTAGACGAATCAGTCACAATCCTAGAGAAGATGGGTCAAAGTCAATGAATGTTTGAGCTATGAATTTAGAGCGAGACCAGCAGCTACATAGTTCTAGCTTTACTCTTCTAACTGTTAGATCACCAGCCCACCGACAACTGTCTCGTCAACAAACGCAACCGCGCAGAAAGATGCAGGGGTCTCTCAAGGTTTCTCTTGTGCAGGACACAGAAGCAGAGAAACGAGAGACATTAAGGCTACCGAACATATTCCCTTGATAAATCTTACCTTAGTTGTTTAACTCACCCTGTTTGCTTTCGATCCTCTATTTCACAGCACATGCAGGCTACCAAAATTTCCACAGCGCCGTACATACACTCTTTCGCCTGTTTCTTGAGTAATTGAAAAAGAAGCCTACTCCAGGCCTTGGCAAGGATGCTATTATTTTGCCAAAAAGGATGAAGATGGGAGCGCGGAGGTAGCTCTAAAAGCAATGGCACTGCGCAGAGAATTGCAGTCGGGCGAAACAGCTTTCATCGGCCGCGAAGCACGTGCCAGAGGAGAATTTATCCCCGAGATGGACCATTTATTATGGTACTTATCTATAATCGTGGTAATTCTCAGTGTAAGATTATGAATGTGTGACTAAAAGAGACTAAGACAGTATCATCTGATTGGGAAGTCGTAGGTCATATTCGAATCAACTAACATCATCAAGACACAGTATTAGCCCCTCAAACAAGGCATCCATTTGTCGTCTTCTTCATCCTCTAATAGGCGCTTGTTTCATTCCGGGATTGCTAGTGCTGGCTTCTCATGAAGTACCGGACCCGGATCCCGAATGGCCTCGAATGGCAGAAGGTCTCGCCAAAGGATGCATGCGCATGTACGTTGAGCAAGAGCCTTTCTTACGGCTTGTTCGTTGTTTCTGTCGCATTATGATACAAAAAGCAAAGGTGTGAACCTGAACACTCACTCCATCACTTGCTGATTATTTTTCTTTTCCTTTGACTCTTCTACTTAAGTACTTCTTGAGTTACCTCCATCTTGTTCTCAAACGACGTTCAGTGAATTCTTTTCGGCGCACTATTGATTCATATTCATTATTTTTAGAAGAAAACTATAGTTTTTTTTAGAGGGCAAGTTAGTATCAAGAGGTCTTTATGATATGATCTTCTAACCTGTGGCCTCTCACCTGAAAATGTCCAATTCAACGAGCAGACTAATACCATATCCTTCCCTGGAGTCTGGGGAGGCAGAAACGTGAACCTGCTGAGACCAGAAACCCTCGAGTCCTTGTATTATTTGGTTATGAAGAACTACTAATGTGTTGTTACAACTACATAGGTGATCCAGTAAGGATCGCAACATGAAGCGGACACATGACATGACATGGCTGGTATGCTAGCCAGTGTTAGGCTTCATGGAATGGCACACCTACAACTTAAATCAATGGACCTGAAGCTGACGAGCTAAAAAGACCAAATACTACTGCACATGGAGCACGTAAACTCTTCTAGAAGTAGACTGAGGTTTAAACAGCAAGACTAGTATCTTGACTGCAGTAGGCTTATATCACAAATTCTAGATGAATACACATGGTGAAAGAGAATACTAGTATCAAAAGTGACGAAGTAGAGGGAGTACACATCGAATGTACTTAGATGAGATTTGAAATTTTCATTCCTCCGCACTATGCAAAATCACCGGCGGAGGCGGAGAAGTACAGGCGATGGGGCAAATTCATCCTGACACGCCTCCGCAAGCACAGCAAGCATGATTTCGGGTTCTCTACGCTCAATTTGGGTACTGGTCACGCCTCGGACAAACAGGAGAGCTTTTTCATGCTATGATTTTTTGTGGGGTTATGAATACTAAAGGAAGTATCAGCATGCCTTGCTGTTGGCAGGCGCAGAAGATGTTGATAAGTTGTCTTCCACTTATAATACTATGCACGTGCGTAAGAAATGCAGGGCTTTTTTGGTGTCGTTTCTTAAGTTGACTATGCAATACTGTAGACTGACTCGTCTAATATTCGCGGAGACGCTGAAGTATGGGTATCTACTCTTCGCGCCGAAGAACACACTAGACCTCAACCGCTACGTTTTGACGACGGAGGCGCACCCCGTGTTGCGATGGGACCGTATGCATCAAGACTTAGCGGAGAAAAAGAGTAAATTGTGCTAAAATAGTCCTGCCACAGGGTAGAAAATACAAGGGAGCATTATCTTCGTATAGATACTAGACAATATAACGATGAACTACACTCTGACACCTGAAAGTGATGAACTACTACACTCTAACAAACAAGAACAAACACTGGAGACTATAAATTCATCGGAGATACAAATGGAAATGACTACAACTACCAGAGTCGGTAGAAGCGCAATACAGATACAGACAATTTCGAACAACAATGATCCGCAACTTGTCGAAAATCTAATTTCTAGAAGACACAACGCTAGGGAACGTGCAGCTAATAGATACCTATTCAATTTATTCATTATTCAGCAATAAATCAAGTGAACAAACAGTCCAATGCAGCTAGTCTCAAATTTAAGTGATGCAAATGTACCAAAAGGAATAGAACGAAGTAAGATTTATTTGACTGACAAACTTATCAGAGTTGTGAAGTTGTGGAACTATAGTTTCCAAGACGAGGTAGGCAAGACAAAGAGCGCTCTATCACGATTGGTAATGTCTATGTCTATGTTTTAAGTTGTACTTCGATAGGTTCTTTGTTCAAAGCGGAGTAGTGTCTCACGGAACAATCTGTCTGCGATGTATAGGAAATTTTCGAAGAATCCTATAACTTCAACTTCTGGTAGCAGCGTGAAAGAAATTAAGAAAACATCTGGGCGAGGTCACGATTGTGTGCATGCTTTTTTTGGCTATTTATTGAGGCTTCAATAGAAGTACTGAAGGAACTGGCATGTTTAAGTGATTAAAAGGAAGGCGGCATATAGTCCTAACTCAAAAAAAAAAGCTGGACCGAGGACCAGGGTGAGATACAGGGCGATCCCATCCCAAAAAAAAAGAGAAGGAGCTGGTGCGTGGTCGAGCTCTAATGTACAACAGTTGACTAGTGGTTTGAGAAATGAAGATGTATATGAACAAAGTAGAGCATCGGGGGCATCGTTGATTACAAGCTACCTCAAAGGTGGCTTGCATCTACTGCTTGACAAAAGTTCTCCTGCCTGCATAGTCTTCAAAGCGCAATGACAGAGTCACCCCATCGCTTCCTGAACTGCTATTGTTAATCTGCTGGAAGTTTGTGGACACGTTGCGCACGGAGGCCATGGGGACAAGGACTGTGGCAATTCTGAGCTGTGCGTTGGACAGTGTTCGAGAAGAACGGACTCTCGCAAGGTGTCATATCCGCAGTGTGCTGATATGTTGCCTAGAAATGTGTTGTCTAGTTACAGACATAGAAATCGGTTCTGCATCTTAGCACATATTGAGGGATGTCGCCAACTGCATCAGCAAAAAAAATCAGAGCTCGTTAGGCTCGTAATCTCCTGGGAGAGTGATGTTGATTTGTGGGGGAAGCCTGTTGGAGAGGAGAGAAATCACTGGCACCCAGAGCTGGCAGAGACAGAGAGGAGCACGTGTGGGGATCCAGATTGAGTTGAAGTTTCCCACACCTTCTTGCACTTCCTAGTGCATTGTCGGGCCCCACATAAAACACCAATGAAAACTAGTCGAGAAGCTTTGGGCGGTAGGGATTGACGAGGATGTTTTTTACAGATTTTTACAGATTATTGGCTGGGCGTTGACAGGATGTAGTTGATGTAGCTTGAGTAGAGATCAAAAAGGACATGGCCACACACCAGTAGTAGAAGAGACTTGCATTGCATTCATTGATGAGTGCTCCTCGTGTAGTACACATTTTCGTGTAGTGCGCAGGCAACCATACTCATTAATTTGTTCCAGTGACAGTACTTCTTGGTAGTCAAAATGCATAATAGTCCTGCAAAGCATTTTCCAGGTTGATATCGTATAAGTAAGTAGTACTTATGGTTATGCAGCAGTACGCAAGTTTGCTTTTCGTTTTCCCATGATTTTTTTTTTTGCTCCTGCAGATTTAGTAAAAAAAGCTCTCTAGGTAGTGTTTAATGATCCCCTCCCCGTTCCCGGTGCGGTCAAGTAAGATAATTTCTATTTTCTCCAATTAGCCTGCGACTGCGTTTTGATCATCGTGAGGCTCAAAAGATGTTGCCCTTTCAAAACAGATTGATGTCCCCCTTTCGATTATTCTTCTCCTCCGCTTCGAATTTTCCTAACCCTAATGATAAAACAAAAGCTACAAGAACTACAACTTTTCCCAACTACACGATGCGAGTATCGGATGCAATAGAAATACTCTACGTTTCTAGTAAGACTATGACCTCAACAACGTCCACCACCTCTTTCACGTCTTCTACTGTAATTAGTTTGTCCAAGAACTTCCAAAGTTTTCCAACTTGTGGCACCTTTCTGGTGCTTGTTTCGCCCTTGTCAGGATGACATCCGCAGCTGCGCAAAAGCTGCAATATTTAAGCACAAAGATAGCCCAAACGGATTGGCTGAAACTAGTTTCCGCACCACAAGACCTGGGCGACGGTCGGAACCCACTCAGCGCTCGGCATATCTTCCAACGACAGTCCACTTCGACTTCAGTGGTATTGTTGAGATTTCATGATTGAGAGAGGTGAAACAATATGAATTTGTACAAAATAGAAGGAGAAGACGGAGGAAAAAGAAAGTGAAGTGCAACAAACTAATTAATGTGTCTTACATACCCCACGATTGGGTACACTACTACTACTACTACTGACTGTAAGACTAAGGATCATAACTGCTTCATCGTTGTTTTTCAGTTGGGTGCCGTCAGGCTTACGGAACGCCATACATAGTAAAATTGACAAACCAAAAATCAAAATTCAACACTTACTCACTTCCTTGTCATATTGAATGGAAATCACACAAGCAACGCGATCCTCTCCTATTTATCACAGGACTCGCAAGGAGGTGTCGATACGTCTAAAGTTTTGTTGGAGCGCAAGGGAAGTCCTCTCTCGACGGAGGGCGACGACGGTCACGAAGGAAGTGACTCGGAGAATAGTACCCATAGTTACGATCGAGCGCCCCTGTCTGCTCGCATATCCTTAAGCGGCGAAGACAACACAGCTGCACTGATCAGTCGTCTTAGTGCGGGTGGCGGACTCGTCGGCGCATCAATTTAAGGTGGAACAATTTGTGCTTTTGTCATGTTTTATCATCATAGATTTGTTTGTGGCGGTCTTGGTTTCTTTCATGTAGCATCTGCATTTCTTTGTGCCATAGATGGCGATGCTCTAACTAAAAGGACCATCTAGCTCCGCACAAGACGATAGCAAAGAAGGGGAGTCGACGGAGGACGAGGGGCGAACGTCTACCTCAGGGAGGTTACTGCAGTCTTGCCTGCCGCTTCTTAGTGGTGCTTCCCGAAAGAAGTACTCGCTAGAACGGACAGCAGTAGTGGGCACCACTTTTCTGGCACACGGGGATAAGCGATCGTCTGTTCCAGCACGATCACCAACAACCTCAACAATATCTACCAGTGCACCCTCTTCACGGTGGAACAGTCTAGTATCGTCGCAACGGGGAAGTCTAGGACCACGTGCTAGTTTGGGTGGCGGCCCAACTTCAGGAGGTTCGATTTGCTTCCGCGGTCCGTCTGGAGGCGCTGCCAGCTTTCCGCATCTAGCGCAGCAGACCTTCGCTGCAGGTCGCATTTCAACAGGGGAGCCAACTTTCTTCCCGCAGGACGAGCCAGCGAAGCCCTCGACTATTGTGCCAGACAACAAAAACCAAGCTGCAAACGAGAATAATATTAAGGCTTACTTAGTACGGTTACGGTAGTTCATCTTGAGTCACTCAACTTGAGTTTGAGAAGCATCTTACTTTGGCCTCTTCTTCAAGGGGAAGACAAACGTGTCATAGTTCATGGGTTTCAAGATGAGGGATTCAATATGACGGGTGCTCTAGGGCGTGCTCTAATAGTAGTATTTCAGAGCAGACACGTGTGTCCGGTGCGGGGACGAGTATCTACGGCAGTTTGTCGGTTCCACGAGACGCTACACTTCCGTCTTATTCTACCACAGCGAGTAGTTCTCCGCTAGGTTTCTCCGCAGGGTTTCCTCATATTAATATTAAGGCTCCACATGATAATTCATTTGAAAGTGTCATTTTGTTATTGTTCCTTTGTTTTGTTCTAGTTCTCAGAATATAGAGAAATTATGCGCGAAAGAAATGGATTACAACTTCGCTTTCGTTGAGCTCTAATAATCCTTTCGGCGGGTGCGAGTCTCCGCCACAACCGGAGACGCCGCCAGCTGCGACATCACCGCTGGTAACAGAAGCCGGAGGGGAAGTGGTAAAACTGACGAGCGAGGAAGGCGACATCACACCTATCCGGATACGACTGACTGTTACGGGTTACCACAGTGCATTCTTCATTATCATCCTCGGCTCTTGTTCCAGTGTCAGGGATAACCTGAAGAATGCAATGTCGCAATCTCACTCTAAGACTGAGCAAGACGTCTTTCCTTTGGAGCCGAAGCGCGAAACTAGCGAATTTCTGAGCAAGAGGGGGACCACGCCGTGTGATAGTGGACTACTGAAGAGTGCCGTCGACAGCGTGAACTCGTCGTTTCTCCGCACTTCGTCGGCCTCCCCGGACAACCACGACGACACGGGCTGCGTGGACGACGCCTCGTTGCAAGCACAAGCAGGCGACGATAGTGCTAGTGGGAGCGACGTTTCCTCGAATCCGGACCCTTTGGACCGAGTCCGGTCGGAAACAGAATTCATCGACCTCGTGAACTCGGAGTCGTCGTCCATCGGAACGTCAGCGGGGGTCAGCTTTATCGCAAACCAGAGCGCACCTTACGGCGGAACAGGAGGAGAGAAAGCAGCATCCGCTAAAACAGATTCCAAAAGAACAGGTGGCTTGTCCGGGTCTAGTAAAAGCACATCGACACGCACGCGCTTTTCGTTGCGCAACGTCCTGCCTTTCGGAAAACGGAAGGTCGCTACGAAAGTGGCACCGGACGCCTAACCATTTGTTCGCACTTTCACAGTGCACAAAACAAGCTTCAATCATCTTCTTTACTTTTTAGTACAGGGCTTTGCGCCCTCTGTTCTTTTGCTGTCGATCCAACCACTGATGTAGTAGACGATTTAATGTTGAGCATGTTTACCGCGACAAGCGAATTGTAGAAGATCAAATGCCGATATACGCTACCCAGCTACGACAAGAATGCACTAGAAATGCAGCACTAGCGAGCCAAAAAGCCTCATCAAGAACCAGTAAAATCAAATGAAGATAGAGCCAGAGCAACGACCTTCAAGAAGTAAGTAACATCAAACCTAACGAAGATAACACCTACCCGAAGTAGTAGAAAAAGCATCAGAATACAACGAACACCTTTCAAGAGAACCTCATACTTCCTGTGCCGGTGCATTGCATCGACGAGCGGCCAGCGTCTGAGAATCTCAACACACGACATGAACATCTCAATCATTTTTTGTTTCAGTTTCACTAGCATTCTTGAGGAAGTAAGAAATAACAGCTGACTACACCTCGGGTTTTTCCCTTTCCCTGCGACCACAAGTACCTGTACGACGCTTCGAGCGCCTCGCATCAACACAGTTCTGGCGCCGTTCTTTTTGAACGAGAGAACTCATCTCAGCCAACCGGTTCTTCCACCCGACTTGAACTACCATCTGCTCCTGCGTTTTGAAGAACCATTCACGAAGACCACAAAAACAGTACTAGGAGTCAAAGTGTGTGCATATGAGAATGGGACTGATGGTGATAACGACAAACACAACAATCTACAACTAAGAAATACAGCTAAGAAGTGCGTCGTGCTCAGCAGAAGTGGTGAGTTTCTTCATCGCAAGAACGACATTTATATTGCAGGCAGAAATAAATAAGGCTCATCTTGGTTGTAGGAGCAAGCGCGACATCAACGAAGATGCTAGAGGATTTCGAGGCTCCTTCAGTTGACGTGCGCGTTTTCGTCAAGCAAAATGCAGAGGACGAGAATGCAAGCGCAATAGAACAGAACGGTAGAAGTCAAGAAAGCCAGTTCCAAGTACAACAGCAGCACTACAGTAATTCGTTTTCGTCTCCATCGCCTTCTTCGTGTGGCATGATTGGTGACTCCAAAAGCAGACGCCCAGAGCAAGCAAGGTCGGTTCTTTTGAGTTCCGGGACCGAGATGAGCAAGTTCTTCCAGCAAGCACAGCGCGTTTTAAATTTGCCCTCGTGTCCTGTCAAGGCGTACTTCTCAGACGGCACGCGCTTGCGGGATATTGAGGATGCTCTAGATGGCGACACGCTGTATCTCTGCTTGTCAGAACAGGAGTCCTTTGCCGGACGAGGAAAGCACGCAGCAAAGGCTGCCGGTGGCGGAGGAGCCGCAATCGTCGGCAAATGCTGGCGCGTGGGGCAAGAACTTGGTATATAATTTGTACAATAAATGTTAATGTTTGTGTTAGGCCTGAGTATTTAATAACGTGTATCCGTCCGGAGTCTAAAACTCGCATGGGAGAAATTAAAAACGCATAGGCGCATCTCATGTCTAAGTGTCTGCCGTTGTCGATAGCTGTCTGTTAAATATTGAAACTCACTGCTTTCCACCCGACGCCCAGGTAAAGGCGGCTTCGGTCGCGTTTGTCGTGCTGAGAACGTCGATAGTGGCGAGTTGGTTGCGATGAAATTCATGCCAAAAGCCTCTTTTCTTATGAGCTTAGTCGTGGAAATTGAACTAGAACAAGTTTAAGTGTATGTAAACGCGCAGTACCCATCGAAGTAAGTACTTATACATACTATGTATTACTAATATCTCGTCCCTGAAAATAGAGAAAATGATGTAGGAGCCAACGCCAGGGCCAAATGACCTCCACACTACTCTTGCCATTATCCTTCCGTCATGATTTGTGATATCGCGTCGCTCGAGCGCGCCTTCACGGAGATTCAGGTGCTGAGGGAACTCCGACACCCAAATATCATCGAGATGCGGGATTGCATTGACGATCCGAACTACATCTGCTTTTGCATGGAGTACTGTGGAGATGGGGATCTCTGCGATTTGATAGAGTTATGTAGTGGTCGTGGTTGTAAGTTGTACTATGAATGAAGACCAAATAAACTTTTGAGAACATTGCTTGCTGAGTCGTCGTATTAGATTCTGGATTCGTTACGAGAGGAGGTTTTTCAAAGAAGGTAATTCTATTTTGGTTCTAGGAGATTCGTATTCATTGACTTGTTTTGCCCTTCTCCTTGGGGATAGATTTAAGTAGATGATTAGCTTCCACTTGGCTTCTCTTTGATCTATCACATACCCCCTTGAGCTACTTCACTTTTACTCTTCATGCCTTGCACGAGGGCGCCTCAAGGAAAGTGAGACGCTGTTCTACTACCACCAGATCGTCAAGGGCGTGGCATTTTCGCACAGTAAGAATATCGTTCATCGCGATTTGAAACCAGAAAACGTGCTTTTGACTGATGGGCAGACAGGTATTGATACCTCTACTAAATGTCATTTCTGTTCTTGTTCGAAATGAAAATCATTGTTGGGTTGGCGACATGAGATTATAAACTGTAGAGATGACCTGTCACTGACCCTTTCGTCTTCCTTTGTGGTGATCGCATTGCGACACCGCATGAATTAGAATTTGATCTTCTTTCTCATACCAGTGTGCAAAATAGCGGATTTCGGATTGGCGGATCTGATTACGGGAGCAGGGCAAAGTATTGACTGCGGAACGCCTGCCTATTTGGCACCTGAAGTCTATAATGGAAAATCGAAAGCCTCGGATCCTTACAAAATCGACGTCTGGGCGCTTGGTAAGACATTTTTCCTCCTTTCGTTCTATCACTATCCATGATTCTTCCTTTTAATATGAAGACGCTGGAATAAATTACTTAGAGTTGGTACTAGACATCTTCCTATTCAATTTCTTTTCAATGCATGATAAAGATCTTTCTCATTCTAATACGATGAAAAAAGGTGTCCTCCTGGTCGTCTGTATGACTGGTCGAGTGCCTTTTCGAGCACCTACGGCAGACGTTTTGCAGTCCCTAGCAGAGATTGTGGAGCCCTTACCCGCAGAAATGCGCGCGTATGTGACCACCTTGTTACAAGCGGATCCCGGGAAGCGTGCCAGCATGCGCGAAGTGCGAACGGCAGCCTACATGGTTCGGGATCGGTTTGCCTCGTTGTCGTAGTGTATCAAGATTTCCAGATGTTGGTTGAAAAAGCAGTGGCCCAAATCAATCTTTTTGTGTGTGTTTGTGTGTATGGTCACCATTCCTTATGTTCGTGTGCTACAAAATGTTCGGAACGTCGATGATCACAGTGTTAGACCAGACATGTGGACGCGCCAGTTGCGCCGAATTATTATTTATTTCATCATGAATATGCATGCTGTGTTTGTTTGCAGGTTGAAAAAACGGTGCCGATGTCACGTTTTCTGGCGCTCTTCTCGAGTCAGTTCGTATCTTAGTGTGACAAAGTGTGTGTGCTGACAGAGAATCGCAAAAAGTAGCCTAACTGCCTAGGATTTACTTTGCAAAAATCAATGAGTACGAGTAGAAGATGTGCAAGGGGATGCATCGCGCGATGCTTTCTGAGCTAGTTGGTATATATGAATTAATCACATGTGAGCAAAAGCCGTCAGCCTGGTCCTGAGATCACAGGTTTCGTTGCCCTGTGTTATTTGCGCATTTGTTGAATCAGGAAAAACCCAATTATCCTCTGTTTGAGATGAAGACGTCTGTCGCGGTCCGAAGCATAGTCAGAGCGCAGTCCAACTGACATAGTTCAATCGACTTATGTTTCGAGTGTCTGTATGAGACGTTTCGCCCAACCTGTGCATGATCTGTCGTTTGATCTTAGAGGTCCTATATCATTACCGATTTCACCGTTGCTGAATCTGTTTCGTCGTGCGGGCAGTGCAGGCTGACCGTTAGAAACGCAATAATGACGTCGATGGTGATGATCGCCTTCCCCCTGCTCTACAGGTTATCGGGAGCTGCTTCGATTATAAGCGCACCACCGTGATAAAACTTCTCTTCCCTTTATACAGTATTGCTGATACAGAGTGAAGTGGTAGCCTCATTTGAAATCTCAGTGTCTCGGCTGCGGTAGATAGTGCCTTTATTGGGATGATTCTACAACATGAACATCCATACTCATTTGATAATCTGTTGTGATGTATGAGTCGTACTTCTGCTAATCTGTGACAGTAATGACTAGGCGACAGTGTGTGGCTGACATTGAAGGCAGTTAAGTATTATCATTTTTGATTAAGGAGTAGGAGTTTAAGTAGAACCATGGGTTACTTTTGTGACTTCTGTGGCCGCGAGTGCCAGAGTGGCGCTGGCCTTGCTAGCCACATGCGGGCATGCGCGAGGCAGCATGGCCCCCCCGAGCAGTCTTTTGCTTCGAGATTCGCTCCGGATCCGCGACCGTCCAGCCGAGAGCTTCTCGCATTGTTAAAACCCCGACCAGATCCGAAGCTCCAGGAAGCGGCAGCAACACGCGGTAGAGAATATGTCTGCGGACGGTGTGGACGTGAGTGCGAAAGTGGTGCGGGACTTGCCAGTCACATGCGTGGTCATTATCGGGAGGACGAACGGAAGGCCGCCCAACGTCAGGCAGCCGAGCGCGAGGCAGCTGAACAGAAGGCAGCCGAGCGCGAGGCAGCACAGCGCGAGGTAGCTGAACAGAAGGCAGCCGAGCGCGAGGCAGCACAGCGCGAGGTAGCTGAACAGAAGGCAGCCGAGCGCGAGGCAGCACAGCGCGAGGTAGCTGAACAGAAGGCAGCCGAGCGCGAGGCAGCACAGCGTCGAGATGCGGCGCGACAAATGCAACAGCGTCACCTCGGCGATGCAGCGCAGGAGAAAGCAAAGAGGGGTCCACCATATGTTTGCCACCTCTGTGGTCGCGAATGTAAGACTGGAGCCGGTCTTGCCAGTCACATGCGTGGTCACGAAAGGACCTTCGTGCGAGAGCGAGAGGAAGGACGGTCGATCACGACAGAGGATGGGGTGCAGAAGGAGGGGCTCGAGAAGGCGCTGGCTGAGAAGTTCTCTCTGGTCGTGAAGCCAACTCAAAGCGGAAAAACTTTTGAACTCATACACGACGTGCTGGACAAGAATGCGGACGATGCAAATGCATGTCATATCATTTTTACGCAGAACACGATATTGAACAACGAACAGTGTGCTGTACGCCTGGCCGACAAATGGGTGGAGCTCTTTGGTCGTAGAGCCGCGCAAGATGAGGTACAAAGTAAGCAAATCTAATGCACTTAAACTGAGGACTTCACAACGAGGCGTACTTCTTGAGAAGAGGGCTTGTAGGTACCATTCTTTGCAGAGAACAAGTAGCTCAGATTTCAAAATTCACTTATTCGAGAAGTTTTGATTGCAGTATTTTCGCGTAAAGATACATATTCGAGACAATGCCATGGGAAATTGCACGCATGACCACCAGGTTGTGATGGTGACTTCAAAGCCAGGCGGGAATCTGCCTTGCCGTGTGGCGAAAAAATGATACACCAGGATTTTTCTCGTTGTACAACCTTATTCTTTTTTCGTTTTTTGCTATCCCAAAAAGGCCTACACCCTTCGGGACTGATGTCGCCATCCCGATAGTTAAGCAGCGAAACCACAGCGTGGCACCGGCGTCCCGGGGATACATAGTGAAGGATGGATTCGATAAGCGCCTCCAGAGGAGTCCCAACCCTTGGGAGACTCCGATCGGAGGCGCTTGGGAGGGGTGTCAAAAAGGGGGACCAAACGAGGCGGATCATTTGGCGACCATTTTGGCGCCAAATAAAGTGTCGCCTTAAGGCACCCCCTAACCTTCACTAGGCGGGCCCACTTCGGTCTCGCTAAAAAGTGTTGACGTTATATTTTGAAAAATGGGGTTCATTTTGCAGCCCATTTCTGTCGACATCTCTTTAACCAAAAAAGGACCCTATCGAAGTGCCTCAACTGCGGGTCTCCAAAAGGCTGGAGCCCCTCCCGAGGTGTTCGCAGAGTCTTTGCCGCGGGATCGCCGTTGGAGGCGTGCCGTGATTCAGGTACACAATCCGGCAACTTGGACGGCTAGACAGGCCATGCGCCCGCAGCCCCATTCTCAGCTAGCCAAAACAAAAAAAGGAATACGGTTGTGCAACGAGGAAAGTCCTGGTCTAAAAATGGGAAGACGTTCTATTTGGTGGAAAAGAGCGTGGTGCAAAGTTGCCGCGAGTTATTCTTTGCTGTTCTCACTGGAAGCGGCTGGATCAAATGCATAGTTTCTTGGAAGCGTACCACCGCAGCCGAAGTGAAAAGTGGTCACCAGAACAGCGAGAGAAGGAACTCGGTTGCTTCGCCGGGTCTCGGGACACTAATTTCCACGTCCATTACGATGAGCTGCACTACCACGTGGATCGGAATCGGGTGAAAGTTAAAGCTGCAGTCGGTGACGGAGAGCAGACGATAACGTCTACTACAGCGTCGACGGCGCGGCAAGGCAGCAGAGCCAGTGCTCCAAAGCTGCGTGCTTGCATCGAAGATCTCTGTTCGCGGAATACCTCTGTGGTGTGAGTGTCTGGATACACAGCGACTCCGGGTCCGATTTTGCAGGAGGACGGTCCTTGGAGCCAAGTGAACTTGAAGCCGTTACGTATTGGTGACAAGGCCTTCGAACCCGGAGCCGGCGCTGAGCGTTACCACGGGACTGATTGTCTTGACTTCGTGCTCGTGGAAGAAGGCGAAAAGATGCACCCGCAGGAGTTTACTCACACCGCTTTGGAGACATTTCAGGACGATATCTTTCGTCCAGGTGGTCGAATCTTCGTGCCCGCATGTCCAGAAATTCACACTCACGAGAGAGTGAGGCGCCACATCTTCGATCTGTGTCCCAGAGCCGTTGTTGTCGTGTTGAACGGGGAAGAGAAGAGTCTGGTGTGGCATGCACGTTCCAGAGAGACCAGATCCGTCGAGGCTTCGGAAACGACTGCAAGAACACTGGATCTCCGCAAGTTCACCCTCGAAAAAGCGGTGAAGGCAGACAGATCTGAAGAACCGAGGCCGCCTCCGCAACAAGCGCCATTGGAAGTCTCGGATAAAATCGCGCTTGCGATGGAGAGATATGGGCTCGAGGATCGGCCGCTCCTGATTACCGGCTACATCTGTGTCGGCATGGGGCAAACGTTGTTGAACGCCCAGAAAATGGGCAATTTCACCCATGCAATTCTTCCCTCGCGGGAAGGCATGCGCAACTTGTTCATGAAGACGACTCCAGAGGTGCTGTATCAGGAAGCAGGCCGTGTCACAGGGCGGAAGCACCAGAATCGTACTCAAATATTATGTCCGCCGAGCATTCGTGACAACTTCGTACGAGAGGAGCAAAAAGCGATTGCTGTGATGGATCATGCTCGTGGAGGAGACCCACATCCTGTTCTTCGGTTGCGTCAGGAGAAGCCATAAAAATAATTGACTCGTGATCAAACTTGACGGGTTCAAGTGTCGTGTTGCATCCGTCTACGTAGTTGTTGTTGTTGAACAAGGAAATTGATTCACATTGTTAATTGATTTATGGCGATCCTGAGCAACAAGCAGGGATCGACGGAATGAGAATTAGCATTTGTCGATAATGCACGAAGCCGATACATAATCTGTCATTTTTGAATATTTCATGCGTAGTCCTCTCAAACTAACTCAACAGGAGATAGGATCATGGAGGTAACTCGGCGTACGTAAACAAGAGAAAAATTTTGATGGGAAAATGAACAGAGGGCAGCGTTTGCCATTTATGATGCCGCCTTTTGCTTCGCACAAGTAGAACATACTACTCAGGCCTTCATCTTTACGTGGCAAAACGCACAGGTATCGATGAAGTCAAATTTCCTTGTGATTCAACAAAAGTGTTATCTATGTTACTGAAATCTGGACAAACGAGAAAGTTGTACTTGAGCATAAGCTAGGGCAGAAAATGTTCTCTGATAGTGCCACATGAATAGATCCGTCCTGAGCCACAGCTGACGAAGATGAGGCGTTTGATTTCATTCTGGTAAAAGATGCCGAAGGAAAGATATCCTAATATCATGACCTCAATAAACAATGCCCGAAGCAGAAGTTGGCCTCGGGGCCTCACGGGAAAAGCCCTGCCCGGACTGTGGGGTTTTCTTTCACCCGAAAGGCCTGGGACGACATCGAGGCTCCGAGAAGTGTCGGGCCCGACAGCGCCAGCGAGCGCTCGCTTCGGCTGCCGGAGACAGCAACACCGTCGTTTGTGCGAGGACAACAAGCAGGGCTAAGGTGCGCCCTGGTGTGGACACTCCGAAGCATTGTTCCGATGATAGCGGCAGTAAGGAGCCGGAGGAATTCTCGGACGCTGCGGGTAGAAGTACTCCGAGTTCCCCCGACACATCCCCAGGAGATTATGGCACTACACAACTTGCTGCCTCTGCAGCCAGCGATCAGACGCAGACCGCGCCTTTCGAAGTTCGCCTAGTCCGATGCTCAGACTGCGGCGACTTTTTCCATCCGAAAGGCTTGGGGCGTCATCATGGGTCTGAGCGATGCCGTGTGTGGAAAGCGAAAAACGAGCAGAGCCTTGACGCGGATGGCGAAGGAGGCAATGCGAAGGGAGATGCCTTGTCTGTGGACAGAAAGGGTGAAGCGACATGCATTCCAGCATCAGGAGAAAAGCCTGTGGTTGGTGATGCAAAACGTGAGGAGGAAAAGAGAGCGCTTTTATCGAAAGCAGCTTCTGCCTCGGAAGCAGAGGAGGGGGAGAGTACGAGCAGGAGTGATCCGAACGGAGCAACCGCTCTGCTTGTCGGAATAGACGGAGAAGAGAACGACAGTGCTTCTTCTAGGGATGACGCTGTAGCGAGAGCACTTGCAGAAAAGTTTTCGCTCGTGGTGAAACCAACACAGAGTGGCAAGACGTTTGAGCTGATTCAGACTATTCTCGCCGACGACTCCGAGTGCAGCTGTCATATCGTATTCACCATGAATACACTGATGAACAACGAACAGTGCGCCGTGCGTCTGGCAAACAAGTGGGTGGAAGAAAAAGGAGGGCAGGCTGCACGACGGGAGGTATTAAGTCAACACTATAATCGTTGGACTGTTTTGTCCCGCCGTTAGGGCAGTAGAACTAATTGGGACACCATGTTGATTGACTGATGTTGAAGGTCGAATAGCATGTCGATGTGATTTAGTTGTAAAAATCAAAATCCAGAGTCGTCAATAGATTCTCACCACCCTCATGACCGTTCCCAGGTAGTTATGATAGCGTCAAAAGCTGCTGAGAATTTGCCTTGCCGTGTGGAGAAAAAGTGGGAGGATTTTCTTTTTTGTACTACACTCTCTCACTCCACCTCTGAGCGGCTGCAACGGCCGCGGGTCATTGTGCTCTGCACGCATTCTTCGCGGTTGAGTCAAATCTACAGTTTCTTGGCGACTTACGATCTCAGTTTGCGTGAGACTTGGCCACTTGAAAAACGACGGAAAGCACTAGGCTGTTTCGCGCATTGGGAAACCAAGTTCCACATCCACCATGATGAATTACACTACTACTGCGATCGAAACCACGTCGAGCTCGAGATTGCATCGTCGTTAAAGGAGGAGGGGAAAAGCAGTGGTAGATGTAGACCACAGTCCGGTGGAGTTCCCAGATGGAGTACACTGATTAATGCAGCATCGGATTCATCGTCGTCGTCACCTTCGCGGAGAAGTACTTCTTCACCTAGTACAACTACAAAAAAACAAAAAGAGGAAACAACTATGAAGAAAAAACTTCATCAAGAGAAAAAGGACTCTCATCTTCAACATCTTCCAAGGTTGCGAACTTGTATTGAACAAGTTTGCGTTGCGAATTCTTCAGTTGTGCGTGTTTCGGGATACACCGCTACTCCGGGCCCGCTTTTGCACGAGTCCGGTCCATGGAGTGAAGTACGTCTGAAACCCTTTACTCACGGAGATGATGCCTTTGACCCAGATGGCAGAAATCAGAGTCGCTACCACGGGACTGCGTGTCTAGATTTTTTCGCGTTAGAAGAAGGCGAAAACATGGGACCTGAGGAATTTGCTGCTTTCGTTTTGAAAGCATTTAGGAAAGAAATATTTCCAGAAGCAGCTTTGCTTTCTTGTTCTGGGCGAAATAGAGAGGAGGATTCAGTTGGGCTTTCTTGTTCCGGGCGAAATAGCAATAGTAGTAGTAACAGTAGTAACTGTACTACTGCTCCTAGAGTTTTTATACCGGCAAGCCCGAAGATTCTGACGCATAACGAGATACGAAGCCAGATCTTTGGACTTTGTCCGAAAGCGGTGGTTGTAGTCTTAAACGGCGAAGAAAAGAGCGTCTCCTGGTTTCCACAACAAGATTGGGACGTAGGAGGAGCAGAATATAGCTATGGGACTAGAAAAGCAGTGGTAGACCTCGGTTCTTTTTGTCCTCCTCCAGCTCCAGGTGATTGCGACGCCGAAGATGGAGATGGAGTAAAGAAGGCAACTTCTAGTGGCGGCGGACTCGGAGATGGAGCGAAGAAGGCAAGAGCCCCTAACCCTGCACCTGTGCCGTTGGAAGTGGCTGACAAGATAGCACTTGTTGTAAAGAAATACGGGTTACAGGAACGCCCGGTCTGCATTACCGGGTATTTGTGCTTAGGGATGGGTCAAACGCTGTTGAATACGGAGAAAATGGGGAATTTCACTCATGCAATTCTGCCTGCACGCGACAAAATGCAGAAGCTCTTTATGTCAGTCACTCCCGAGGTGCTCTACCAAGAAGCAGGTCGGATCACTGGACGGGGCCACCGCAATCGTACGCGCATCTTTTGCCCGCCGAGCATTCGCGACAATTTCATGCAGGAAGAGGGGAAAGCATTGGCCGCGATGGAGCGCGCGCGTGATGATAGCTACCCTGTGTTGAGGTGGAAAGATGTATTTGGGAAAGAGTGATGGATCTTTTTTCCATCGGGATGAAAAAACTATGTAGCCTTAAGGAAATGAGTAGGAGAAAAAGACACAGATGACTCAAGGAGGTTATAGGAAAAATCCCGAACTGACCAACATCGTTAAAATGAAGGATCTTTTTCTGTTTGTCCCACGTCTCAATATCACGAAAACGGGTCTCTCTGCACTTTTCCATTGGACCAGTATGAAGTTGAAGTGTCCGCTCGTCCTCAGACGAAATGACTCAAAATTTCGGGCGAAAAATGAGAAGGTGGAAGATCATCTATCTTTCGGATGACAATTCATGAAGAAGTAAAATGAGGAGAATCGCATGTACTTGACCGAAAAGAAAATCATTGTCGAAAGGTGGCTGAATGACGCAGGGTATCAGAGTCCTTGCATTCTTCTTTTAGGCTAATTTTTGTCCGCTTCGTCTTCACCTTCGGCCTTTGCTCTTGGGTGCGCTCGGTTCCTCATCTTCTTTCTGCTAGTGGAGAAAGTGGAGCTTCATCTTCTGCGATTCTTGTGAATGACTTTGATCGATTCGCCATTGTGGACTCAGTAGAAATTAACTTGTCATCCGTAGAGAAGTTGCAGACGTTCTTGCGCACGAACAAGATCTTGATCTTCGGAATCCTGTTCGTACCTTGAGGAACCACCTTCCCACCTTCTGAAAACTTAAACTCTTCTGTCTGGACTTTTTACTCTCTTATCACTAAGGTCCTCGTGGATTGAATTGCCGACATGATTGTGCCTACTCAAGCATCTTTCTCTTCTTCAACGGAGCACGACCTATTCATTGCTGCTTGTCATCGTCGATACCGAAACCGATATCCTCTTCCGTGGAGTCTACTCCCGCTTTATTAATATTGAAATCATTCATGATTTTTCTCATGGTGGATGCAGGTGAATGCTTTCACGTTGTGAGGGCATTATGCGAAAGAAAAGTTTTATGACGTAAACAAATCGAGATTATGATCGTGTACAACAACAACTATTACCACTTATTCCTTAAAAATGAAGTAACAGATTTCGCATGTAGTATCATCGTATACAGCGAAAATAGATAATTGGAGGTGATGCATGTTTGTAAGACCAAAGCGACTGACGTAAAAACAAAAGGATTATAGATGTGGTAAGTACAATTTAGAACAAGGAAAAGAATAGCATATGCTCGACAAGGGTTGAATTTCAAAGATATTTACGCAGATCAATCAGATCTTCGATTTAACTTGATTGAACAAGATCTAGATCATTATTTTACGGGTGCAGATTACTCCGACATCGGGTGTAATATAAGGTGATCATTGTGTATTACATACTGTCTGCAAATTATGAAGATAACTGGATTGCTATTTTACTTACCAGCAGCTGCACAAGATCTATGATAGTACGTTTTATCTGATTTATTGTTATTTCCACCCCGTTCAAGGGAGGACCAAAGTAACGAGAAAAAATGGATCTGCTTCCACATGGCCTTCTACAACAAGGGCGTTGTAATTGCTCCCGGCACTCTAAGTTCCTGTGGGCGATCGCAGTGTGCCTTACGACCGCGTGCTTGATGCCAGTAGCTGCTTTGCGGCTCACGAGCGCGCCATCCTCGTCAGGACGATCAGCTACGTGGCAGGAACCAGATGTATTTACGCGAAGGGCCTGTGCTTTACACGGTTGTTTCGAAGTCATATCGAGATCCTGCATCTCTTTCTGTGGAACAGACACTATCGCAAATTTGAGGGGCTTGCTTTACGCTGGTATCACAGGTCAAGATCGCAGGCTTCCCGGATCACAGTTAAGGATCTGAGTAGTCTTTCCACTTGTGATTGTGAAGTCTACGTAGCTTTCAACACCGTGTTGTCTATGAAATGTAATATTTGTTGTATTTTGCGCGTATAATTTTGGAGGATCAGTAGATACGATCTGAGAAAGTCATCATCATGAGCATAATGAGTGGAGGGGTTATGACTGGAAAGCACTTTCTTGAGATTCCATCCGTCCAGAATCCTCATGCCTGTCTTTTGAAAGCGAAGAAGCCACCTTTTAGAGCACAGCACCATGAAAAACTACCATGGGTCTACCGCTAACTAGAGACCACGGGAGCACCTGGTACTTGATGCATGGTGATCATGCCTGGACTTCGTACAGTTGTACAGAGCCGTCTGCGCGACAGCTTTGTCGTTTCTCACAGCATTCCCAGCGCGATGCCCGTATGGATCAGGACAGAAATCCCGCTAGACTTGACGATGGTGACAAAGCACGTCAGGTTCAGGGTGGTGAGGGTGTATTCCGCAACGGCTTCCTGCATGCCGCACATCAAGCTGCGCGAAGCCGAATCGTGAACGAGGCGCAAGACGTCTTGCCTTTAAGGATTGGTGCTCTCTAATTCGTCTTGAGAAGCATTGTTGATTCGTGTTTTAGATGAGAAACATCTAAGTAGTCAATAATGACTTCTGAGATGAATTCTGGCAAGCTCTAAGGAAGCCGCCGACCCCGCCACCAAAAAGCTATCCTTTTAGTCTCCATTCACCGGGCTCGTCGGATCACAGTGGGTCACCAAGTTTGAGCTCCTCTCTCACGGCAAGCCCAGAGAACAAGACATGCGAAGTTAAGAACAGGAGTTGCACTCGAGTGTCCATGGTTTGTACACCCCTAAGCTGCACAATCAATAGGAAGATTAAAAATTTTTAGATAGTTCTTTTTGACACTTTTTATTTCCTTCATGTTCATCTATCTTCTTGCTCATTCTGGGTATACTGTGGCTTGTTATCTTTGATACTTTCCATTATTCGCTGCTGGACCGGTTTGGTGAATAAAGAGGTAGGTCGTAGCTCCTCTAACAATGATGGCACTTTACTAGGAGAAGATGGTGTTGGTCAAGACAGACCAAGCGTTTTGGTGTTGCCTCCGCTTGTTAAGCCTGGATCGCTCTGTTTTCCAGTAAAGGAAGAGTCCGGCTCGGAGTTGGACGACGAAGGCTCTGATGGTCCAGAATTTTGCGTACAAGATGAAGAAGTGGGAGCCTGCGAGTCTTCACAGACGTTGAGGTCTGGGTGTGTTGTACCGACTTATATTGAAGTGGACGACACTTGTAAGATGAATGGCGGTCCTCGCACGTTTACTTCATCCTCTGCCTTCAAGACTCCTGCACCTCAAAAAGCTCAGGGGATGAAAGATGACGCCGGCGCCAGGTCGTGTCCTGACTCAGTGGGGGCAAATGTGGATGGTGTCGCTTGTTTTCCGCCAAACGTCAAAGAGATGCCACCACCACCTCCACCGACACTCCAGGAGTTAGCCGCCGCCTTCTCTAACGCCGGTTCTGTGGGAAGCAGCCCGCCTGACGGCTCAAGTCCGAGCAGCAGCAGTAGCGGCTTGAGTCGGCTACCGTTTTCAAGTGAAAAATTAGGCAGAAGATTTTTTCCCTCGAGTCCTACTGGTGGAGCACAAAAATGTGGCTATGGGTATCCAGCGGATCAATTGACGCTTAAAGAACTCGAGTTGTGTGAGCAGGGCATTCTTGCGCGTGCAGAACAAGGTGATGCAGAACTCAAGCTCTGTGCGGAAGGATTTTTTCCTGCAGTTCCTTCAGAAGTTGACGCACAACATCTTTCAAAAACACCTGAGGTATACGATCCAACTTCAAAGTTGACTGGTAATACATCACCTCACGGGCTTCATGAAACATCACACACCTCCGACACTGGAGATAAGCAGATCGACGCTGGGAATGAAGAACAGAGCGGATCCTGCAGTAAAAATTCGTCGATAGAGTCCCTTGGTTCATCCGCTGTTCGCTCAACTGCGTGTGGCGCTAGTGATAGAGACGGGGATGCTGCAGAATCTTCAGAGAGCAGCTCCGGTTCTGGCTCGGGGTCTCCTTCGGGAACACTCACATCCTTGCCGAGTTTTCGATCTGTGGCTTCGTTATTATCTATGACGGAGTCCGGTTCATGTTCGCCCCCTGGGCCTCTCAATGACGTCGACGTGACATCAACGACGAAAATTAGCTTCGCTCCTTTGACTGGAACGCCGAGTTCTGTATTTACTAGCGATTGCGGTCCTCTTCCGGCGCATGATAGGGCTTCCAGTCCTCGTGTTTTTACTGTTGGCACTGGCAGTCGCGGCGCAAGCTCCGCCTCCTCCTCCTCCTCCTCCTTCTCCTCCTCCATTGGTAAAAGTGTCCTCACCAACCAGGAAGTTTCCTCTGCTACACGTGCGCTGTTGAGCAATGCTGGCCTCTCTGCTAGCGTGGACGGTTCTCTTGGTACAAGTTCGGCGGGTGGCAGACAGCCAGCTCTGCGTGACCCAGCTTTGCGTAGGAGGTCAAAAGAAGCTAGTAGCGGCTTTCCCGATGGGAAGGCGTTTACTCTTCATCAACAAGGGAACACGACACCTGGTCCATCTAGAAATTAAGGACTGGTGTGATATTCGTATTTCATCCAAGAATTATATTGTAGGAGCATCCTTTGCCTCCTATGACAATATTTGACCAAGAAATCATTTCGCACAAGGAGAGATTTGTGCACATCACTTGCAGGCATGACAAGAGGCGAACGATACCCACAAGAATGCTGGAATTATTATAAATATTTTGATTTTTGGGTTTTGGTGGTATGTTCATGTTGGATTTATAAGCAAGCCTCTATTTTTACAATACCGTATCACTGATTTTTGGCGTTATATTAAGGAATGATCTTCTAAGGAAAGGTCGTGACATTCCGAGAATCGGATGAGATTTTGTTTGTGGAAAGATCGGCCGCTGAAATTGAGGCTCTGGGTGCTCCTCTTCTTTGTGCTGCCCTAGATGAGAGTGCTTGTGCTGCTCGGATGACGAATGTGGAAGCAGAGGCCTTACAGGGCTCCTTCTTGCAAGAACAACAGCAGCACGGGAATGATCGTCCTGGTGGACAACATGGGTGTTCGCGTCAGTTGCGAGCTGCGACCATTGCTGCCATAGAAGAACGAAGAGCGCAGAACCCCTCGTTGTATGGTGCGCCGTCGTATAGAGGAGCGGCCCGCCCTAGGTTCACTGATAGCTTCCACGGGTTGGAGGATAAAGACGGATCGGACAGCGATAGAAATGAAGGAATATAGATGAATGAAAATACGAACAGTTGAATGAGATGTTGGAGGCATGGTCGTGCCTGATGTATCATTACAAGAAGATCGATGCAATAGGAAATAATATTTAGGCGTACATTTGACGACCACTAGTACAAATGTTACCTACTTGACTCCATTAAGAAATATGTGGACGATTGATTCTATTGAGTTAGGCAGTGGCATCTGAACCCCTACCTTATCTAAAGATGTGACCGCATTCTGCCTGTGTGTAGCTTGTCTAGAAGCACTGGGAGGTCTCGCCTCTACGGTCATCATCGGGACATATGCATGCATTCCATTGAGTAAGGACAATTCAGTGGAGAAGGACTAGATTGATGTTTTTAGTAGGTAGAGGCTAGCCATGAGTAGTGGGGAGTAGTCTTCAACACATAGGATAAAGACTTGTCGACTCTCGTCAATAAAGACTCTAGGTATCGCAAATCACCTATGAGTAATTCAGCAATGTAGGGAAAAGAATCGGTTCTTGGGAAAAAAATCCCTAACGCGTTATTACCCTGTAAGGACGAAAGATCCCAAAAGAAATAGATTGAGGCATGCAAGGGTAGAAGATTTGACTTATAGATCTGGCAAGTAAGTCTATCTTGTCCGAAAAAGTTGGGCAAAATTCAATGAAGGAAGATAATTACGAAGAAATTTGCGGGTGTCAGCATGTTAAGGAAGGCTTCGCACTACATAATAACGCTTGTTGGTCGTAACGGTAGCAGCACTAGCATGTGCGTCTGTAGCTGTACTTTGAATCGAATATCTATTGAAGTCTTGTTGTTTGGGAAGGCCGCTGAAATGAACGTACGCAGGAAGTACATACTTAAGTGGGGAATTTCCAACATCGTAGAAAAATGAATATTGTCAACAACATGAAGGGTCCGCGACATGCTCATGTTGTCGATTCGCTTTTCGTGCAGGCGCTTTTGCAATGCATTAGGTCAAGGTGCGTTCCCTAAAAACTTCTTAACCTGCCTTGAAAGCCGCTGCTTGCATTTGTGATTTATGCTTAACGTCTACGATAATGCTTTTATGCAAGTAGGCAACTGACATCGGATTTTTGATCAAGATTGAACATATCAAGCCATTCGAAAACAACAAATTTGTTGAGATATCGGAGGAGAACACAACTCAACACTAGCTTCGACTCAGTAGTGGTCGTTGTTAAGTGCGTTGGGGATGCGATGATGATGAAGTGCTGCTGGGTACTCGTTTATTTCTTCAGCTTTTCAAAGCTGTTTTTTAGATATGAGAACTTAGTTGTGGCAGAACCGAGGCCATTGTATCTGTTTTGTCGTCGCAAACAAATTACTACTCGTAGAAATCATTGCCGCAAATGAACCGCAACCACTAGTAAGGAATAAGTTGAATCAGGTAACTCGGACATCAAATTCTATAACAAGCACAATAACATAGAGTTAGAACCTCAACTAACTAGTCGGCTTCTGATGCCGATATAGTTGTTTTTATGTGTTTCGAGATTTTTTTAGAGGCCATCGACCACTACAATGATGAACAAGGAGTACATGATCAAGATCAACATCATTTCACAACCTACGCACACCCCCTATGTCAGTGCCCTGCGTGCCCGTCTTTTGGATTGATTGTACACTTCAACGGTCTGTGCCGTTATGTGAAGTTTCAATCTTGCGGTGTGACATCGAGGTATGGCACACGCACACAGACTTACACACACGTATTCGGGAAGTTATAATGGATAATGCCGCCCCTAGCTAGGTTCCACACTACTAATAACTAGAAGAACGAAGGATGAACTAGTGCAGTTTAATAAAGATAGGAGGAGAACTGTCTGCGAGGCGACGATGATGATGAGGAAAGGCGTAAATTGACGGGAAGGATCCTCAATTGAGGGGTAGGGAAAAATAGTCAATACGAGGAACCACTTCCAGTGGGGTGCAGTCACTGACTCCTAATATGCGACTGATCGATTTACAATCACAACAGTTAAAGTTATAATATAACGATACGCTAGGTAGAAGACGTAATAAGCCGGGAAGTGGTAGGGTAGTCTTTCTGTCATCCCCTAATGCTCCTAGTGAACGTGGTTGGATATGATGGAAGTGCTATCAAGCAGTAGGATGCCGTCTTTCACCGCCGCGGTGTACACAGACATCCCTGGAGATTAGAAAGAATTCGCCAAGAACCCGGCAAATGTGATCGGTTGCGACTTGCGATATATGTAGTCGTTGTGAAAGTCAAACACAAGTGTGAGTAAACTGGGGATGCTTGTTAGAAGGAGATCACCACGAAGAACGAAACTTAAAGCCAACCATTTCTATGTGAAGGCAGGCGATGAGTTATCAGCAACAGGCTTCAATAACTTCGATGTATGAGTATAATCTTGTGCTAAGGCTTTGGGGTGCGGAGACCGGCCGGAAGTTTCACAACTTCTTGCATGGTCGAAGCAAAGTCAGATTGTCTTTCATGGTCGTAAACCCCTGGAAGCGCAGCGAATAAGACAACCTGTGCATGGTCACAAAATTCAGGTGCTTTCCGCTAACGTTGAAAGGATGCAAAAAAGTCATCAGTATAAAAGATGATATGTTTTTTAGTCCTGTGCATTTCGTACCGCAATGACAAGACCTTGGTAAGTTTCTGTTGGTGGGAAACTCCGCACACGGGAAGGGCTAGAATAAAAGAGTTTGAAGTCAGTTAGTAAGGTGTCTAAAGTGAACTCGAAGTATGGACGGCGTTGTGGGATATGAGAGAAAGTAAGAACGTTAAAAGGTAAGTTAAAGAGTGCAAGACTGAAATTGGAGAAAGAGGAAGACATAAAAGTGGGCCTAACTGTTTTAGATGTTGTCGTGGTTCGTAAAAGAAGCTCAGCTGTTCTAGCGAGAAGAAGAACAGATTGTCCTTCTGTGAGATTCAACGCGCTAGGTTGGCGATGAAGTCTAGCTTTTCTAACACGTCGAGTGTTAAGAGGTCAGCTGGCAAAGCGGAGTATGCAGAAAAATACGAGCGGTTGCTATTTAGCAACCTCCTCTCGAATTTCCGTTCTCCGCTCGCTGTCCCGCAGGGGGCCGTTTGTCCCTCCTCGAGCACCAAACCCTAGTCGTATTCGCAGACTTTCGACCGCGTGCATAGTAAAGGAGCGACTGAATTTTTAGCGCTACGCCCAGATCCCAGAGCGGGAGATGCAGAGTTCATGCGCGAGGGTTCTGATTCATCTGACGGGCTAGAAGTGCATAAGAGGCTCACCTTGAAGGAAGGAGCGCGGATTATGGACCCCTCCCAGCGGTCCGCTGGAGTCATACAGGATCACATCTGAAGAGCTGAAATCGTGGCAAGAGAAAGCCAAGCAGCAGAAGAAGCCGCACTCCTGGGCTACGTGAGCGCGGCGAAGCTCGAAGCCAGAGCACCACCAAGGAAAAGGGCGGCTTTTGATTCAAAAGGAAGCGAGCCTGCATTCGTACTCCTGGCCCGCGTATAAATCTCTCTTCTGCTCTTCTGGTGGATACCTAGTTTGGTCCAAAGCGAGTAAGAAGAAAATGAAACTAGTAGAGCGGTTTGATGGTTTACCATCAGACGCGGCAGCTCGCGCAGTAGTTTACCAGTACGATGGGAAGAGTATCAAGGAGAAGAAACGAAGGCGGAAACAAGTTAGAACTGCTTATCAGAAATAAAACTCGACTTACTCGATTCTAGCCGCTATTTAGAGAAAAAGGAGTAAGAGAATAGAAAGATCTCTCCCGTGCTGCGTCGAGGCTTGTCTTGTAGACCTGCTTCTCGGCGCCACTCGGTAAGGGCAAGATCTCTTACAGATCAAAAATGTATAAGTGAAAAGTTCTAAAGCAGCAGTGTAGTTCGTAAGGAAGTCCTCGCAGGTAGCTTTCCGGTAGAAAGAAGACAGAAGTCAAAGATCCTTTTTCTAAAAGCAACAGACAGGAAAGTGAAGTAGGCTCGCTCCGCTGTAATTACGTCGGTGCACGTGAATAAGTATGTGTCTTAGTATACGAAAATAGAGTCGGCCTAAATGTGGAAGTAGTTACGAAGCGAAAAGTGAGTAAGGATGGTTGCAACCTGGCAGCTCTGACCACGTTGTTGGTGGCGGCTGTTTCGAGGGGCTATCTAGCCACCGGAGGACTAGCCAGAAGGGGCACTTGAGCAGTCTCAGGACGTGGCTCGTCAGGTACGCAGACTTGAACTTCGTGCCCGTTTTGATCCCTTCCGGCCTGTGCAGTAACAACAACAACAACGCCTAAGGGGCATGATGGACCCATCCATCAACCGCCGCACGCCTTTTTTCTTTGTAGCCATGTGTCCAGATTCGACCACCCCTCGTTCTACTCGGTCCTGGATTTGATTTTGAATGACGCCACATATCGCGCAGGTGTCCGCCTTGTTGTCTATCAGCGCCTACTTCTCGTGTTCCATCCTCTTCGCACACATCCTGCCGCAGTTACTCCTCGTCTGCGCCAACATGGTCCTCAGCAACAAGATGTATCAGCTCCCCTCGCTGGTGACGGTCGAGTAGATCCGCGGGGAGGGCAAATAGTGGGCCCTTTTCCTAGCCGCGCCCTCCGCTGGGACTGTGTTGTCGAACAGATCCGAACTTCATCTCTCGTGACGTCGGTGCGCATGGCATCCCTGACGCGATCGAGATCCCGGAAACTTGAAACTTGAAGTAGGACAAGAAGGACCGTGGCGCTTGTAATTGATTGTAAAAGTGTACGAATATTACATTTATGGAGATGAAGTGGAGGGACGACCTGCCACGTTGCGCGTTACCGTGACTGCACCTGAGCATGGTTTGTTCAGTGACGACCACGGCTACGTCATGATTTTGAGACGACTATGAATTTACGAATTTAGCGGAAATTAGCAGCCGTTTTTTCGCGCGGCCGTATCGAGATCATGTGAAGCAGGAGCTGTACTTCCTCTTGTTGAAGAACATCGACGCATTACATATCGCCATCGTGATTTATTACATCGCGGTTAAATCATGGTCAGTTCGTAAAAAACCTCTAAAGGGACTGTATTGAATGGGTACACACACTACTAGTCTAAGTTCTTGGGTATTAGATCAGTCGTGTGACTGGTTTTATACAGGCAAGGAATTGTATGGTCCCTCTCATACAACCTTGCGCATACAAGGTAGGATCATTTTGAAGATGGTGCACATAATGTGGACCCATAAGATGTAAATATAGAAGGAACAACAACGTGCGCAAGTGAGCCGACTCCTATTCTATCATGATGATCAAGTAGAGAGATCGTTCCAGATGTTAGGATGATGATGGTGGACTGCTCTATCCCATGATGATGAAGAAAGATTGTTTTGATATATTTATTAGAAAGTGAGGTCGTTGTTTGATTCTTCAGGATATATTAACCACTATCAGGGTAAGATATTACGTGGTTCGAACAATGAATTCATAGATAAGGATCAATATCCCCTCTTCGGTGTTTTTCAGTCATAAACTGACTGCTTGGCGCTTCATTTTAGGGCTTGATCCCAGGCCACTGTTGCACTAGACCGACAGATTTTTTAAGCGGTTGTCATAGTTACTCACGCTGCAAACTAACGCCACAAGAGGACTTCGTTTGGCATCAATTTGTCCAACGTGCGTTTTTTCATTTGTGTGTTCTTCTGCATGCTTTGGAACCTGTGTCGTCTGTGTAAGTACGAAGATGAGAGGCCCGGAGGTAGATTTACTTTGATGCTAGTTTCTTTCTTCAAGTCTATGCAGAAAGATCCTGCTCGTTAGAAAGAAAGTAGCACATTCGCCTTTCTGAGATTCGAGTTCTGCGAAACTATGATTGAGGAAGAAAAGTGTTCTCAGTGGAGTCAACGCAGGCGTCTGTGAAAGTACTGATTGATCAATTTAACGTAACTAAGGAGATCTTCGTGCAAAAATGTCGCTGCGTGCATCCCTTCGGGTATTTGGGTTGCTGCAGCTAACTCAAATTCTGCATCTTGGTACCCGTGAGTCAGAAGTATGTGTATGTGCTGCTCCGGTGCCACCACCTGCCTATTCCGTAACTGTGGCGACACCTCCCCCGTTTTATCCATCTTCCTCCCCTTTGGCAGAGCGATCGGCCGCATCCATTGGTAACCACTCACCTGCGGACACCACAAGTACTTCAACTACAACGGATTCGAATAATGTAGCGATACAACCAAGAACAATAGCGGTAATGACACATCGCTATCGGCAGCTACCGGGTACGTCGAGTAGTTCTGTTTCACTGCTGCAGCACAGCAGATCAGCCGCACCCTCAACTCCGCCCATTCGTCAGGGGGGTGCGATCTCTCCCGGACAAGTGCAACGGACGGCTTCAGTACCTACGATGTCCAGGCCTAGTGCAGGTCTCAGTGGAGCATTAGGCGCACCAGGGCGACGGACTGGCAGTCTAGTTGTTACAACGAGTTCTGCGTCGCCGGCTGCTGACGGGAATAGCGCTTCGGCGGCTGCTGGGCGAAGTCGATCGGTTGTGGGTGTTGCCGACGAAGGGAGCACAACCAGTGGACGTCCAGCTCAAAACGCAGAGGGGCCAGCAGCTCAAGAGCAGGCGCGAAGCCTCGTGGACACAAGCGCACCTGCCAATGTATACTTGCGCACATCACCTGACAATGCCTATCAGCAGCGACTGTCGGCAGTGCCGCCATCGTGGCGACATGAGCCGCTTTTCCTTCTTCCACCGCCCTTTGTTGTCGGGAGTGTCGAGCTGCCAGCTGCGACGCCACATGTTAACTCGATACAGAGCGGTATCGCGCCTGCGGCTCGCCTTGAAGGCAGCGGCTTGGTCCAAGGCCAAGCGGTGGGTACTGTGGGTACTTCTGGCGCGGCTTTGCATCAAGGAACAGTGCTGCCTTTGTCTCCGCAACACCAAAGCACAGCGTCTCCACCTGTCGGCGTGCCACAGGGCATGAGCCTTCTTGTACAGAATGCGCGGTGGCTGATATCTATGCAGCCGTATCTCCAGGTTCTCTGTCCCGCTCTGGTGAACCACTACTATTTTGCGACAACTCCGCAACAGCAAGCTCATATTAACTCGTTTCCCCAGACCTACAGCGGCCACGTGCTACCTCACGGATCTGCGCAGGCAGCGGCGACATTACACGTACCGCAGCAATTGCATCAGCATGGCTTTTTTGAACATGCGCCACAACAGCAACAACACCAGGAGTTGCATGCGCACCAGCGACAACAGGCATTCCGCGCACACCTGCAGCAGCTTGTAGACCAGCATCACCAACAGGAGGCTGCCACCCAGCAGGCGGAGACCCGCTGGGCTGCGCAGACACGATCGCAGCAGTATCCGCCCGCGCCGCCAATGGCAGCTACTGCTCCAGTGATGACCTTCCAGGAGGGGTATATGTTCGTCCCCGTTTACGAAGCGCTCCCCGCAACTATTCCACCGCAACAGCCTTCAGCAACATCTTCTGGGCAGGACACTCCCGCGAGGCGAGTTTCCACAATTCCTACCGTCTCAGCGGCTGCCGGCAGCATACCACGAAGGAATGCGACGTTGAGCCATCGCGAATCGGACGGACGTCGTCAACGAGTGCGCATGGGCATCCTCACTACCCTAGCGGAAAGACACGATCAGATTAAAAACTACGTGAGCCGTGTCATGGAGCGACGTCAGGAACGCGAGGCTTCGTCTGCTCAGGACGATGGAACTGCTGCGCCAGGCGACACTAATGCAGATGTGCATAGAGAAGGAGTTGAGGGAGTGGCGCCAGTCGACGTCGAAATGAGTAGAACTCCTAAGCGTACTGATAATGAAGAAGCAGAATTGTCCTCGTTCCGCGTAGGAGACGCAACAAGTGGAGGACGTACATCACGACCTGGACGAGAAGATGTCGTTATGACGACGACACCTCATGCTACCAAGGTCTCAGAGGACGGAGCTGTGGTGCTTCAGCCCTCTCCACCGTGCGGATTGCTGGCGCTGAAAACAGTTATTGAGCGACAAAATGTTGGGGCAGCGGTCCTGCCGCACGCATGTAGGTCGCTTCTGAGCGAGCTGGCCAATATGCACATAGAACGGACGGTCGGGAACAATGGGATACCGGTAGAATACGACGACGCCCTATTGCGCGGACGGCGCCTGGTGGAAACGAGCGCGGAGTTCAACCGCGCTGTTTCGACTGCACTTGACTGGCTGACGCGAGAACGACTAGTCCGACGCGGTGCGGGAGTCGCAAGTGATATGGAGCGACAGCGTGGTCTTGCAGCCGCGCTCGAGGGTCTCAACAACGCGGTCACAAGCGCGCTTATAGTTCTAAGGCAACGTGGTGAGGAAGCAGGGCAAGACGCAGGTATGGTGAACATGACGGATATTCATATTTATTTAGATATATAATTTTATAACACACGTATTGCAGCACGGCTAGAGGATGTACGATAATGTCACAAATTGAAATTTGTCTTTTCTCAAGTACAAGTAGTGAAGTGTTTAATTCTTTCAGAAGGGTCTGATCTTTCATTTTCTTGCAAGCGCAGAACGGTGCTTTGGACGTTGACGACGAAGCGCCGTTACCCACGTCCAGAATCGCGACCAGACGAGTAGGTGGAAAAGAGGGCGCACGCGCAAAAGGGGTCGCGCGGCAGGAAACGGGGCAGTCACATAACCGCGGAGGAAATCCTTTAGCGGTGACGGGCGCCCTAGCTGGAGCGCTGCAGCTTGGCGACGAAGGGGTGACGTCCGTAGTCCAGCTTCACGAGGCACTTTTAGCTAGCGAGGAATGGCTAGATCCGGTTTCCGAATGTCGAGTGGAGCAGACCTGTCGGGAGATGGGGGCCGAACGATCAGTGCAGAGTTGGCGTCGGGGCTGGTCAAGTGGGCTACAGGAACTACTGGCGTTCGTGTACGGAAGTGGGGAGAACGTCGGCGCGCTACGGGTTCGCGCAGGCGTGGACGTCATCCAGAAAGTCTTTTTGGAAAGATTTATGATAACTGTTGAAGCCACTTTGTTTCTTTATCCAAAGCGACGTTCTTGTGTAGTTGGGTTGTGAGCATGTCGTTTAAAGGTTCTAGAAAGCAGATTATACACTAGATAGGCGCTGCTTTAGGCAGCTGTTCCAAAACTCCTCCTAGTTCCAAGAGTCCTAGCACAACATTCATACTCTCCCTTGGCGACGAAGTCACCGACTATCAAGATCCAGTGTTGAGTTTTCCGAACGGAGGGGGTTTTCGTTCCGCCGGGAAGTGGAACTTCGGTCAGCTACGGCCTTCCAATCGGGGCCACCTGCGTCACGGACAGTACCCACTGCGCCTTGAGGTGGGGCCAGAGTTCTTGACCTTGCCAGAGAGGTACCAACGGCTCAGCCAGAGGGCACATCGCGAGCTTCCTTGGTCCACGGCATGGCGGCGCGGCACAGCGCAAAGAAGGCCGATCGACTTTCAGCTCAAGATTCCTGTTGTGCAGGTTCTTCTAGACCTAATGACACTTTCTCTCTGGGATGAATGCCGTTGCCGTCTGCCGTGTGTGTTGTGTCTACCGTCCGGAACAGACTCGCCGAGGTTGTTCGTAAGGGTCGCTCGTGCCTCCTGTAGTCCGAAAAGCCAAGCAGCGCCGTGGCTGTTCGCCCTGCTCATCGGTCTACTGCGCTCTCGGGCGACGAGTGACCCGGGAGGCGTGGGGCGTGTGCTGACCTATCATCGAGGGACGCCCGCGGCAGGGGTCTAGCCGTTGCGTGTCGTTTTCGGGGGCGCGGGGGTTTCTAGCCTCGCCCCCCGCAATTTGCTGCAGGGGCGTCTGGCGCCTGAACATGGCCGCACCGGCAGGCGCGTCCGGCAAAGTTACGCCCCGGACCAGCTCCAGCCGTTCGGCCGGCTTGCGTTTGTGTTTCAATGCGAAGAGCACCAGCAGGACAAGGTGCACCGCCTGCACCCTTTCGGACGACGCGGGTGCCGGCTGCCCGCGGAGGACGTGACCAGGGCACAAGAGCGGGCACCGATTTTCCCGCGGTTTGTGGTTAGTTGGGTCGGTATTTGCTTCGGCTGCGGATAGTGCTCGGGGGGGGCCGCGGTTTTCGAAGTCAATTGCTGCACAGTGATGCTGAAGAGAATGAAGGGCCCCCGGGGGTTTGCTCGAGGTTGGAACGGGTTGGGTGCCTGCGGGGGAGTGTTGCCTGGGGAGCGTATGGCCGAAGGCGTGGACTGTTGTGAAAGATTACGACCCGGGCCCGGACCAGACTCACAAAAAAACCTCTACGAGGATGTAGGGGCGGAGGAGTATTAGGAAAGTTTTGGAATTGGCGGAAGCGGCGCCCGGGAAGGATTGGCGAGAGCAAAAGAAGCATGAGGTGCATGCGCCTGGTGTGGGGTGGTGTTGGCTTATCAATTTCGCACGGAAGGCGTTGGCGTGACGCGTGGCATTTTCTCGCTGCGTAAGATGGGCTTGGAGTGGCCTCGGATGTGGTCTTTCTGTGGCCTGCCAGACGAACCCGGGGAGACCAGTCGACAGGCCAGCCCTGGCAGTGCCCGCCCATGGATGCGGCGGCGTCCGAGGGGTGCCGCGGGTCGGTCTTCGACTTCGTGCCAGTATCTGCCTGGCGATGGCGAGGCGAGTGACATGGGAAGGGCGGCGCGCGCAGGTAGGGCGAGAGGGGGTGGGCACGTGGATACTTTTGAGCAGAGAGAGAGAGAGAGGGGCGGCGTCTGCACTGCTCCCCGCTTGTGACGCCTCTGTGGAGCGGGCTTCGGGTGTGTGGTCGTTTACGTTGGCAAAGGCAGACGCCTGGCCTCGGGGCTCGCCTGTGTTGGCTCGGGGTGTTCTGGTGGGTCTCGGACTAGGTGGGGCGTGGCCTTCCTCGTATTGCAGGGGGGTGCGCGGTGCTTAACCTCCCTCGCAGCCAGACTGACGGAGGTCGTGCAGTCTTGGGCGTAGCGGTTCGGGCAGGAGAGCTCGCGCGGGCGCTCCCTCGCCCAGTCATGTCATGCTGTGAAGAGTTGGCGGGCGGGGTGCATGTCTGGCGTTTCTTATTATTTTAGACAAGCAGCGCCTCGCATGGTCTTGCCTCTCTTTCTGTATAACCTTGTGCGCCATGTGGTTTATGTTTCTACTCTTTTTATGTGTCTGCGTTACATGAGTTAAGTTATTTCAAACAATCATGATAAGCACAAGAAGACAGCGAGATACTTCATGTCTCATTACATCAATACATAGGTGATGCCGCCACGGGGGGTAACCATTCGAATACGCATTCGATCTGATGGGGCAAGTGTTGCGGAAAGACATAGCTCCGATCAGGGAAATGACGACCCGGAAAGTCCACAGGAGTCGCGTGTCCGTGCCTGGCGAAATCTATTACAGCGTGCTGCTGATCATCAGGCCGAAGCGAGAGCGAATCAAAACACGCAACAGCCTGTCGGAACGACGACATCAATTACGGTATTGGAATAAAGAAATCATGGTTTTCGTACCCACGTCGTCTGGTCACGTAAAATAGTTTTAGCATGGCATTCCTAAAACCTAAATTCGTCCTTGTGCAATAGCAATACTTTTGGAGGAGTGTTTAGGTCAGAATATACTACAGACAAAGGGGAGACCGACATCACACATCTTAAACCGGAAAGGGCTATAATCCCGACGACTCGTGGGGGGCCTAGCTATGAGATGGAAGCTTTGATGACCGTGACATGGTTACCCTCAACAAGCGGAGGCGCTACTGCAAATGTGGACTTTCGTACCGCTATTAAGGCTTGGTCGCCTAATGATCCATGTCCATCTGATGCTGATGAATCATCCTGAAAGACAACATATTGAACATATTTTTAGAAGGTAACATTTTATGCCCGAGTATAGATGCTCCTTGTCATTAAGAAGATGGAATCAATACGCTGAGGATGAGGTCCAGTACTATGCCTCTCATCATCAAGACATAGATTTGGAATCAATATGATGCTGAGGAGGTCCTCTTCATCTAATAGTGCGCGCATGCGGGATACGAGCTTCCGCAATCGCGCTTGGCGTCGTACTAGTGACATCTATGATCGTAATCGCGGAAATGTTCGGGTCCAGGAATCCGTAGGCTTTGAATTTTCAGACGGATTTTTTCGCCTCCTGGTAGATGGGCGTCCTCTAGACCTGCAAGTTAAGGATATAAATATTGTTTTCACATTTATTTTGATACATAACATTTACATTCTCCAGTATGTAACATCCTTGGCCTTGCTTTGAACTAAAGTAGAGAACGAGAGTGTCACAAGGATGTTCTGAAGAACATAATAGAAATGCTGCAACCTTTAAACAAGGCATGTTGCTGGAGCCCCGTACTGGGTCGGAAAGACCCGGAGTTTCCTCGCACCGCAGAAGAACGATATGGATGACGTTTATTCCATTCTTACGAGCGTCGAGGCTGCCCTTTTCCCCTTAAAACTGTATAGCTGAAGGGGGGCCTCGATGTTGTGGCTAGGTGGAAAAAACATCATCCATAAATGAGTGGTATGTGGGAAGATAACGAGACCACGGCTTGGGCCGCTAGTGAACAGGGTTAAGGAAAAACAGCTTGAAGTTTTCAATGGGTCACATGCTTCTGTTGCCAGCTTTCAGTATGTGTATGGGCTAAAGTTCATCAGGTGAATGTATCTTTTGTCTCTACGTTTTAGGTGGTTCATCAGTAAATCCATCATCAGTGTTGCGGCGTGTCATACCCCTGCAGGTGTGCTGACTTGCTCATGGGGCCCCGCTGCGTCGGGTTGCGCCTTAGGTTTTCTACAGGAGTCGAATGTACGGCTTCTCCGATAGATGTAGATTTGTGGCCGATTGTACGGTCTTATGCGCACCCGGTATGTAATTTGGATGATCTTATAAATAAGGGGGTAAATAATTGATTGAAAGGGTGGCGGCATATAGTCCTAACGCAAAAAAAAAAAACTCTACGGGTGCTAGGAGTAGTACTATCAGAGGCACACACATGACATCATGACAATGTGTGTTCTTCTTCTATTGGTGGCTATATAATAAATAATATTAGCCTTCAGTTTTACCCGCGATTCTGAAAAACTAACTCTAAGAAGTGTCTGCGGGGACATCAAACACGCAGGCAGGTAACGGTCGCCGACATTTTTACGATCCGTACACTGGTCAACGATTGGCTAATGATGATGCAACGAGAGCGACTGAAACGGTGCGATCAGTGAATCAGGCAAGTAGAGCATTGAGCAGCGCAGGAGGCCAAGGGATGGGCAGGCCCAGCACCTCTTCGGGAAGCACGCAACCAGAGAGGGAGATGCGTGCTCAGGAAACAAACGGCCGAGCGGTTTTTATGGCCGCACTAAGAGCCAGCAGCGAGGCCAGCACCGCAACAACGTCGCCTTCATCAAACACTTACGTGAACAACTCAATTGACGGAGGAAATCCACCTCCACCCGGACATGAAAGAAGAGCGCAGGAGGGAAACGATGAGGCTGGACAAACATCTCTGAGTGGGCGATCTGGCTTGGAACAAGCACCTCAAACAACGACAGATGACGAGCTTGAACGCCAAGATGCAGCTTTTTCTGTGACATACGAAAACGTCATCCGAACCTTGCTCACTCCGATCCCCGCGGAGTCGATTGTGCACCTCGATGTGAGTGATCTGAGCCACTTAGACTTACGGAAGTTCTTGAGGTCCCTGCTAGGTAAGTTTCAATCCGAAAATTTCTAAACTTCCAGTCCGATGCATGGAGCGATAGTGTGTCGTGGGTAGATAGACTAGGTCACGAGGTAACACGACGGACATAACAATAAATAGAAAATGACCGAGTTGAGCAATATAATTTCGTACCTACTATTTTGAGATAGGTAAAGAACTTCACCTTTGTTGAGTCTACGATCATGGTTCTCGCCATTAGGCTATTATTACTACATGGGACATCATAACGATGTTGATGAATTATCATGTTTGCCTATGTCACAAATCTAACACGCTTTACGCCAGAGTTTGCGGGCTCCTTTGCGATGTATGGGTTCAACGGCTCACGTGGTGTCCCCGATTGGCAGCTAGACCACGCTATTCGAAGACTCTACTAGTTGTAGTTTACAACTAGATGGAGGTAAGCACATTCATAGTTACAGTCCACTGTTTTTACCAAAAATTCTTCTGTGTAGCTGGGTATCTATACTGCCCACGCCGTAAGTCGGCATTGCAAAACTTCCGAGCGAGATACTTAAAGCGCATTGTCTTTGTTACTTACCCAATGCAACGCTTTAGTACCCAGATACTTAACACATTTGATAGCGGTCAATCATGCATAAAAACAACCACGCACGACCACTTCTTACCAAAACTTCAAACAGCATATTACGCAGTACGTCCTCAGTAGAAGAGTTACCGCGGTAGCTTAGATCGAAAACTAAAAAATAACGTTTCATCAGTTTCGGAAATGCCCCACAGTGGTAACCTGCTGACAATGATTTGTATATGTCATCCGTCTGAATTTATTCTTGAGTAGTCATAGGTATTGCCTGATGAGCGTGAGTGTCTGTTTTGTTTTCTGCATCGTTTTGATCTTGATACTTCTTCTGTATAATGAAAATGATGTGTAACAAGAAATGGAATTGTCCTCCCGCTTCATCCTCGTTCACTACGAAATTAACGGAATTTTGTAACTGAAGCTGAAGCTTCTGAGTGTCTGTGTGCACTGCCAACATATTTCAGCTCGTGAGATGACTGAATTAGTTTATGTTTTCCGATTTCTTCCTGTATGCTGTTTGTGACGATGAGTGTGTTTCATACAATTACAATCCATCTTCCACTTTGTAGGTTGGTAATACAATCAATTTGAATGATTGACGAACTTTAGACTTTAGGATTTTCCTGTAGAAAATTAACCTGCTGTAAGTGTCAGTCACGACTCTCGACACGACATAGTCTCATCTCCCAGGATCGTTTGATCGTAGGAGGCTTTGCATATGAGTTTATATGTTTTTTTTGTATTGCTAGAAGTGGGTAATAAATTAGATAATCGTCCATGGTTTCGTTTTGGGTTGGTGGTTCGCTACAATGCTGTGTAGTCCTTTTTTTGTGTTGTGTTTTTATGATTGTACCACGAAAATCGGCGGCCAGTAGGTGTGGTGCAGTTCCAACAGCGGCCGCGCTGTCTTGTCGGTTTTGGTGCCTCAACGGTCGTTGGTGTTACAAAACAGCTGGGCGGATCTTGAGCTAGAACCCGATGCTTTGCTCTGCCCCTCTTTGAGAATACAGATAATCTTCGTAAAGACTGAATATGAATGTCATGTAAACATGCACCGGACGACATTTGATACCAATTATTGTGTAGGTCAGATTCATCTCTTCTATACCCGCCCATGAATGGGTACGCTACCACTAATACTACGCACAATGTGCCTGCATGTGCCTGAACGAGCGAGTTGTCACCTCGTTGATGAACCAATGTGGCGTAGAAAAATAGCAGAAATCGCAGAAGGAAGTTCCAAGAAGCAAAAGCGAAGAAGCAGATCCAGCATTCTTATTTGGGCAGTGTCTCCCAAGATAATCGTTCGAGTAGTAGAACGACCGATCTATCATATTTCAGATCAAAAGAACTTCATCGCGATTATACCGCATGTGATCAGCATCCACACGATCTTGCTCTCTCACTCTAGGACCGTATCACACTCTTCTGCTTCTCCAAGGATCCGGAAGATGACATCATAGATCATTTCACTAACAACCACCTTAAACAAGGTCTCTACGACCATGGATCTCTTGTAGTTGTGGAACTCCTACGAGAATGCAACTAGCCTGATGATCTGAGATCATGCGAGATCATGCAACACTAAACTGATCCCGATAGATGATCTGCGGGAAGATCTGCACATGATCATTCTTGGCGCTCTTCGTACTATTGGGTCACTATTCTAATACTTTTAATGAGGAGGATCATGGTTCTTCGAGACTCTCCATTCGGGGGGTTGTATTATAGTCACATCTACTCAATAGAAATAATAGGCTGTGGCGCTACATAAGATATTCACTATTACTAACCTTAGCAGGAGATCTTGCATTGTTGACATTATTCTACGTAGAGTGTCATGCACTTGGTTGCTTTCTGCAGCCTTCTTTTGCAACATATGCAATATTATTTGATTAGTCCGATATTATTTGGGTATTTAGATGAATCTACGTGCAGAGTGTGATTGAATGTTTTTTAAGTACGAACGAAGTGTAAGTAAAAATTTATCCGTGTAGCAAGTTGCACCATGACAGGAGCTACGGCGTTCCCGCGCCGCAAGGTGACCGAAGGTGCCACGACCAGCAGCAACAATTCAGTGGGTCGTCTGTTGCTACCGGTGCGCAAGGCTGGTGGTCCGCAAAACAAGACCAGTAATGGAGAGCCATCCTCGAAGCGCTCAGGGTCGAGTAAGAAGCCGCAAAACCAGGGTCACCACGATGTGGACGTACCAGAGTCCGCGTCTCGCTTGAGCAAGAAAGATGCTAAGGCAGCAGCGGCTAAAGAGGTAGCGGCAGCAGTCGAAGCGCGGCTTTTGGCCGTGAAACAACCGCGCTTAGGACGCCTCAACCTCAAGCACCTGCAAGAAGGTACTGTGGTACTGGGCTCCGTTAACTCGATCACAGCACACGAACTGGTTTTGAACCTACCTTACGGTATGATAGGAGTATGCAAAAGAGAGCAGTGCTTTTACCCTGCTCAGCCGGACCAGGGGCCGCAAAAACGACTCGACGAAATCTACTCAGTCGGACAGGTAAATCTTTCGACGCTCTGAATTCACGATTCTTTCAATGTAAATGTGAACAGATTTCAACTACTAGATGCAAAACAGAAGCTATCTGTTCTTGAATGTATGGAACAGCATACGTGACATAGTAAAACTACTGGTTTAATATTCATCTCGTTGTGCAGGTCCTCAGTTAACGATTGTTTAGACCAGTTCTAAAATATGTCTTGTCAATTCATGACTAAACCCTCTCAGCTTTTCCCCTGTGCTGTGCGATCAGTAGGAAAGCAGAGTAAGAAGCAGTTGAACGTCGAACTCTCAATTAGACCGGACCTAGTGAACGCAGGACTCACAAAGGACAACTTCGTAGCGGGTCTATGCTTGCCAGCGGCTGTCTCTTCCATGACCGAAGAGCACGTTATCGAATGTACTTTCGGCGTTCCGGGCCTAAAGGGCATTCTCAAGAAGAAATCTGCGGGAAATGTACTCATTTAACTACAACCTATTGCTTATGTAACTTATTATTATCTCAATTTTTCCTACTTTCTAAGAACTACACTTTTTGATATTTTAGAACTCGCTGAACTTCGATGTGAATGAGTATTGAAAATTTGTGTCGGAGGACCTAGCCAAACTACCGGTCTGACAATCAGATTTCCGTCGGGCAAGTCATTCATGTCGCTGTGGATCGATTTCATGCTGCCTCTGGTGCCGCTCAGTGTCGTCTCGACACCGGAACAAAGACCGTGCTTGCCGAGGACGTCGACGCCAATGCGTTGAAAGTAGGTTGCCTGGTGCAAGCGAAAGTGGGGAAAGTGGTTCAAAATGTCTCGGACAATCCAGGAGCAAAGGCGACTGACGGTAGCGCTGTCAAGCAGTATGACATGCGGTTTTGCGGTGCCTTTCGCGGTGTCTTGCATCCGGAGTACACTACGGAAGCCCTGGGCAAGCAATCAGTGCAGTTGTGCCGTGTTCTAGCAAGGGTCCCGACCGAACAAGACCAGCCAGCTTTGTACTTGGCGGCGTTACCAAACGTGGTAGGCTGGCAGAGCGAAGATCTGCGATCTTCCTTGAGTAAGGACACCAGTGCAACTCTGCGTGAAGGTAGCTACGTTAAGGGCACAGTTTCGCGTGTCGAAGATTTTAACGTCCGGTTAGACGTCTTGCACACATCCGCAGACGGATCAGAGACACTCGCGAGCAGCAGCGTTCCCGCAGTGTGCCACTCCTCGAAGCTTCCGGCGTCTCTTGCAGCCACGAAAAAGACAAAGAAAGGAGAAGCTGAAAGCAAAGTCGATAGTGCCAATAAGAAGCCAAGCGTCATGGACAGCGTCCGGGAAGGAATGGAGGTATTTCATTTGAGAAGAGTTCTACTTTCTTCCAACGACGATGAGTATTCTTTTACGGACTCAGTGACATCAGAATCTTTTTAGTAGAAGGGCCGGAGCGGCCGCCCATTGTCCTTTATTTTCCCTTTTCCCTTTTCAGCCTTCTTAATATTAAGGGTAATGATTTAGATTGAGATTCATGATTCCTTTCTTCGACTATCATATCAACAGTTCCGCGCGCGCGTATTGGGTTTCAACCAACTGGAAAAGACTTTGGTTGTGGGCATGTCTGAAGATTTGGTGGAAGAAAAGCTTATCTCTTCCAAGGACCTCGAAGTCGGCCAGCTCTGCAGAGGTGAGATCGCAAACATTGTCGCTGATCGAGGTGTCTTTGTGAAGGTATTTCTGGCTTATCTTTCTTCGTTACTTGATGGAGTAGTTTACACGTCCTTAGTAATGATTTTTGCAGTCGACTCGCCTCTATTTGAAATTTAACTCTCCGACTCGTCCTGCTTATAAGTACACCATGAGCATACCAAATCGTTCTTGACACCAAAGAACATGATCGTGCTCAGCATTTCTCTATACTGATCACAGTTGTCGAACTTCGTCACCGGTGAAATTCCGTTGTCGCATTTGACGAACGTGCCTCTGAAGCAAGTTCCCGAGGATAAGTTCAAGGCTGGCGCCAAGATCAAGGTCCGAGTGCTCTCTGTGCATCCGCAAAGCGGGAAAGTGAAGCTCACCGCCAAAAAGGATCTGGTCAAGCTTTCATCTAACGAGTTGTTGACGGAGACTGCTGTCCTAGAAGCCGCGTCCACGAAAGGAGGAGCGACCAAGAAAGAGGACACCAGCAAAAAAGACAATAGTGTGCGTATCGGGAATGTGTACACTGGTTGGGTCTCGGATGTGAAGGAGTACGGCGTTTTCGTGAAGTTTTTCGGCGAGCGATTGCGCGGTTTGGTGCCAGAACGTGATCCGGAAGTGCTTCACTCCATGCGCGTTGGGAATCTAGCCAAGGTTCGCATCACTGGTTTCCGCGATGACTATAGTCTGAGCCTTAGTTTCGACTTAAACGCTCCTTCTACACCCGCTGCGACCCAGCTGCAGCTGCAGTCAGGTGGTCGCTTTTTTGCTGCTTCGGGCAGTCTAGTGCCCGCCGCCACCTTGCAAATCACGGGTGTAGAGGCCGACGGGTGCTTTGTGCTCTTGCCGAACAAGCGCGAAGCGTTCATACCGAAACTGCACTTAGCAGACGAAACGGGTGAGATCAACATGCGCTACGGAAAGTTGGAGGCGGGCAGAAGTCTGGAGGACTGCCTTGCGTTGAAGCGACCGGAGACGGCTGACGAGGAAGACGAGACGTCTGCTTCTGCATCGACAACAAACCTCGTGGGCGTTGTGCTTGGCACCTGGTGCTACAAGGTGCCGAACTATGGAGGCGGGCCGTCCGACCGCTATGTCGATTTGGTGTCGCTCAAGCAATCGCTGCAGGTAGAATACGCCTTGCCAGTGGCTGGAGGTGAGAAGAAGGAAGCACAGGCGTCGTCCAAGAAGAACAAGGGAAAGAAGAATCAGTCTGCTGAGGTTGACGAGGCGTCTCAACAAGTTTCTTTGGGCCCGAAAAAGTCCGCTTTCGTGAAAGATCTGAGCGAGATTGACTTGCAGGAGAGACGGTACTACTTCGGGTACGTGAAGCAGATCTGCACAAAGTTGGGAGTTTTCATCTCTTTGGGTGACTACAAGAACGCTGTCGGCTTGGCACCAGTCGCGCAGTGCACGGACCATTACTGCGTGGAGCCGCTCGACGAGTTTAAACTGGGACAAACGCTTCGCGTTTTCGTTGACAGCGTCGACCTGGAGAAGAAACTAGCGAAATTCGATTTGCGCCAGTCCAAATTGCTCAAAGCCTCCAACAACGTCCAGCAGCACCCCGTCATTGCGCAACTCGAAGCAAATGCGCTCTCCAAGGTCGTGCTGAGTGGACGTCATGCGAACGATGCCGTACTGTCGACGAAGCAAGATCTTCATTGTCAAGACGGTTCGACCTTAGTAGGACGAACAGTGCGTGCGCGTGTCACTGCACTGAAAGCGTACGGCGTGACATTGGAGTTGGCTGGAGAGCTGGCTACCGCGACAGCGTCCAACGGAGCGAAGTGGACGCTGCTGGCAATGGCACCTAGTGTCGACGATTTCGAAAAGCCACCAGCAGTCGGCAAGGAGGTAGCCGCTTTCGTGCTAGACTCGATTGCTGAGCGTGGGTTGCTCGACGTGAGTCTCCGTTCCGACCTTTTGGAGCGTGCTGCTGCTCAACAACCTGCTGCAGAGCCAAAGGCCGCTAACAAGAAGCGCGCCCGCACAGCTTCAACCGACGCAGCTTCGGAAGGTGGACAAGAGACAAATGATAAGTTCGTGGAACAAGCGACAGAAGGCAGCGCAGTCGAGTGCGAAGTGCACCTCGCGAAGAATGACCGCACGATCTTGATTACGCGCAACACGGCACAGCCGATGGTCGTCTACACTGCGAACTCTGACGCGTTCAATCGCTTGCAAACAGCGGCAGTGAGCATGCAGCGAGGTATGTTCGCGCGCAAGCGCGTTGTGCTGCAACAGCGAATTTGCGCTGGCGCGTGGATCGGCCACCCTGCGGCAATCGTAAACAAAGATCATTCATCAGCCACGAACGAGAAAGCCGAAGAATCCTCCAAGTCGGCTTCTGAAGAAGCTACTTATACGACTAACAAGAACACGCAGTTGGTGCAAGATACTGGCCGAGAAGTCTCACGCATTGCGGATGCCGAGGCTGAATTGAAGGAAGGGCAAACTCTGAACATGCGTGTCCACTCCATTAGCCCAACCGAGGTGCTCCTTCAATGCCCTAACAACGTGTGGGGCCACCTGCACGCGGTCGATCTGCCACTGCTTGCAACTTCCGCTTCCAGCACAGCCGGGAAAGAAAATTTCTACAGTCGTCGCGTGGCCACCGTTGCGACTTACGCACCAAAAGCGGTCGTGCCCGTCGTGGTCCAGCGCATGTCGACGAATATGCATGGCGTCAACGTCGGAAAGGCTGGCATGAAGGGCGCGCAATTGCTAGTGTCGCCTCCAGAAGAGATTGTCAAGACTCAGTCGTCAGGAGAGGCTGCTGAAGCGGCAAAATCGAACAGTAGCAAAATCGAGGACCTTGACACCTCCAACAAGGCGGCCAAAAAGAAGCGCAAACTGAACAAGAAGAACGAAGACACGGCCACTACCTCTAACGAGCAGTCAGCAGCATCCGGACTTGCAGACGCATCTTCAGAAGGCATGAAAATGGAGCCGCAGATCTCCCTGAAGTGGGGGGAGCTCGCACTTCGGACACGTAGTCATCGTGCCGTCATTGTGTCCGTGACAAAAGACTGCCTGATGGTCGAGCTGGCGCCAGGCATGAAAGGCAAGATCTCGATTCTCGACATGCCTTTGGATTTGCTTGACAGTGGCGCAACTTTGTTCGATAGCTTCGTTTCCGGACAGTTGCTAGAGCGTGTCTACATCCTTGAGGTGCAAAAGTCTAAAAAGACCTTGAACTTGTCTCTGGTCGACCCGGAGGAAGCCGAGAAGGCATACTATAGTTCTACGAGCAAGACCGAGCAAGGACGTGCAATGCCGGCTTTGGTGTGCAACGTGAATCCGAAGTCACCATACGCTGTGAGCGTTCTGCTGCCGCAGTTGAGGTGGGCGCAAGTGCACATGACAGAACTTGGCGACAGCAGCATCAAGCAAGATAGCGTCTTGCGCAAGATCAAGAATCATCAGCAGTTGCGCGTCCGACTCAACGCGAAGAGTCTGACTGCGCACGAGCTTGCGCGCACCGAGGCCCTCCGCAAGGCCAAGGAGGAGCACGAGTCGAAGGCCGAAAAGGGTGGCGAGAACACAACGAATGTGATTCCTACTACGCTGAGCAAGACCGCAGAGAAGAAGCTTCCGATCTTGAATGCGTCTGTTGTTCCAGACGTTGCAGACGAGGAACATGAGAACAACAACGGCAACACCTCTTCGACTGTGCTTTTAAGTGATGTGATCTTGCGCGAAAAGTTGGCAGTGGATAAAGCAGTGCGTCTGAGCGGTGTCGTGACCAACGTGACACAAGGCGGCATGTTTGTTTCCTTCACCCCTCAATTCGCTGGCCGTGTCCAGTTCCGGTACCTGCCACGCAAGGACAATGGTCCCTGGACAATTGAGGAGTTGGAAAAGGCTTATCCCGCAGGCAGGGTCTTGCGTGACGCTGTTGCTCTGGTCCGTGCAGATCAGGCAGAGACGATTGTCGCCGGCGACGTGAACGAACTAAGCCGACTCGATCTTTCTTTGTTGGCGCCCGGTGACCAGCCAGCGGGCGCGGCAGAGGCAAGGAACAAGCGCGTACTGCCAAAGTTGAACGAAATTGTGTCTGGTACTGTGAAAGCGAAGAAAGAGTTCGGTTTGTTCATCGCCTTGACCGGTGAAAAGTACAACAGCATTCTTGGATCATCCAGCAAGAAGACGGTGGACGGGTTGTGTCACGTGAGCGAGATCGAAGATCGCGAACCACTGTCGAAGAAGAAGAACACCCCAGAGCGCCGACTAGCGCGGGATCAACGCACCTTAGCTGCATTCACGGTCGGTGAGACCATTCACCGAGCAAAGGTGATCCAGGTGGACCCAGAAACAGGCAAAATCGGTCTGTCCATGCGTGCCTCCGTGTTGAGCCAAGTCGATCACGTCGAAGGAGAAGTAGACGTCAAGATGGGCGGAGAGGTAGAAGACGACATTGATGCCGAAGTGGATGCACTGATGGCGGCTGGTGACTCCGACGACGAAAAGATGCTCGACGCGGTTGCCTGCAGCTCAAAGAAGAAGGCTCCTGCGGACGCCATAACTACAGGCTCTGGGGACCACGAGGCATCTACTGATGAAGAGGAGGAAGATGACGATGAAGAAGAAGAAGAGGAATCGGACGCCGAAGAAGGTGCTAACAAAGAGGTGGAATTGAAGACAGCAACAGAACAAGTGTCTGAGCAGGATGACGACGAAGAAGACGAAGAGGAAGAAAGCGACAACGACGAGGAAGTAGAAGACGTGAAAGCCGCAGAAGAGAAGAGCAGCAGCACATCAGCAGCAGCTGCATCTAAAGCACTCCTCTCGAGTGAAGAGATTGCAAAACGCATGCTCGAGAAGAAAGCAGCGGCCAGCGCTGCAGCGACCGTCGACGACAAAAAGCGAAAGACCGCCGCCTCTGAGGAAGACGCCGCATCAGAAGAGGATGCGGATGATCTGAGTCCAGCAGCTAAGAGGAGGAAAAAGCTTCTAGAAGACGCAGCCGCAGAGGATAAGATCCGACAACAGGAGGCTCGAAACGGCGCTAAGAATCCGGATGACTTCGAGCGTCTGCTCCTCTCCGAAGGCGGCAAGAGCAGCGTACTTTGGATTCAGTACCTTGCGTACCATCTCGAACTCAGCGAAATTGCCAAGGCTAGAGCTATCGCAGAGCGCGGTGTGAAGCACATCTCCTTTTCTACCGATCAGGTACTAAATAGTATACATTTAGCTTTGATGTCTTTCTTCTCTAAGATCTGTAGGATATTACTAGGTATTCATCTTTAGTCTTGAGAACACTGTCGTGAATGTCGATCGTTTACATTTTTCTCTTTTCGCTCCGCTATATACAGGAACGCTTGAACGTTTGGGTGGCGTACTTAAACTTGGAGGCGGCCTTTGGGGACGCATCCTCGTTGCAGAAGATTTTCCAACGGGCTTGCCAGTATAACAAGGCGAAGACGGTGTATTTGAAGCTGGCCGAGATCCAGGAAAAGCGGGGTCATGAAATCGAAGCGCGTAAACTCCTAGAAGAAGCGGCTCGCAAGTTTTCAGATTCAAAAAAAGTATGGATTCAGCGACTTAGATTTCACTACGCCGCTGCAGCGTCGTCCTCAAGTGCTCAACAAGCACAAACATCTTCTACGTCATCCACTTCGACGACGACCACGACAGAGGAATTGCAGGAGCTGCTTCCTCGTGCACTCGCTGTGCTAGAGCGCAGGAAACACGTGATCGTGATCCAGAAAGCGGCTACCTTCGAATTTGAGTACGGTAGTGCGGAGCGAGGCAAGACCCTGTTCGAGAGCATCTTTTCGGTCAGTGCTAATAGACGAAGATTAGACATCTGGAACGTCTTTCTAGATTTGTGCGCTCGCAAGCTTTCGCTTTCCGAGGTGCGCCGACTCTACGAATTGAAAGTAGCGGAGTTGCAGAGCGTACTGAAACCGCGGAAAATGAAGTTTTTCTTCAAAAAGTGGCTAGACTACGAGTCCCGCTACGGCGACGAAGCAGGGCAAGCCTCGGTGAAAGATCGAGCAAGAGCCTTTGTGGAACAAGCGGAGCCAGCGAACACAGCATGAAGATAGAAACATATTTTTATGCCTTTTTTCGTTTGCATCGTCCGCGATCACCCATCTTTAAGCTTAATCACAGTATCAAGTAATTGCAAAGGATAAATTTCTATATCAAATTCGTTGATTCCTCATCATGACTTCAACATGTGCGCGTTGATAGTGTGTCGTAGCACTGAAATTGAACGCATCACCATGATCTACAACTGTAATTGTTATCCTGCTCCTGAAGTATGTCCAAACAGCGCATGCAATCGAATAGAGCCAGCCTCCTGTAGGCTTTCGAGTCAAAGCGTCGGATATTAGGAAGTAGTGCGTGTTCGCAAGCAGCAGCGAGAGTAAAACTCGTGGTGTCATTGAAGCATGAACTTTGGAAGTTTTAACTCGGATGCGTGGTCCAATCAGTAGCGAAGCATGAAGAATCGAGAAAGTTTCAACATAATAAATAATGTGTCCTCGCGACCTCGAGCAAGTTTGAACAAGGAATAACAATAAGAGCATACTACGAGAAGTTCAACAAGTAGTCAATGGAAAGGTGTAGTGGCACTTTGCAGTGCTCAGAATCAGAGATCTGTGCCCCTTTCGCGCATGACCTTTACTTTGAACAAAAATGTAGCGGCTCGACTTCGTGAAAGATGAATGTAGAAGAGCCTTAGAGCAAGAACCTAGAGTAGCTGCTAAACGAAATGCAAAAAATTTATTGATTTATGAATCCTTTTCAAGGAAGACGATGTGTCATGTGTCATGTGCACTGAATTTCATATCCACCTCTGTACTGAACAACAAGAACATACAGACACGAGGGTCGTTCTGCAAGTCAAAGGAATTCGCTTCCTTCTCACGATTTCCAGCTCTTGTAGGGTCAAGGAGAGTACTTGTTTCTTTTTTTCGGTGGGTGAGACACTTCCACTGTCCCACATTCGTAGTGGTAAAGTATTGGTGTTTTTATCAAGCATTTTCAGTACGAGTCAAGTGTCTTTTGTTGTCTTTCGAAAAGGTGAAGGTCTACTAACTCTACCACCTAAATGTTTGTTGGTTATGTTTCTCTTTTGCGTTAAGATTTTAGATGTCACTAGTTTCTAAAAATTCATCCTCGAGCAATCAATCTATCAAAAGGCCCATAACAGTTCGTCGTGCACTTCAAACTCGATATTACTACTGTCTAGTAGTTTATATGGCCTTATTTTTTGACGTCCTTTGTGTGAAGACTGGTGTGATATATAGTACACGACGTTCGAAACAAGATGAAGGTGGTTGCAAAGCGTCCGAGCTGTGGGCTCTCGTTTTTGTTGCTGTGTGTCGGAGGCCAGCATCACCTTTGGAGCGCGCCACGTCTGGTAACAGGGCTGCGGGCTCGTGGTGACGGATTGGGCGCAAGAATTTCAAGGTAAAAAGTTAAACTTACAATCAGTATCTTTTTTCTGTAGTAGCAATTTAGCATTTTCAACAAATTTCTCTTGCACTTTTTTTTGGATAACTAGCAAACAACTACACAAGGATGATTCATTTTGCACTACAAATGAATCTTGTGTTACTTCATCAGCAGGTCGGACACACAGAGCTTTCCCGGGGAAGAGGCTGTCGAGTCTCCGTCGTCCCCATCGTCTCAAGTGCATTCTCCACGAAGACCCTTGCTCTCGTCTTCCTTGGCTGGTTCCGACAATAAACGAGGAGGAGTTTTAAAGCCCCGCCATGACCAACAACAGGACCCGATACTACAAAAAAGTGGTGCTGTTCATCATTCAGCTACTTCATTGAGCCAAGACGTTGAAGGAGATGCAGTGTTGCCAGGTAGAGGACGCGTACACAGCACAGAAGCGACTACATCCACTGAAGTAGACTCGTCTGCAGTAGAGTCAGAAGCGGATGCGAACATGACGAGAAACGCGGAAGATGTGGAGGAAAGTGATTCTCGTGGTTCAGCAGCTGCAGCCGTTGTCGTGGGCTATCGTCAAGATGCGGGTGCCATGGGTCCTCCTCAAAACGCGCGTGGTGCCTCAGCTGCAAGAACTTTGCCTCAAGAACCAGGTACAGTAGCAGCTCGTCCGAAACCCGCTGGAGGACGGCGACTTCTGACGCCTCAAGAGCAGCAACAAATAGCGCGGAGTCGATTCGGAAAGTTCGTCATGGTTAAGGCTACAAGAAATCCATCTTCGCAGGCATCTTGGTCCCGTTTTTTAAGGGAACGAAAAGGGGGCCCAAGATGCTGCTGAAGATGGATCCCTCTTAGCTCTAACGAGGATACATGTAGAATGGCTTTGTGCTTCACCTTCGTCATGACAGCGTTGCCTTGCCTGGAAAATGCGGCGCATGCCGCTATCTTTGGTGATAGTACTTTTAGTTCTACCTCTACTTTATCGGGAGGTTCAACTTCTACTACGTTTACTACACCACGCAGTGTACTAGCTGGCGAAGATGATGACGTTGACGAGCAGGATACTTTTCCTACTAGTTGTAGTACAACCATGTCCTCACTAGCAGGCAGCCTTCTCGATTCCAATGTACGCCAATTCGCCAATACGCCAATTCCGATTCTAATGTACGCCAGTGCTAACTCCAACTACGTTGGGGATCGCGTCAGTTCGTCAGGGATGTGTGTGCCATGGCCAGCTTATTGCTCTTGTTACAGTCATACTAGTGATACTTCTTCTACTCTTTCCATGCCCATGTTGCCGCGACAGCCTGTCTTCCGACCTCTCCTCTCGCCAAAGATAGTAGACGAGGACAAGGATAGAGCACAAGAAGGAGATGCTGAAGGCAAAGACGACACCTGTAGTACCGGGTCTTCGCAGGAGAAGACGATGAACTTTTCTTCTTTTTTAGCGGATAGAGGACTCCGCTTAGCCACCGACCGAGAAATCGAAGCACTGAGAGCATGTTGTCAAGGAATCACCGCGTCTTCGTTGAAAAAAGGATCAACAAAACACGATGACGAAAGTGAAAGAGAGCCAGAGAATGGACAGGAGCCTTCGAGGACTTTGAAGATGTCACATGAAAAGAGTACAATGAGCATGGAAGGCGAACAGATAGCAAGACCTTCTAGTACAACTAACAAGAAAAGCGAGCAGGAGCAGCAGCAGTTCATGAATGATGCGGAATATGAGGGTGTGGAACCCACTGATCTCTGCGGTGAGCTCGTTAGTACTGTCTGCGTCACCACCCTGTGCGCCGGAGGGGGCTGGGTCGTGAAGGACTGGGAACGCTGCCTGGCTCATGCGCTCAACTTGGGCCTCACGCGTAGCCAGACCGCTGCTCTCGCCAGTTTCGGCGTATTAGGGTCTATGTGACTTTTCCCACAATGTGAGTGATCCGGTTTAAACTACTTGTTATGTAGGAATACTTAGAATGATTTATTTTCTGTAAACTAAAACTATACTAGATGCAACTACAAGCAACAACTAAAAATTATTAGGCAGTTCTTCTTCCTTATAATAAATGCACATGATCCCAGTAACTGAGATCATGAAGATGCTGGCAATGTGCTGAAATCGAAATGATAAAGATATTGTAAGTAGTGCCATATTTTATTAGATCATGAAAAGTTCATGGTCTTAGACAACAACATAGTCCGTGTGCTATTCGTTACACAACGCTATCGCTAAGTGCTGTGATGGAGCGAGAGTGACAGTACGCGAGGAACGTCAAGAGGGAAGCCGCTAGCTCATACAGATCCTTGAATGGATTTTTTTTATGTGCTAGTGCGTGGTTTCCTCGATCATAATTGCCCAACTGGCTCTTCTTGCTCCTTGATGGCGCACTCTTTCTACATCTTCAAGCACAGGGTCAATAGTGATGCTCCAACCTTCATATTTGACGTCACTCCATGTACATTATTTCTCCCTGGTCATTTCTTGGTGCTACATAATTTGTCATCGTTCTTGACTCCGATCCAAACTATCACTATGTAGTTCATTCGCGAAGTCGAAGGTACGCAAAGCAAAACAGCGCGAGCCCAAAGTGGTCAATAAGAAGTTGGTGATGGTAAATACAAATAGTTATTTCTAGTAGCTAGCAGTCAGGAAAGTTCTGTCATGTTCAAATATTGTGAATCAATAAACTTCTTCTTCTTCAGGTTGGTACCTATTACCGCTCATCGACATATAGAAGAAGAAATATTTAAGACCGTATTTTCAAATAGATGAGTAAGTATCTTCGCCTAATGTAAGTATCTTCGTATCGATGCCCGAGCGTGGCGTCTAGCTGGAGGTCTGGCTCGAGATATTGGATCTGCATATTTGAAGAACGCAGTAGCATGAGCACATGGTCTATTCTTAGATGATTTCTTCATACTCCTTGTCCTTCGACGTAAGGAGTCAATCTGTCTAAAATCTTTCTTCTATACCTCATCGTTGTGCCAAAAGATGTTAAAAAAACTGGCGCTCCAATGTCTAGATCCACTAGTAAATTTTTTTTCTTTTTATATGAAACATTCTTTCATTTGTGATTTCCAGTTTCTGTAAAAAGATGCTTGGCTGGAATAGTGTCTGTGACAATGAAAACACTTTCTTGTACACGCAGGCTGCTATTCTCGCATGAAATTCTTGAATGCAAAAAGATAAAGAAAAATGAGATGCGCAAAATGGTGACTTCGGATTTACAGTGAGATCAGATTCGTCTCCTAGACACAGGAAAACAAGGACGAGCATCACTCAGCCAGGGCACACGCTGCGACCGACGGAAAATTGTGTGATCTCTGAACTTGAAGTTGAAGTTGTACCGGGATCAATCTTTTATCGTGGGAAGATCCTCCAAATCTTCCAAAAGAAAAACATCTATCGAGCCTCTAAGCAGATCTTTCTTATAACTTCCGTATAACATCAAGCACAAGATCTTTTTCACACACCAGATCCCGTGACTCCATCTCGACTGCCAGATCCTGTTCGTGCTCGTCTTCGTCAGAATTCTCATCTATTCTGTTCAAATCGTCACTGAATATCATGAACGCGCAAGTACGAAACAATTGAAAGTTTGTCTCTTTCATTTTTCTCTTCAGGACGCGATTAGTACTTGAATCATAATCTTCCACTATATGAGGACAAGTGAAGGTCAAGTATCTAGAGGAGCGATGTGGTATATTTATATTATGTATTGACCATTATCTTCCAGCGACCGATTGATAAGGGTATAAATATATTGTTGATTCTTAACAAAGAGTTAGATTATAATTTTTTTGTCCGACAGGAGTCCAAGAAAATTATGGGTTCTTCACCGAAGAACGGCAGCACTGCGCGAAAGCAGGCCAAAGCACTACGACGTCTACTTGCAAGCGTCCCTGCGGTGGCGTCAGAGGACACAACTACCACATCGACTTCTAAGAAAGCCGCTACTGGAACTCCAGCGTCACAGCTTGCTGCAACTGCAGTGAAAAGGCCGAACCCTGAGAAGTCAGGCAAGAGCCCGCTTGAGAAACGACAGAAGCAGGATGGAGAAAAGAACGCTTCTACAACGCCTCAAAAAAGCGTAACAAGCCAAAGCTTCTTGCTGAAGAACGAAGCAAACAACGATATCAAGGTTTCTTCAGCACCTGCTCCTGCTTTTAGCAAGATTGGAGCCGGAGAGAAGAAAGCAACAGCCACCACGACTGGCAGCGACACTAAGCCGACAAAATTAATGGCAGCGAAGAGCACGACTTCAGCTTCACCAAGTGTGAAAACAACTTTGAAGGTGAGCGAGTCAAACAAGATCACTTTTACGAGTTCGAAAAAGCCTAGTTCTGCTTTCGACGATTTGAAAGATACAATGAAGAGCATGACGAACATCAACAAGCAGCCTGCGGGTGTGTATTCCGACGAAGACGAAGAGGAGGAGTACACATTCGAAGAGGAGTCGTGCAGCGATATTGAGATGGATAGTAAGAGTGTTGAAGAGACCTCCAACATGAAGATGATTGATCGCACATCGAAGCCGCGCTCAGACGACAAAGAGAATAATCGCGACCAGAGCACGGTGAAGAAGTCAGACCCCAGTGGTACAGACTCCAAAGATGACGCTAAGAAAGAGCAGAAAAGTAAGACTTCTTCTATTACGGATATGCAGCCACCGACATCTTCTACTAACGTGGAAAAGGAATCTCAGTCCGGCAAGGCGCGGTCGCCAGTCAGCACTAGATACCCGATGTCGTCTTCTAGTGCTTACAGTGAAGACGAAGAGGAAGACTACATTGACCAGGAAGAGGAAGAGGAGTTATCCGAGTCACTCAACAAGATTGAGACCGCTCAAGCACCAGTGTGCCCAGAAAAAGTTACTCAAACCCAATACGATGCAACCGATGAAGACGAAGAGGAGGAAGCAGCTGAATACTTGTCTGAGGAAGAGGACGACGAACAAAAGTTGCCTGCATTTGATTTGTCGGACGAGGAGGAGGAAGAAGTATCAGAGGAAGAGGAGGAGCTGTCTTCGGACGAAGTGTCGAAGCTACGCGTCGGTGACCTACGCGATTACACACATGAACGACTTGTCCTGACAGGAGAAAGCCAGAACCACGAAAAGTTGGACAAAAAGCGATTCTCTTGCGGAGATTTTTTTATTCTTTCTGGACGGGTTCTAAAGTTCCGCTTTTTAGCTGCAGGAAAAGACGAGTCGACGGCCGAGACAGAAGATGACACAACAACTAGTACAACCACCATTAACGAGAATTTGGATTCCACAGGAGCAATAGCTGCATCTTGCTTGGGTGCGGACCTTCGTTTGGGTCGCTGGTACACGGCTAGCTGCCCTGCCGAGTTCGCCCCGCTAGAGGTGCGCGTCTTGACCCCGCAATGCGTTCGGTTGCAGCTCCAGACCTCATCGGGAGACAGTGTTCGCATAGAATCTTACTCAAAGGAAACGGTAGACATTGTCCAAGCACGTGCAGATCTCTGGACTCACACCGCCGCAAACCGACTTGTACTGCAACTCAATACAACATTCTCTGCCTCGAGGAACAGCAGGGTGAACGCTTTTGATGACATTATCTGCAATACATCTGGTGGTCCTGCGCCACTTTTCGTGCCTGAGCGGTGGTTGGACCTGCGCGACCACGCGATGAACAAGCGTTGCATAGCAGTGATGGGCGCCAAGTCGACCGGTAAATCGACCTTGCAGCGGTATTTGGCGAACGCACTCGTTTCAGCACCACCGCTGCCATCAAAGTCTGCGAAGGTAGTGGAAAGTAAGGAAAAGCAAGACGGTCCTCTGGCAACTTCAGGTCGTAGTCGGGGGCGACGCGTCTTCTATCTCGATGCGGACTTAGGGCAACCCGAGCTAACCGCTCCTGGCTTCGTGTCCTTGGCTGAGCTTTCTTCGCCTTTGCTCCAGTCAGACGGCGCGCTAGGGTGCTTTCTGACGACGGCGGCGCAGAATCATGGGGATTCATCTCCTGCGCAGTTCCTGCATAAACGTTTTCTTGGTGCCGTAAGCCCCGAGAGTGATCCTCTCGCGTACTTGGCCGCTGTTGAAGAGGCAATCCAGATTTTTCGCGACAAGACGCAGGATGTGAACAAGGAAGCCAGCACATCGTCATCAGCAGAAGAAGATGTTGTCTTACTTGTAAACCTTCCGGGATGGATTACGGGATTAGGTTACCATTTGTGTCAGAAAATTGTGGGGATGACGAGAACCGACTTGCTGGTGAGAATCGGCGTTGAATTCGAAAAATTACAATACTTCGCAGATGAGGCAAGTCCTTTTTTTGGCGCATCTTGTAGTTCTCCGTCAACAAGACACTCTTCAGGAGTTGAGCAAAAAAGTAGTAGTTCGAGTTCTTCTTCATTGCAACACGGGAACAAGAATTCTAGTGGCATCAACAGAGGAAAATCGTTCTCAGCTCGTGGGGACGAAGCGTCTCCTCGATCCCCTAGTTCGGAAGGGGAGGGCGATGCCCTGTCTGGATTCCCACACTCATGGTCTTCTGCTGCCAACGATGACGCCGCAAACGAGTACCAGTCTCTTCTCACACCCGTGCACGCCGTGCAAGCTGTGTGGACACCCGGTGTGTTCGAGCCCGTGGACCTTCCGCCGTTCCGCGCGCTGCTCCGAGGCGAGGCATTGTGCTTCGAGGATGAAACTTTCCTTGGACGATGCAACACCGAAAATGAGAAGCAGATGAACAAGACGACTCCTGCTTCTACACATAATAGTAAGGCACGCCTTCCTCGAGAGCTACGCTGGCTCCGACTCTGTGCGGCATTCAACGCGGCACACGGAGCCTCCTCTGCTTTTTCCAATACTACCTCTAGTACAGATGGATCTATTTCTTCTTATGGTAGTTGTCTCTTTCCTCAGGGTCCGGGAGAGTTGCAGCGTCCATTGAGGACATTTCTGCCTGGACTGCCTCTACGAGTGCCCCTTGAACTCCTCCGCGGTGGAGTGGCACAGTTACTTCCGTTTGTGGGCTCCGTGGTCGGACTTCGCGTCTCCTCCAGCCTGCACGACATTCTAGTTTTCGTCCACAGCTGGGACGAAAAGGACATGGTCTTGTTCGTAGCAGGTGATAGTGACACATCGAATCTTTTAGAAAGTCTCAATCAGAGTACCAACACGTTGTCGTCTTTGGTATCTTCTTGGACAACATCCAAGAACTCCAAGAGCGCAGTAGAGGACCAAGGTTCAGTGATGATGCAGCAACAGAAGAACAGCTCCTCTAAAACTACATCATCCTCTACATCATCCTCTACAAATACAAGAGAAAAAGAAATCTCAGTAGAGCTGCTACCGGCAGCATGCACTTCCTTTGGTTGGCCGCACACAACCGGATCCACAGCCGCGGCGCGCACACAAAACGGCCCCTTTTGGTGCCGCAATATGCTGGAAGGAGTGGAGAAAGGCACCCGGGGGCGGTCTACACGCGGTGACCTCAAAAGACGCCGTCTAGGGTAATAACTCTAAAGCGACAGGACAGATTCTCTTCACTCTGGCGGAATTCGATGGAATCAGGAAAAATGTCTTATTTCCCCTCTGACATATTAGTTCGAAATTTAACGCATCTATCAGTATCAGACGCTTTCATATCCTCGAAAATCATGAGGCCCGCTCTCTACTCACCCATCATCCCATTCGCTTTGACACCCTGCATGACGATATGTGATCTCTGTAGGACGATAAATGCAGAACTTTTGATCTTCCATCCACCAGAGCTTTGCTAGACTTGCACTTGCAGAAGTAGATGTCTCACTCTAGTCCTCTGATCCTGTTCTGTAAAAAGCAGGTGAGTGCCTGTCGAGTAGAACGATTTCTCAGTCGTGTAACTGCAGTATCGGTAAACTGAATACATAGTATCGTGAAAGTGACTGAGGGAAGCATTTATTTTGAATGCAGGAGAACTGGAGAGAGAGAGTTCGGATTTGATAAATGCGAGGACCTCGTCTCGGACAAAGTAATGTTAATCGAAAAACCGCAATAAATGATATACTTATAAATACAACTAGTGTAGATCGAAATGCATAAGTATGAGCATCTTCTTTTTCATTTTTGGGCCGACCACCGATGTCGAACTATGATGCTGTGAGTAAAGAAACACCTTTAACGCTTCACGAGCAGGAACAATTTTCGTAAAATGACCGTGCAGGCGTTTCCTGAGTTGTCGCTTTGCGCGCGTGCGCGCAAGTAGGAGGGGCAACAGCAGGGGGCCCCACCTGGATCGCTGCCTGTACCAAGGATCCACGGATCGGCCAAGGATCCACGGATCGGCCAAAGATCCACGGACCGACCAAGGACCCACGGACCCGCCAAGGATCCGCGGAGCGCTCAAGGGTCCGCGGATCGACCAAGGACCCACGGAGCGACCAAGGGCCCCCGAGGCGATCAAGGCCCAAAGGCCCGCGGAGCTATCAAGGATCTACCGATCGATCAAGGGCCCACGGTTCGGCCAATGATCACCGAAGCGATCAAGGGCCCACGGATCGATCCAGGGCCCGCGGATCGATCAAGGGCCCACGGGTCGGCCAATGATCACCGAAGCGCTCAAGGGCCCACGGATCGACCAAGGGCCCCCGAGGCGATCAAAGCCCAAAGGCCCGCGGAGCTATCAAGGATCTACCGATCGATCAAGGGCCCACGGCTCGGCCAATGATCACCGAAGCGATCAAGGGCCCACGGATCGATCCAGGGCCCGCGGATCGATCAAGGGCCCACGGATCGGCCAATGATCACCGAAGCGCTCAAGGGCCCACGGATCGACCCAGGGCCCGCGGATCGATCCAGGGCCCCAGGGTCCATCCAGGGCCCACGAATCGACCAAGGGCCCTCGGATCGATCCAGGGCCCGCGGATCCATCAAGGGCCCACGGATCGACCAAGGGCCCACGGATCGACCAAGGGCCCCCGGGTCGGTCATGGGCCCACGGATCGGCCATGGATCCACGGGCCGGCCATGGCTCCGCGGATCGGTCATAGGTCCGCGGGTCGATCATGGGGCCACGGATCGATCCCGGGCCCGTGGCTCGATCATGGGCCCACGGATCGACCAAGGAGCCACAGATCGATCAAGGGGCCCCAGATCTATCAAGGGCCCGCGGGTCAGCCCATCTGGGGCCCGTGGATCGATCATGGACCCACGGACCGGCCAAGGATCCACTTCACACTAGCGCGCTAGGAGAAGGAGGGTGAGTGTCCAGATCAACATCAAGATCAAGCAAAGCGCCAAGCCTTTCCCGCACGTTTTTGCGTGCTGCGTGACGCTTGACATTGAACGCAGACAACTCAGCCACCCCCGAGGCTCTGGGCGCGACGCGGTGGGTGTGTGTCACGCGTCATGTGACAGCTCTACGGGTACGGCGTTCCGTAAGTCCCACCCGAGCCCCGCCGAGCTGACGACGCCGCGCCCACGCGGTCCATGATCGTGTGGCCCCAACCTCGTGGCCATACAACTGGACGGCGGAAACCCGTCCAGCCGGTTTGGGTGATGCAAAACACACGGGGGCGCCATCTGGGTAAACTCGCAAGGCTTCAGGCCCAGGCGCTGGGCTGTTGGCCTGGAGGGGAGCCCTCCGCCTTAGTGCTGGCAGATCTGGGCCAGGGGACTGATCGGGGAGGGGGAGGCTCCTCTCCCTCTCTCCCCGAGGCATAAGAGTGCGTGGCTACTCACCGACGTGATTACATACCTCGTGTTGCTGTTGCTCCTCTTGTTTTTGTTGTTGCGCTTGAAATACTCCATGTTCTCTCGCCGGTAACCTTTCATCAAGCCGTCCTGATTGGAAGAAGAGAAAAGCTTCATGCGGTTATCCACCGGAGAGGCAGGCTTACCCTGCAGAAGGCGAGTCAATTCCGATGCTCTCCTGACCATTACGGAATCCAACCAGATATAGCAAGACGTTTTGTTTATTTTTTACTCTTTCGTCTTAGTCTTTGATGTAGGAACTTCTGTGACGAGATGATCTTTTAAAACAGCACGGAGAGAGTTAAGGCTACCAAGCGAGCATCCTCAACATCATCCCTGCCTCATTTTCAAGAGGGAAATGGATCCAGGGAAGGTCTCAGGGATGCACGTTGGTAGCTCTAAGAGAGGAACAAAAAAAAGTAAGGCATGTGAGGAAAAGTGTCTGCTTGAGAGGCGCCTGAAAGAGCCAGGAGTGAGCCGAGAGTTTATCACTAAGTGATTGCATAATATGATCCATGATGATAGACTATGAGGACTTCGTCTTTGATACGAGGGCTAGGAAATATATAGTGATTTAACTTCCTCTACCTCTTTTTACTGCTTCTAGTTCCAACAAGGGAAGCAGGCATGTTTTATTTGGATCAGTAAGTAAGATCAAAACAAAGGAAAAGACCTCCCAAGTTGAGGTTCATTTTTAGCATTCGAATCTACAATTTTTGGTGGCCATGAACCAAGATGGACTGTCCTCCTCAGCCCAGAAAGAGAGGAGAAGCGTTCGTTCGTCGACTTCCGTGTCCCAAGTGTTGGACGATGAGGGAGCAGAGGGGTCCAGCGGCTATTGCTCTGTGGAGTACACGCTGGTAACCGACCTTCTCACTGGTGTTTCTGCCGTTCGCGAGCCCCCCTTTGCACATATCACGAGCGAGCGCGCGGTCTTTCTGAATCTGTATCACGTGCAACTGGGCTCCGTTTTTGGCTTTCGGATGCTGAACAGGGCAGTATCGGCACTAGACTTCACAACGGTATCCGAAGACTCCGACATGCCGTTAGGGGTCTACCACGCAGGCGTTGAGGTGTTCGGCCGCGAGTTTCAGTATGGCTTTGCAGCCAAGGTTAAGGCACGCGCAACAAATGGATCGTACGAAGTGAGATTTCACGGTCATCGTACTACATGACATGTATTCACAAGAAAGTTCTCACGAACAACATTTAAAAAATGATAAAGAGTTATCACGATGAGTGCCTACCTAGGAAGAAGTCTGTCTCTCAATGTAAATGTTGTGAATCTCATATTTATATATACTCTCTTTTTAACTTGTCAGCATTTGTTCGTCGTGTGTGACATTTGATAAACTCATCTACTCAATTATATGATCTAATTTGAGTTGTGGTATTCATTGTCTGCGCCCACGGGTAGCGCGCCCACACCTCTATGCGCGATCGCTCTATCTTGGCGAGACGCCCTCCGGGCGCAAGGGAGTCTTCGCAGAGATCGTTGGGCGAAAACTGGCGCCCTCATGGCAAGGAGCGGATTACGTTATGCACTCAATAAACTTTTGTAGCTACGACCTGAATTCGTATGCTGGTCTACTTGTTGATAACTGTCTAGTCCATTCATCACTTTCTAGGTTCTGGAAGAATACAGGAGTGCAATCATGATCTTTAATCTGTCGTGGGGTAAGTCGTACACAGGTGCATGATAGATAGTTCTTGCAATATTTATCTTCAAGTGCAGGTTGGAGGTTGTACTTTTAGTCTTGTACTACTTCTAATGCAGGAGTCTTGTTATTGCGAGTGGGTGGAAGTAGTATTAATACTGCAAGGCGACCATTTTCCTAAGCTCTTAGTTGTGGACCTACTAAGACGTAGTCGTGTAGGCATTTCTAATAGCAACACGCAGAAGCGGAATTGCCTTGATTTCGCGCAGTGTCTGGCAGAGGCATTAGAGGTGGATCACAAAAAACTGGACCCTTTGATACAATATAGCCGCTGGTGGCCTTTTTCTGCTGCATTATCTTGAGAAATGCATCCACTTGTCGGCGTTGTAGACTCGTCTACGGTAGTTATGGAACGACTACGGCAGGAGTTCACGCATACCATGAAATAACCGAGGCATTATTATCATCCTTTCGCAAAGAGACTAGGCGGCCTTACTAGATCCAACAAGCACAGCACACCGACGCACTATCCGGCCTCAGAGAGAAAGGAAGCGAGGAGCCAGTTACGGTTGTAAACGACTCCCCCGAGACGAGATGCCTGTTGCGTTGGTGAAAGCACTTTTTTGGACCATAGGGCTTTGGCCGTCCATTCGTGGTGGAACAGGATACTGATCACGACTTGTCTCATCCCGTCGACTGAGGATACTTCTGGAGGCACGTGCCCACTCGCCGAGACGAACAGCAGACTAGTGGATGAGCCGACGACTGAATACTTTGCATCACTGGGTTAGGGAGCAGTGTGCGCACTCGAGGATGACGAGTTTTCACGATTCAGGGTGTAGACGCTGAGGGTTTCAACTGCAAGTAACAATCGATGCATCATTAAGTGCTTCCCCGTTATGATGGTCTGGACGAGCGGTCTTCAAGAAGGCTGCGGTCTTCAGATTTTCTCTAAGCACTTGGAGACATGCTTTGCATGTAGCGTAAGTAATCAAAAGTAAGAAAATATGGAGAACGAGACAAGAAATTGTATCACGAAGAAAGACATGAAAGAATTCCTTTTCCTTCTAAATAGGAAATATTGTTTTAGCTCTCTGACATCCTCCTTGAGACGACTGCAAAAGGGAATAAGGTAGTTCTTGTTTGTTCTATCATTTCAAGCAGCCCTTTTCCTATCATGCAATGGATCATAGAAGGCGATCGTTTTGTTGACGAGTAGGAAAGAAGTTTCTGAACTGCGTGAGGCGCGCACAATAAGTACTCCATTTGAAGAAATGACCCACAACGAGCTCTGATGATCGTTCAGCGCTTTGGCCCCCTGGATCTTCGTATCAGTCTTTGACTACGTTTCTCGCTAAGACCACATTTGCCCTGATTCTTGTGTCTTTCTCCACTCTCTCGCTCTTTTTCCAAGGTTTTGGATAAGTATCACGATGGCGCAGAGTTCTTGTTCTGCTTGTTCCTCTTCTGTTCTGCGGTTATCGAATGCTGCCGCAGCACCGTACTGTACTAATGGTGCCCTGTTGCATGTTGGTCGCATTGCGAGGAGTGCGGCACCGAACGGCTTTACCGAAGTAGCCATCGCAAGCAGCAGAAGTCCGTTGCCTGTCCTTCTCAGGCCTGTAGAAATGTCCGAAGGACTGGGGCTGCGACCAGATCAACACGAGCAAACACTTCCAGAACAAAGCATCGCGACTTGTAGAAGGAGAACTAGGCTTGGCTCCTGCCAGCGAGGCACGCGGCTGGGTTCGAGTGCTCGGACGAAATATGGCGCGACTCGAAAAGCGGACGTCTTTGCAGCGATAAGCGCACAAATGGATGTGGAACAGGGCCTGACGAGGATATCAGCTTCTGATGGCGTAGCATCGCTTCCTTCTACCGCGAGCTCGGATATCGTACAGCAAAACCAGAATTTTTCAACGGAAAAGAACAAAGCTCTTTTTGACAGCTTTTCAAGAAGAACACCGCTCCTGGTCCAGGATCAACGCGAGGCTGTTGGAATAGAAATGGATGCATACGCATCCCCCGTTGGCGGAATAGTAGAGTCAACATCAAGGTCAATTTCAGTTCCGGACCAAGATGTTTACTCATCCTGTTTAAATGCGGAACTCCTTCATTGTTACGAAAATTTTGAACGGCACGTGGAAAGCCCTACGGATTGTCCACTAGTTGCAAACGAGCTGTGCTTTCTATTGGAACACTTCTTAAGGACCTGAGTTTTGTATCAAATTGAGTACGAAAGGAGTAGGTGTAGGACTCGAACTATAATCAATCCGTGTTGGGGACGATTGATGTGCAGTGCTCTGTCACGATGCTAAAAAAGCCGACTCAGAATATGAGAGAAAGGTTCAAAGTGATAGCGTAGTCGTTGTAGAAGTATATTAAGTGGGTAAAAATTCTGCGTGCCCACAGGGTAAGTCGCAAGCCACCATCATACTGATACTTAGGATGAGCATGAAACTAGCTCTAGTAGCTCGAAATACTGCTTTGATGGGACGCAAGCTTCCGCGAGATATGCGCATGTATCTCTACAGGAGTCCCCGGTTGCCAGGATGTTTCCATTCAATCGACACGCTTGCAGGTTTCCTCCAGTTCGCGTCTCCGCGACTAGTCGAGAAGCGTCGCCCCGCATTGCTAGAACGGGCAAGACTCCTATTAACATCTTCCTCAGTATCGAACGATGCTGGCGATGGAGAAACTTCTAGGACCTATATTACCTTTAAGGTTTCCTGCGGGAATCAAATCCATCTTGATGTTTTAGAAGCAGCCTGAACCTGAATGACGAATCATGTGTTGTATTAGAGCGAGTAAGGGAGATGAAACGATAGATACTAGAAACAAGGCACTTTATTTCTTTAAGTAATCTACTCTGTCTAGCTCTTGCTCAGGATCATCATTCTTTAAGATGGATTTCGGTCTAGGGTCTAATAAATCGCCCACAAAGTCCGTTGGAGAAGACACGCCGAGTAAATTTCCTCCATTGTGCATTTTACTGCATAAGCTTACGCCAGCGTCGCGGCGGCGGCAACGTCAAGCAGTCTTCAATGAACGCAATAGTAAAAAAGGTGTTCCCGCTGAGCATGTACTCGCCGCTGAGCTGCATGTAGCGTCACTTGTCGTCGCGCAGCTGCAAGCGCATGTGGAGTCGAACGGCCTGGCTGGAGTAGATAGCTCTGACCTAGTGGCAGCTATCGACGGTCTCGCGGGACGAAGAGGCGTAGAATACGCGGAGCATGAAGAACACGAGAAAAACATGGAAGCGCGGTGTGGTGCGGTGTTTACCAGGGTACTGGCGGAACTTGTCAAGCGTCCGCCTATCGTGAAGAGCGCTCCTGTACTAGAAAAAGGCAATTTGGAGCACTCTTTGAATAGGACAACTCGGAAGTTGCAATCTGAAGAGATCTATTACAAAAATTTGCTGGGAGCAGGCATGGCGTTGAGTAGTGCTGAGCTGGCCCGTCTCTGCGACAGTCTCACAGATGAAGTATCGATTGGCGGAGACCAGACGTTACATAACCACGTGAGCAAGGCAAGCGCGTGGATCCATTCAGTAAGTTACGCTCTAGTTCGCGCGAATGAGAGGGTGACGCCAGCAGAGCTTGCTTCCGTTGCGCGGTTCGTTTCTTCAGCGACCTCAATTGTAAGTTCCGAATACAAGAGAGGTGTACCTCCCCTTCTTAGTGCCATTGCGGTTTCGGCGCAAAAGAAGGCCGCAGAGTTTAGTGCATCTTCGCTGGCAACGTTGCTGGAGGCTTTTGCGCGGGTGCGACTGAGTGAGCCGTTTCTCGTCTGTCGGCTTGCGCTGCAGCTGCCTCGGATTGGGGAGTCGCCGAACTGTCCTTTATCAACGCTTCGACGATTGCGCGAAGCTTTTTTTTCATGTGGTGCGCGTAGTGAGATGTTAACGGACCTATTCGATGCTCTAGAGGCGGAACGCGTATGGCAAGCGAAAAAGCCACTAGCTTTAAGGGCCAGATTCTGTATGTAACTGCTTTGCCGCGTCCTTCACAGCCATCGTTGACATGATTTTTCCGCAATCATAGCATGGAAAGTAGAAGCCGTCCTTCCTCGACATTTGCAATGCGTAGGCAGGAAAGAAGTTGTCCTCTAGATGAATGTTTTTTCGAGAGCAAGAATGGTGTACGGCGTTTGAGTTTTTCATCACTAATACAAGACGAACGAGAACAAGAGGCAAAGAGGAGAAAGAGCAAGAAGCCAACACATTAAGGGTTGTCAATTAACACTGTTTAACATAGTCAATCACAGATCGAAGGGAGGGCCCAATTGTAAATCATTGATGATGGTACTATACAAGCCGCATATCTACAAGCACTACCCAAATAAGACAAGGAGAACTTTGTCAAAATTGTAGTCGGGCATGTGGCACATGCCAAGGTGCGTTAAGCAGAGCAAGGAGACGGAAAACTTCTTTTTAATGAAAATCTTCGATTATATATCCCTAATGAAACCACGAGCTTTGGACGGGTCATCCGCAGTTTGGACACGATCGACCGCCTGCCCCCCGTGTGCGCAACCTTTGTAAGACCACGTCGTAGTTTTGTATTTCATCCTATCTTCTCTCTCACGAATTAATATCGAGAATTTGACTAGGTATCTTGATCTTCCAGTCACGATTTCAAACTGTAACAGCACTGATGAAGTTCTCAGAGATTGATGCATCTGTTGATACATATTTTGGGTCTCACGATCCATTTCTCACATAGGTGCAATAAGTCACTTCATTATTAGGATGATGGAAACAACAGCAACGAGCTGCTCCTACTACGCCTGAATAGTAGCATGCGCTTCCATGCGAGAACTACGATCCTCTCCCATAAGTGTGGTTTGCACGAGCAAGTCCCTAAGACCCAAATCCACGACCCGCTCAGCAGATACCATATTTGATGTGGTATCGTACTTTCTTGCGACTGCATGCAATGAATGCGTTAGAGAACATGAGATCTAAAAAAGCCAGTGTTTGTTTTCGTACTCATTTCGTAGGGCTGGTGTCGGTACTGATTGCATGATTCTGTACATACATCATTTTAGTTTGTCGGGAAGTCCTTCGTATGAATTTGTGAGCGTTTCTTCGGTCATCTGAGCTCATCGAAGTCTTATCAGGCCATTATGGGACGAGGATCGGTCTCTTTTATGCACAAACAAGTTCGGAAGGTGGACCTGGCACTAGCTCTACCTCCTATTCTAAGCTCGAAGCCTCAAAAAACCCGAAAAAATTTACACCTCCGTGAATATCCCTGACTCCTTCCAACGAATATTTCAAGTGTGTAGAAGTCCATTAAAATGAGTCACTATCTGAGAATGATCATTTGGTGTGTAGCAGGACTACTCGTCTCATTCATGTTTTTGGTCTCCCGGGTAGTCGTAACGTCTATGCAACAATAATTGTCGCAAGATACATCAAGAAAAGGCAGAGAAAAAACTTTTTCGAACTGTCCTTGCGCATATTCCACAAGGATGTCTGTTCCTCGAAAGCAGGTTGTAGGATCTTGGTTGGATCTTGAACGACACGTATTTGTTGGGGGAAATCATGAGGATCGTTGATCTCATCTCTATCATGATAAGAAATATAAGTTTAAGTTGTTATTCTTTGTCATATTAACTATATCAATGTAGTATTGAGGCCGACATCATCATCATTCAGACTCCAGACTACAACACTTTTCTTTGAGGAGGAAGACTCTAGCAGCTACATCATCTTTTCCAGAGGTTGGCGAAGAGCTGCTACGGAGCTCATTCGATTTCATCATGAGGATGATGGGCACAAGGATGTTGATTGGCGCGTTGAGATATCAACACTGGTGGAAGGTGATTCCTTTCATCTGCTGGGGCATTGGGCTTGGTTACAACCTGCGGGGAAGCAAAAGGATCCAGCTTGCCGGACTTCCGGGAAATGACACAGATTAAGGCACCCAAGATGGCATCCTCAACATCATCCCTGGCCAGTCGACTAGTGAATAATACTTTTATTTGTTCGACGTCTCATTTGGATCGGTGGAATAGGTTTTTGGACTCTCTAAGGTTAACAAGGTTATTCATCTTACAGTCTCTTTTTCTTATATTCTCGGCTGCCACACTACTAATTATGAGTATTTGAATGAATGAAAAGTATCCAGTGGTCGCTGGCCTAAGGGCTGCGGACACGGCAGCTCTAAACAGAACAATGGCTGGAGAGCAGTCACGCGGCAACAAGAACATCAAACACTACGAGACTCGAGAATGCCTTCGGTATGCTCAGTCAGGATCCCCATCAACAGAAAGGATTCAAGGCGACCACCGTAGTTGAGCATGAAGACAATGCAAAGCAAGAAGAGAGCCAAGCAAATGCGACTGAGAAGCACAACCCGGAGCATTCTGTTAAGGAACTACATGTCATTTATAGAGTCTATGTACTGACTTCAATTAGAAGTCAAAAATCTATAGTACTCTGTGCCGACTTTCTTGTTCTGACCCAACTAAGATCTTTGTCTTACTTCAATCTTCCATGATGACCTAGCAATGTATAGCAACAGCTAAGAACAAGAACGATAACGAAGCACCTTTTGCCAGTGTGTCACATGAGGGACAAACCGGTAAAAAAGAAATGATCTATCGCTCAAAGCATTTATCATGATGTATTTATCATGCCATTTTGCTCAACCCATTCTTCTACTTGAAGTACAGGGATAGTAAAGCTATTACGTCTTCATTTTCTAAGAAATGTGGCGACCCCGGTGACGGAGAAGTAGAGTCCCTTGCCCTCAACGCATCGTCGAGTTTTATGTCTTCATCTCCCTGCTGCGACGATGCAAAGCCGTCAACATCATCCCCGAAAAATTTACGACAACTTCTACAAGAATCAATAAAAGATATCGATGGAGCTAGAAACTTCTTAAAGACTAGAAGTAGAAGTACCGATCTACCAGGACTCATATAATTGATAACCCACCTGCTAGTCGATGTTTCACTGACTCCTAAATACCTATTTGTAGGGTCTGTGAACAGTATGTACCAAGTAGTCAAAATCACGATATTGTCGTTTCTTCATGAATCATCCTGCTCTATGTTACCCTGACCCCACCTGTATCATGTCGACCTACCCCAGCGTCTGAACATGCACGACACCCCTTGCTGGGTAATATACTCCTACTGCCACCATTGCGAGGACCTCTACTCCTATTAGTAGTAGTACTATGGATACGAAGTATTAACTTCTCTAACACATCGTCGCCAGATCATAAAAATAGATATGCAGTCTAAATCGTAGCACTATATATCACAACTAGTTGTTTTCATAATGTTAATGTTTGACTTTGACACTACTAATATTAAACCACGTCTAAGATGATTACTATGTTAAGTTATCACTTTCTTGTAGAGGTGTGCTGCAAATCTTGATTGGCTTTCACCTTTTAGGTGAAGGCTTAGGTCCTGCGACGCTCAAAGCACTGAGTAAAACAACCGGGTAGTTTTCACCTCCACACTCTTAGGCTTATCCCATGCAGCAATACTATGCTAAGTACTGCGTACTAGGCGTGATGAGCCTGGCTTTGAAGTGGTGGCTCTTCTAATAGGACCGGCGGGAACGAAAAAATCTGGAGAAACGTCAGGAACAGAGGGCCTATCCGAGGAGGAGGAGGAGTTCGATCGAATGCTGGACCGCAAGATGGAGAGGGAAGAGGCTGAACGGAGAAGGGTGAACGAAATTTATGACTCCCAATATAGTTTAGCCTACCATCATGAGAGGATAGAAGAACGAGCATGAGCATCGGCAAAAGCGTATGTTTGGGCTGGTGAGATAATCAAGATTTTTCTTTTTTTCTGTGATGTTAACATTCTGATCGTGAAAAAAAAACCTGGTTCAGACATGGTTCCGCATTAGTGGATGAATGAATTTCTAAGTAAGGCGATTTAAGTATTTGCACTATGCTTTTACGAAGAGCACATCAATCTACGAAGATATAGCTACCTTTTCGTTCCGACGGCGCTTCGCTAGTACGAAGTTAGGATAGACTTTCTTGGATCCCTGGTTGAAGACCACTTCGAAGCAAGACCCTTCATCTTACAGCAAGCTACCTACATGATAGGACCACAAAGACTAGATATGCACTGATGATGTCGAAAAATAGGCTTCCTCTTCTTTTATACCTCTAGACTGGGCACCCTCCTCCTCCTTCTTCTTCTTCTTCTTCTTCTTCTTCTTCTTTTTAAATCCTAATCCTAATCCTCTAATGGTGACGTCAGGCTGCTTTACGAGAAGAGCGCAAGCTGTTTCCGAAGCGTGCTGCTTTTCGAGCCGAGCTCGGTAAATACGAGTCCACGGAGATGGCGAAAACTCTTCGAGCACAAGGGAAAAAATTTTACGTGCTTCGATGTAGACAGAGTCTAAATTTACATCAACGCGACATATGTCGGTTACGTGGTAGCTTTAATAGACGAGTCATTACCCTCAACAACATACTCTATTCCTGTTGTAATAAGGCTTACTAGATAGCAGCATGGAAAAAATAAAGAATCAGGAATTCGGTATGAAAAAAAATACCTGTAATGTGTAATATGTATGTAATCATACAAAATATGGTCTATTCTAGCAAAAAAAAAGTGCTTGCGATTATATAGTACTAGAAAAATACAGAGTTTCGTCAACCTCCATGCTTTTCATGTATTTTCTTGTAAAGACTTTATAATTGTGTGATAATCGTTCGTGGAGTGGTCGTGGTGATCCTTTCTAGGATAGAAGCTCTATGTGTTGATCGTCGACCTCTCTAAATTGCGGCTGCACTCTGCGGGCACCTGGTGAATGCGGGCGAGGACAAAGCCAAGGGCATACTGCACGAGTATGCTGACGCATATAGCGCCACGTCGCCATCCCCATCGCAACCCTGGCTCGTTAGCCTGCAGGCTGACGTCTACCAAGTGAAGCAAAAGGTTGTCGACTACATGAGGGATCGCATACAGCAATGTGACTCTTACGAAAGGATCCTGCTCGTTCACTCGAATACTCAAGTTCAAGATGAGCGAGTAAGAAATACAATAACCGAGTATCTGAGATTGTTATCTAGGCTACTCGGTTCTTTCAGTTTGTCCTTGTCGGATTCGGATACATCATAAATACCTAAGACTCATCTTTTATGTAACAATTCCTCATAGGTTCTTCAGTAGAAGTCCCACTTGCAGCTAAGCCTAAGCACCGCCTGGATACATACTTAGTTTTAGTTACATTCAAGAAACATAACCGAGGTCCGTCCTCCTTAGGCTCCTGTTTTTTCCCTCCGTCCGTGATTTGAACACGCCGTTTTTTCGGAATACGATTGTTGGATTGAATGACGAAGTACTACACTCTCAGGCCACCTTTAAGCTTCCGTGAGCAAAGAGCGTCAGCATGCTCTAGATCGGGACAGTATCGAGACAGAGGGCTCAGAGATGACTTACCGTGAATTGCTAAGGTCGTGGGCGGATTTGCAGCGTGAGTTGCTTCGTGCGATCGGCAATTAAGGCTAGAGATCACCGTGCTTCTTCTTTAATGTCATATTGACCTACAACCACTTCGAGAACCTCCAGGGCTTAACAATAGTATTGATGTTGCCTCCTGGCATTGTTTTCCGTGTAGTTCGATTGTTCTTATTCACAGTACTAACTTGGAACTCATATATTAGAAATAGATCACCAACAGATATGTTGACCTTGACATGCACCATATTAGTTGAAGAACCTTGTATAAGTATCTATAAGTTTGTTATCAGACCTTTCGTACCCCTGTGGTTTTTTCCCAGGTAGGCCTGTCGGTAATTATACAGGACATAGTGTTGTTGATGTAGAGGTTCTTCGCTTCGGCGGTTAGCCTGCCGCCACAAGGCTTCTTCGGAGGTCAAGAGCGACCACATCAGAGCCACACACATGCCATAGACGTCCTAGGTTTTTGTAGCTCGTCTTGCTTGGTTCAGCTTCGTCAGCTATTCTCTTTACATCAAAGTAGAACTACGTCAGGACATAATTCATTGAGCTTGTCTTGTCCTTGGAATTGTAAATACCCACATTTCCTTGTCCTACCTGATAAGTGTACAGGTCAACGGCTAAACCACCAAGCCAACTGCGCAGTAGACCCAACTCTAAAGTTAGATGGAAGGCGAGGATCTGACGACGGTAAAGAAGATGGTCAAAAAGCATGCCCAGGAGTTGGCCAACGCGGACGGCTCTAGCAGTACCGACCTACGGACGTCGCTACCATGACTAAGACGAGCGGGAGGACTGCAATAGCGGGAGCATCAGCTGCGACGTTGCCGCAGTAAATACCGAGGAAGACTGGTAAAATGAAAACGCGGGGGACTGGTAAAATGCAAACATCTGTGTTGACGCAGAAGCCAAAGTACGGGACGACAAGCTCACGTTTGCGCTCCAGAAGCTAGTCAATGAAGAGAACGCGTAAGCTGCACTTTAAGAATACTTGTTTCTTCAAAAAAGATGTTTTCCTCTACTTCATTTATGATCATAAGTAGTAAGTCTGATAGAGACCTTGTACTAATAGTAAATTCCCTACGTTTACCTTATACATAGTAGTTTTTTAGGCTCCTTGCTACTGCTACTGCTAGCTCGGCTAATTAGAGATTGTTTTTCAGAGAAACGAATCATTTGATAAAAATCTATGACATAAAGCAACATGATGCGCGACTCGCTACGCGCGTAAGTACTATTTGTGTTAGACATAGTAGCTAGTTTTTTTTTTGTTCTTCAGCTACTGCTCATTCCCGCGTTTAACGGATTCGTCGCAGGCTCCATGGTAAGTAAGTTCTCTTTTGATGAAATCAGTTCTGAACCAGTACAGCCTGAGAGTTCTGGCAATTTTCTTACGCAGCTTACCCTCCCAGTCATTGAATAATATAATGCACGCGCCTGTGTGCCTTTCGTTCTGCAGATGTGATAAAGATATAACTAGACGTGGGAACGATCCGTGTTGTAGTACGATGGAGACGTGAATAAAAAAGAAGGAGACGTGAGCGTGAAGGAAAGGAATAGTTTTCCTCACCACAATGCGACTACCTTTCCACAAAAAGAATGGAGATACCTTCACAAGTTCTAGAGATCTTCTTCCTTCTCATTTTAGACATGAAGATACTTCCTCTTTCACGTCGCCATCGTACTACAATACGACGCAAGCGAAATTTTAGTACAATAGAGGATATAATTGGGCAAAATAGACCTAGAAACCCCTAACTTCACCAAGACCGCGACGGTTGAGACGTTGCTCTCAGACGTTGCTGAAATTTGCAAAAACGGTGGCCAGAGGGAGATGAAGGAGGAGGGGTTGGAGAGGTAGGACATGCTTCAGCTTGCCGGAGATACGGGATCTAGTAGGTACGCTGTGATGATGAAGAAATTAGCAGAATGAAAAGCTAGAATTATAGAACAGGTGAACAAAATGGATATCATCTTATACGTGAAAATATATGATGTGTTGTTCTTGAGGATGGAGTTAGGTTCTTTTTTGTCTATAGTACGCAGGTATCCCCTGCGGACGGCGAACCACATGTCATCCTGTCCTTCCTATCATGACTAATATATCCTAATCGCTCATAACCGAGGAGGTAAATGCATGATGAGAAACTAGGATATCATGTCCGGTTGTTCGACAAATACCAAGCTGCAATCGTGAAGCTGCAGCCGTCTGCATCCGTTCAACATGCTAGCAGTCTGATAGAATTTCCACATGACTTTGGTTTCTACTACAACTACTTATTCAGCGGAACAAATTCCTCAGTAGGTTCAACTGGGCAATTATTTCCATTCATTCACCTTCAACTAAGACTAAGAACTACACGCAGTCTGATTCTTATAATATTTATTAGCGAAAAAATTTCTTTTTGAGTTTGACCTCCTCCGCTTGTCAGTCACACTCAGATTTTGCATCAAAATTATCGTACCTCACGTTTTGCTGAACCACAATGCAGTACACTGGCGAGTCACGCATCCCATGGACGGAAAATCTGTTACCTTCCTACAAAAACAGGGAGGTAGCGTGACTGAATGAATGAGTGATATCTTTGCGCAGCTCACTAATGCGCAGCTCACGACTTGTTGTTCTGGTCTGATGAAATTGAAACTATTATCTCGCAAATCTTGCAACTGCAGCAGAACCCAGTAGAACCTGTAAATCTAGATGACATGTAATTCTACTTGTAAAATATGTAATCGCAAGAGGACCTAGAAGTATGTAAATCGCACGAGGACTCATTTTGGTTATAATGGTACTCTCAGTGCCACTGGCTCGTCGTTTTTGTGTGTTCAACTGAATGTATTGGAATTACTACTACGACAGACACCAGTCATCTCCTGAATAATCATTAGACGAGGAAAAAAGCGCTTCCGAGTAGATTTGTAGTATCCGATCGTGTGCTTCATGCACACGGCCGCTGAGGTGGAGGCCCCCACGGGGATGAATACTGACTAAATCTAAAATTAAGCTTTAGGACTACAATATCTTTGATCTGAGCGAGAGAGGAACTGAAAGCCTGATCCTTGATTCATGCATCATTAGAGGAAAGGAGAGGACGAGAACCGGAGTAGAGAGGACCATATGGATGTGGATCAGATAGTAATCTTCAATGGACGAGTTGCGGTTGAAATCGCACTGAAATGATGACAAAGTTTTGCTGACGTTGATGAGACGAGGATGAACGATTTTTACGAGGATGATGAAGATACTTATTAAATTGATGTTTTGAGTCCAAGCACTTTCTGGATGTGGGTACATCATCGTGTTGATTAAATCACGACATGATCACCTTGATCAATTTTTGCGAAAGCGAAAGAATGTTAGAGCACTTGACACAGAGGACCAATAGTTCCAACCGGCAACAGGATCATCCTTCTACCACCACCAATTCTTGAACACAGGAGGAGGTTTCGTATACTACGGGAGGACAGTAGAGGGACTGACAGACGGAGTAGGTCGTACACGACCGGAGGACAGTAGAGGAGTACACTAGAACAGTAGATCATCTTTGTCCACACTAGAACAGTAGACAGAGATGTAACTGACATACCCCTAGAGTGGGTACATTCATTCACTCTAGAAACGTAACGAACTGGAAGCACTTACTCGATCTTCTCAGGTGATCACGGGTGAGGACGTCTTCACAGGAGAAAATCTTCTTGAGATACAGCGAGACCATCTACGCATACATTACATAGAAGAAGGAGTAAAAAAGTTGTAAATATGAACTAACATTGTGGAAGATTTTTTTCTTAGAACTTCATCACGGACCACAACTCAGAACAACTTGCTCCACTACGCCCACCAAGAACAAGAATATGATCGTTTTGCCTGCCATGCTAAGTCTCGAGGAGGCGATAAGTGCAAGTACGGGATGGCCATCATGGGCGTTGCGCACCCTGACGACGCTGGGCGTCCTCACTCTGGGGGTGGTCAGTACGGAGACGATCATATCTTATGACAGGAGTGTCCTAGATATTGTTTAGCCTCCATAGGAGTAGGTTGTATGTGTATGTTGACTGCTCGCGACTTATCATGTCTATGCCTGGACGTCTGCGTTCGCTGCGTCCTCTGTCTTCTGCAGCAAAGCAAAGGATGCATCTTCCGGTCAATTTGCACCCAAAACGGGCAAACGGGTCCTTGTATAAATTCTTTCAAAGAATAAAGTGCTGCGAAAGGAGACCAGGGATGCTTTATTCAAGGATATCGACACTTTTCTTTGTCGAGCTCTAAATATGTGCCCGTGATATAAGTAACTCACGTAGAGACAAACCATGATTGAAGTTTGTAGCTCTAAATATGTGCCCGGCGGTCCGCAAAAGCATCAGGCGATTCAAAAGAATCGATACCTGCCGGCTTCCGATGGTTCCAACTGCAATATTTGATTAAGACTTACTACGCAGGCAATTCTTGTTTATAAAAGTATCTACGACGTAGGTGAGTAGCCATTGATTTTATTTGGGCCCAATCATGCAATACGAAGGGCGTGCTGGAAGCTTCTCAACTTCATGAGTGAGGTTGCGTAAACAAGCAGTCTTCTACTCTCTTTGGATAGAAAGAATTGTTACATATTTCTACTCGACCGCACAGGAGGCACATGACTTGAGAGGCTGTTCGTCGGTCCTCGATATTTCCATCCTAGTCGTAGTACTAAGTACATACGTGGTGTGTGTAGTGTGTGAGTAGAAGATTAGACATTCATGAAGAAATATTTGATTTCCCCGAGAACAAGAACGAAAGCAGCTGCTCTAATGTGGGTGTGTACCTGACGATTATGCTGGCTGACTGGTTGCAGGGGACCAACATGTACACTCTTTACGATGGGTACGGAGTCGATATCGGGTCACTCTTTTTGACCGGGTTCCTGTCTTCGGCAGTGTTTGGCACGTTTTTGGGCATCTACGTGGATAAACTGGGCCGACGGAATGGATGCATCATTTTTTGCGTCTTGGAGGTGATAATCAATGTGCTGGAGCATGTGAACAACTTCCCGCTTCTGCTGTTCGGGCGCGTGCTCGGGGGCATGACAACCAGCATTCTCTTCTCCGCATTCGATTAAGGCTTATCATATTTACTTCCAACAAGATTCTGCAGTATTTGCTAGCTGCTTATCAGTGCGTTGTTGACTTGAATGTCCTCGCCAATCATGTTACCGCATCTGATATCTATCTATCAGTATCACGGACCAGGTCTCACTCGATCTAGTAGATTCATTTTACATAAGCATTAGCATATTCATTGATAGTATTTTTGCCAACTCTCATTCTGATCATCCTTTTACTTGTAATTTACCACTGCACATTCGTAGTTCGTTTTCAATCTTTCTTATAAGTGAGAATGATTAAGTACTTATTTGGACTGGGTGGAGTGGCACTTCTATTCCTCTTCCTCATCACATCTCTAACCTGGATCATGGATGGTGACAGAACACCGAAAACGCAAGTTCCCCGACTCGCTCCTCCAGTCAACGTTCACGTTCGCGAGCGCTGGAAATGGGCTCGTCGCGATCAAAGCGGGGGTCATTGCACAAGTATAATTCTATGACAGACTTATAGACTTCTTAATGTTATGCTAAATACGGACCGATGTAAGTATACACTCTCGTCTGGCTAGTTGTTGTACAACAATTATATTACTATTTATAACGGTCGTAGCAATTTGAATTCGCAGTACGGACATATACATCAACTTTTTCCCTTCTTGAATATAACTCCAATCTGGCTGTCCACCCTACACGTGTTAGTTGAGCTTGTTTTTTCTGTTAGTGCCCTTGTTTGTCTCTCGACGTCCCGAGTGGGTACATTTTTAGCACCACTTACCTCGTCTCAACAACTAGGTATTCAAATTTGAAATTTTTTGCTACTGTGTCGTCCTCTACTCACAAGTACAAAAGACAGACCTTCTTTCCTCTGCGTCTCACCAGATTGCAGCTGACATATCGGGTGATATCGGACCCTTCCAACTGGCAATTGCGCTGACTGTCGTGACGCTTGGCATGGTATACTTTTGGCCTGAAAATACCGGCGACGCGAATGAAATCACAGACATCGCCACCGGATTTAAGAAGGTAAAAACTATATAAGATTTCTAAGTACTTAAAAACAGACATCGCCTTGGCCTTCGCCACCGGCTTTAAGAATACTTCTTAAAGTATACGTATTAACGTATACGTATTAACGTATTAGTATACTTTTTAAGAGATTTATTTTCGACTAGAAGACAAACCCAAATGAGGTCCCTCGACGATCTGACCTTCTAGTTAGACACACAACAAGGCTGTTAGAATGATAAGTACACACATTCATTACACTTTTAGCGTCCAGCATCGCAAATCGCATGAATCGACCAACTACAACACATAACGTCCACCAGGCAAAGTCGCTGATTTCAACCCACTGACCCACCAGGCAATGTCGCTGATTCGGAAATCACCTGCGATGCTTTGTCTTGGACTCTCGCAGGCTTTTTTTGAAGGGGCAGTGTACACTTTTGTCTTTATGTGGGTCCCTAACATGCAGCTGGTAGCAGGAACAAAGGCGATACCCTACGGACTCATCTTTTCATGCTTCATGCTCTCGATGACGCTGGGCGGCGCGCTTAGTGGTACCACTAATATTATTTCACACTGCATAGTAGAATTCTTGTTCTTGAGTTGTACTGTAGTGGTCGCACGCGAGAAGAGGTTCTTCTGTGGTTATGCGTGCTGTTAACGTCACATCTACATAAGGATTCGTATTCTTGTACTCCGGCACTCCCTCGCTGAAAAATTCAGCTGCTTGTTTGTCATGTGCACATTGCTTGGTTGCATGTTTTTGATCAATTATCTTTACAAGAAACCGGGGTCGCCCCTTGGGCGACCCCTCCTTGATAGCAGCACAGTCACAGGCACAGAGTAGAAACATAAGAGAAAGCAAAAAAAAAAAGCGACTGAGGCACGGAGCGCCCGCCCCTTGGCCTTGGCGGCTGCCGTCGAGATGATGGAGAAGAACAAAGACCGAAGCAACCCACGGAACCCAGAACCCTGGCGCGCGGAATCAATTAGGCACGCCACGCCAATGAGACAGGCCCGGCGG